AAAGTAGAACCATCGAACTGCTCACAAGTAGAGCTTTTATTTTGTGATTTTGTACAAACTTTTGGAAGAATTTGAAAAAAAATAAAAGTACAACGATCATATTGCTCAAATGATTATTTGTACAAAGAATTTTTTTGCCTGAAGAGCCTGAATAAGCTATAAAAAGCGAACCAACGAAGGCTCGAACTTTTTTGTGATTTTTTAACGTTTCTAATATATATACTGCATAGTAATTATTTATTCATTACATTATTTCCTTTTGGATTTTAGAATTATTTATTTTGAATAGAGTATGAGCATACTTAAATAAAATATATATTTATCTGAATTTCGATTTTTTTGTGATTTTTTTAAATAACATAACAGACATAAAATGGTTTTTAAACATAAATTCATTATTAGAAACGCTCAATATTTATATAGTAAGATTAAACATCCTTTTGATAATGTTTTTTTTCTTGGAAGAAGGACACCCTTGGATACTTCATATCTTACTTCCGTCCACGATTTCTAATTTATTTGATGTACAAAATAACAACATATTTAAAAAACTTTGCTAGAGGAAAACTGTCATAATGAAATATATTTTTTACAATTAGTCGTGTTTTCGAAAGAAAGTTATTCTGTTGAAATGATTTGAGTTGGGGTGAATATGGCAACTCATTTTTTAAGAAAAAATATTTTTACTCACAGAAGTTAGAAGTTAACTTCTAACTTTTGAAAATAGAACCATCTTTTTATTATGTGCTAGAAAACTTGCTCTGACTGTGAAAAGGTGCTCTGATTGAAAGTGAAGCTATCTGTGAGGATCTGAATGAAATGAATGAGAACTTTTCAAAACTGGAATTTACGTGAATCAAACAGATTATATTATTATCATTCTGAATATTTCAGTTATCTGATTAAATAAAAAAATACTTAAGCGTACGCTAATATATTTGATCTGGAAAACCAAAGGAAAACATCAAATGCAGACAAAATCCTTTTTTTCAGCCATCTATAGAAAACAGTAAAACATCAACGAAACACAAAAAAGAATATGGCTGAACTAGAGAATAGATAGATTGATAGATCTAACAAAAGACTATTCACAAAACAGAACTTTTTGTGATTTGTGTACACACATAAGGTACAAGGAAAGAAAGAAGAAATATACAAATAAGATACTACAGATTGAAGGGTAAAAACAACAATAAACAACAAACCAACGTCGAACTACTCAGAAACAAAACGTTTTTTCTACAGGCCTTTTTGTAATGGTGTAAAAACAACAAATATAACCTCTAAATTGCTCATAAAAAACTTTTTTGTGATCAGACCTTTTAAACGGTCCGAAAAACAAAACGTAGTACCATCTACTGCTCACAAACCGTGCTTTTTTACTTACTTTTGGACGGGCTGAAAAAACAAAAAGCAGAATCATTAAACTGCTCACAAACATAACTTTTCTATGATTTGTTCACAGAATTTTTTTTAAGGGCCTGAACAAGTGATAAAAAGCAAACATCGAAAACAAAATAATAAAAATTCAACGACATACTTAAAATGAATATGGCTGAACTAGAGAATATCTTCGATAGATCTAAAAAAAAAAGAAAAAGATTAAAAGTAGAACCGTCAAAATACTCACAAAATCAAAACGTTTTGTGATTTGTCTACAGACTGAAGATACAAGAAAAGAAAAAAGAAAGATACAAATAAGAAACTACAGATTGAAAGTTTAGAAGAATAAAGAACAAATCATCGTTGAACTGCTCAGAAAAAATGGTTTCATGATTTTTCAACAGGCATTTTCAACGGTCTCGAAAACAAAAGTAGAACCATGTAACTGCTTACAAGCAAAATTTTTGTGGTTTTTTTCAGACTTTTATAAGGGATTGAGAAAACAAAAAATACAACTGTCAAACAGCTCACAAACAAATTTTTTTGTGATTTGTATTAGGATTTTCTGAAAAGGGTTTGAAAAAATAAAAAACATAAAACTGCTTACAAATAATAGATTTTTATTATTCATTTACGTATCTTTTTGGAAGGGTCTGCAAATACACAAAGAAGGACCATCAAACTCTCATAAACAGGAATTTTATGTGATTTGTACAAAGAATTTTTTTGAAGAGCCTGAAAATGCGATAAAAGTTGGAATCAAAGAACTGCTCTCAAACAAATTTTTCTCGTTATTTGACTATAAACTGTCTTTCTAGTGTCTAAAAAAGCAAACCGTCGCACTACTATACATTTTTGTCATTGGTCTAAGTTATTTTTTGAAGTGAACAATGAGATAAAAGGCGAACAACCTTTGAATTATGGGGATTGTCAGTGACATCAGCCAACGATTGCCCCATTTCTGCCGTGAAGTAGTAAAGAGGAAGAGGTTAAACTGTCCAAGGAGAAAGTCGATGGAAATTCCATCATTACATACACACAGACTGACTTAGTTCCATGAAATACCCCGAGAGAATCTTGTCTAAAGAAATGCTGAATTATCTTTAAGACAAAGTCGAAGTAAACCGCACTTTTACAGTTTCAGCGTTTTCCACCCCAGGACATTTGGAGTCAAACAATACAGATATTTTCCTTAAACTGTCACAAATAAATATGATTTTTAAAACGTTTCCAAGTTCATGAATTCATAAATGAAAGATTATTTTGTGCAAGATGTTTGTTACATTAATTTACTTCGTCGAAATCACATCTGGAACGTCGATTTTCCCTGTTGGATAGCTTTGATGAGCTGAATCTTTAATTAATCTGAAGGCTATAAAAAAATATTTAAAAAAAGATAGACTAAAGACGTCAAATTTTTCACAGATAACATCAACCAAGACATAACAACTTGATCGTAGTTTACTATAGTGAGAATTTCATCTGTAAAGGTTTTTCTCATGATCTAACCAAGGTGAAAATGATGAAATCTGCTCAATTTCTCACGACGTAAGATAGTCCTACAAATATGTCAATTCGTGCAATAAAATATGCGTTTTGACGCTTAAAAGAAAATAAAAAACAAATTAATTATTTCATCTAAGATTTTTGGTTAAGATGAAAAATTAGCGCCACGAGCGGGATCGTCACTAATTTTTATCTCAACCAAAAACCTTAGATAAAGAGAATAATTAATTGGGATAATTAATATGGTCAAATATGACCACTAAGCAAATACATATACATGTTACAAGAAAGCCTGGTCAGGCTTTTATTTATATTGAACATTTTATTTTAGAAATTGGAAATTCGTTTCCGTCGAGTCGCTAATGAGATTTTAATGGGATGGTCGTCAAGATAAAAAGATCAAAAACAACTGTAGCGAATTGTAAAAATTCAGAAATGAGAAAAGATTTGTGAATTTTTATTTTGTGTTAACGCGTTTTGCGTAAATCAATTTTGCTCACTTTTCAAATTCAGACTTTCCTGCCAAAAGAAAGTAGAATAGGTTTTAAATTTAAATTCTGTGGGTAGTACCGAAAACAAAAGTTAATCGACTTACTGCCTAAGAATATAAATAGGTGATCAGGTAATTAAAAGGTCAGTCTTTTCGACCCTAGCTTTAATTTTTGGGTAAAGCAGAAAATGTAAATTCCTAGTGTAGGTTTAAATATTTTTCTTTCCAAAAGGCCTGGCCTCATCCCCAATCTACCTTTTGGAAAGAAAAATATTTAAACTGAGAAGGCTGATCAATCACCAAAGAAAATACTAGTGAAGGTTGCTAAACCCATTTGGTTTGCTATAAAATTATTTGATATAAAATAAGCCATATTCTTTCAGATTTCCTTTAGGAAAAATTGGTTTGGTTGCGTAAAAATCAGACACGTTTGCACAATCTTCCCAGACGACGTGAGCGAAGAAAAATATCACAGGACGCAGAGGCGTTTCACGTGGGTTGCACAGTTCGCGTCCAACAAATGTACAATCAAATCCAGACAGACTTGTTTCTAATTCCGAACGATTTTATTACCTGCTTAGATCAAGTCCGTCGGGCTTTCAAACGGGCACTGGCAGCAGGAAGACCCTTTTTTCCCCCCGACGAGGAGCAGGTTGTATTATAAGGCCACCTTCCACAACACCCTCTCCTGCCCAGTTGTGTGTGAATTTTAGAAAATTATCAAAACACAAAATTCCTTTGGCAAAGAGAGGTGTTTATTTTTTGATAATTTGCATTTCAAATATGTATTGTGTACGAGAAATATACATCCTTTCGATCGGGTGATTTGGCATACCACTATTCCCTACTTATAGGTTTTATTATTATACATTGATTTTTTTTAACTTGTTGCAATGTTGATTCAAAAACCAAGATCATATTAAATTTAAAAAAAAATAAAATTCTTATTTGTGAAATTTTTTAAATTTAATTTTCTCTGAGGTGTGCAAGAAAAGTAAATATTGTAGTTCAATTATTGACAAAAGTCAAAGTCTTCATCAGTGTTATATTATATAAATATATATTATAAAAATATTGTTTTTTTAACAGTTATCGCAATCATCAATTAATCGTTTGATTTTAATTGCCTGCACATTTCAGGAATAAAGAGGGGGAGTCGAATTCCAACGAGAATTTGTTTTCTCCCATCCATTTCGAATTATTCAAACTACAGACTACACCAAAGTATGTTTTAAGCTTTATTAAGAACAATTTAAAAAATGCATTTAACAAAAATTCAAGAAAAATACTAGGAGGGAAAATAAATTTTTGATTATTTTCTTAAAGAATTCATTTTCTATTTATATAACTCGAAAATTTTATAAAGTTGTTTTCCAGTTTTCCAGAATATTTGTCAAACGCTGGGCTTTTTTTTCCAATCAAAGAAACTTTAACAACTGTTTGCTTTTAAGATAAACTTTGCTTGGTCGTATACAAGGATTTTTCTTGCTGCCGATTCCCGTATTTGCCGTCTATCAAAACTTATTTTTTTAAGTTATTTTTTTTTACAAAAGTCAACCTTGAATAATTAAAAGAATAGATTAATCAACCGTACAATTAAATTCTACTGTAATGCGCTTACCATGTAGGAAGTAGATGTACATGTAGATCTGGCTTTGTTTTTGGAACCCGTAGGCCAAAAGTTAGTTTTGAACTGTACACTTTTAAAAATGTTTATTTTCACTGCACTAAACCTTTTGTTACAATTTTATTTTTAAACAGTCCAAATCGTGAAAAAAGTCGAAGATAGACACCCACGACAAGCAAAGCAACGACTGACAAAATATGACAATTCGGTACCACTTATTCACTCCCACCCAATTCTTTGGTGGAAGGGCGAACGAAGAGGGAGAAACCGGTATTAGTCCTTTGCTAACGTTGTTAAATTGTTCAGGAAGGAAAGGATCGTGCGTTATAAGCGAGTCCTGCGGTCGTACTCTTCTTTCTGCCTTTTTAACAACTTTTCCACTTTTCTACGCTGAATCATTCCCGAAATAGCTGACTCACATGGGCTTTGTTGTACCAAGCTAAAAAACAAAACGTATTCCATCAAGAACTGTATAATTGCAGTTAAATTAAACTTATGTTGCATCTAGTTTAAAAAAAATATCATACAGATCCATAAGCAAAAATGCGTTTCTCAAAACAAAACAAAAATGAATTTGTTTGCTGTACATTTATTCTGAAAGAAAAAAAAATTAGCATATAATGTAGAACAGAATAATGTAAAATGAACAGCCCCTAAGTAAATTTAACTTGTGCTTGAGAGCAGGAGTTGTGAGCTCACAAACAGTTTTAAGCATTACAAAAATAAACAAAAACATAGTAATATAAATTAATGGTAGCAGCATATATTCAATTTATTTGACTATTGTCATTTTATGTAATTTAAAAAAAAAAATTTATTAATGTTACTTATAAAAATCTTTAATTATACGTTTTAAAAAAAATTGAAATTTATCATAAGAATAAAAGGAATTTATATCACTTTCTATTATTCTTATCAAGTTATTCTTAATTATACAAATTACTTAATTAAACATTAATTAATACATTAAATATTAATTATACATTAAATGTTAATTATACATTAATTAATACATTATATGTTAATTATACAGTTAATTAATACATTAAATGATAATTATACAGTTAATTAAATTTTTATGTAAGGTTTAATTAATTGAAAGAAGTAATTTGGTCCATAGATCACTAAATATAATGGAATTAATTATACATGATATGAATATATTATTTCTTACAATTAATAAATTATTAATAATAAAATTAATTTAAAACTGATAAAAAAAAGTAATGTGTAGTTAATATATTATTAATTATTGATTACATTAAGTATACACAATTTTTCTAAATGAAAAATTTGTATCACAAATGGGATTCCAACCCATAACCTGTTGCTATCGGTATACCTTGGGAGGTCGTGGGTTCAAATCCTACCTGTGGCACAAATTTTTCATTTTGAAAAAATTATATATTAATTGATTATATCAATTTTGTTTTGATGTATAAATCTTAATGCTGCATTACATGCATTGTTATAATGCTTGGAAGTGTTTACTTTAGTAGTAATAAATTTTATTAGCACATTCGTTCTTGTATTGCAATTGAAGACCATAGGTAAACTTTATGCTTATAAATACGAAGACATGAATACATTAAAAAGAATGGTTTGACTTTTAATGCTTTAAAAACAGTTTAGAATTTTTTTTGCACCTTTTAGGTTTTATGTTATGTTTATGTAGTAATATTTTTATTATAGAATTTTGAGCAATGATTATTGGAGAAATTGTAGATTCTGTGATATTGCTCCAAACTAGGATCTCATGTGTTATGAAGGAATGTGCTAATGCAAAATAAAGAGACCACATTAAATCTGGCTAAAGATTTTATTATTATTATTATTTTAAATTTATGAAATAATTTTATAAACTTTTTATCAAAGCATCAACAAGATACTCAAATTTAAATTTATTACCAAAAAGTATTCCAAAATATTTAACTTTTAGAAAAGGGTATAATCGGGCAATTACAGTTAATTGTATTTACACAAGAATGTAAATATTATATTTTCACTTAATTTGTTTCGATTTGAGAGCCTAAATATGATCATTTTAGTTTTAAGTGTTTTAAAAGTAAGAAATTACTCTCTAACCATTCTTTAACTACTATTATTTTATCATTAATATTTTTTAATATATAATAATAATTCTACAGCTGTATCATCAGCGAATCTCAAACCACTCTAAAACTCGTTTACTCTAAAACCAGAAAGTTTTAGTTTATGTAAATTAAAAATAGTACAGGCCCTAAAACACTTCTCTGTGGAACACCACAATTCATATACATGGGAAAGTTTGAAGCTGAAGGAAAGCTGAAAGTTTGGTTTACGTTCATTCTTTGAGTCCTATGTAACAAATGATTTAATGAAATTATAAACTGATCCTTTGATACCAATATTAATTTCCAAAAACATAAATCCAGGATATGGGTTAAAAATATGAAAAAATGTGAAAAAGTTCATCAAAGGACCATCGTGTTGATGGCAGAATGACTAAACCTAGTGTTAGGACTAAAATTATAATAGGACTCCTGATAGCAGGCCCCAGATTCATATACTCAGTACAGCAGGAATGAGCCTGTGCAGGTATTGCAAGGATGAAAAAGAAACAGTTGAATATTCCCTCTTTTGGTGGGAAGACAGAGGTTTCTTACTCCTGGGAGAAAAGCTAAGACCTAAAAGATACACACATGAGTCACCAAACTTTGGAATTTGATAAAAATAGACCTAAATAATAATGGAGATTGTACAATAGACCAATATTGGTCGTGCTGTAGGCTGACTCCTTCCACTTTTACTTTAACCTTAAAGATAATCTAACCTTGACAATGATAATATGGTTGTGCAGAGAATTGAAGATTGTCTACCAATAAATGGTTCAATAAAAATTTCATTGCATCATTCATGAAGGGAATAAAACGTTGATAAGTCAAATTACAGATATAGCAAATGATAAAAGAATTTTTGTTGAATAAAAATTTAGTTCTGTAAAGGAAGAATTTACAAAACACTTGTTGTTTTTCAGTATTTATAGGATGATTAAAAATTAAACCACACAATTTGCATTGAAGTTAATATATTTGCTACATACAGTTATGTGAAAACATTTTATGTTCTGACCAATCCATCAGATTTGTACACTATATCATGTGTTATGTTGACACCGAGGTGCTCCTCGGCAGGCTTGTTGGCAGCATCTCTATATTCAAAGAAGACGAGTTCATTTATTATCCTTGCTGTCTGGTCATTTTTGAGCATGTTTCGGTGGATGGTGTCATCCATCAGGTGGATCTTCACCGTCCGCTTGCAATGCTGAAAAAAAGTACAGTTACAAATGGTTTTCATTAAATTATATTGGTGCGAACCTGTTGGAGTTGGCAGTGTTCAGATTCATTCTCAGGAATATTTGGTCTCAGAAGATGACACTTTCCGTTCACTTTTGTTTCAGAGCCTTCAAATTTGGCAATGGCATTTAGTTGACATTTAAGCATCCGTATTGCTTCCTTTATTTTTTCTTTTTCATCCAAAACCACTAACGAATTGTTTAATGCTGTGTCTAATACTTCATCAAAATTTGTTATTGAGCTTAATGTTTTTTTAACCTAAAACAATAATACTTTAATAGTGGATGCTATGTCTAGTATGTTCTTAAAACTAAACATAATTAATTGTTAGAATTTGTAATAATCAAAATGTTCACTAAATTATTATAAAACAAGGGAACATAATAATACCTGATTGCACTTCACTACTTCAACCATTTAACAATAATAATGTTCATAATATTTCACTGTTTTGTCAAAATTTTTTCCTTACTAGTCATTATTTATCGACAGGCAAAATTTGAATAAATCAAATTGCCAATATTGACATTCAATTTCAAACTTTTTACATTTACAGTTGTATTTATTGATATTAATATTATTTATAGTATATTATACCTTTGGATGGACTTTTATATATTTGCTTATCATCTTGAGTCCGTTAGAATCATATATTGTTTTAACCCATTCCTGAACTGTCTGTGGTGCAGCATCAAGCATAATGACCGATACAAATTTGCCATCGGCTTCGAGCAACTTAGCCACACTTAAAGCAAGAGCACCACCCCAATCATCGGCCACAAGGGTGAAAACATTATACGGAAATTTTAATAATTCCTAAAACAAAGCAATATTAATGATATATACATATTAATAAATACCATTAATGGAAATACCTCGTATAGCATAGAAGCTACAGATTCAATGCTGGAAAACTCAACTGGCAAAACAGCTTGGAAAGTAGGATAAAAAAACTTAGATGCCAATTCCGTAAGCTGGTTCGGCTTGAGACCATTAAATAGGAAAAGTGGAGGGACCTCTTTGGCAAACTTGTAGCGTGGACAAGCAGCTTTCATTTCTACAAAACATCCTCGGTCGGATTTCATCTTTTGCAAATCTAAAAGCTCCTGCAAATTTTCTGGCATGTGGTCCTTGTAAGATAGATTCTTTGAAATGACATCTACAAAACAGTAAATAATTTTAGGATTTGGACAATAATAATAAAAAAGGTAGAAGCAATACCAAAACTGCTCAAGTTTTTAGACTCTCTGATGAAAACTACTGGAGCGTTGTTAGATTGTGATGTTAACCAGTCCAAGCTGGCCACTATGCAATGTGGATTAAGGTTGGAACTGCAGTTTACAGACAGTGCTGGAAGTTGATTATGTCTTCGTCTTTCACAAACAGTCTCCCCGCCTTCCCCTATACACACAATCTGACTTTTGCTCTTCTTCTCCCTCAATACTTGATCAATCATAACTATTTTGTCTTTCATTCCCTAAAGTCAAAATACTGAATTAAACACCGCATTTGTTACTTTTATCTTTAAAACATACATTTCCAATTATAAAAACAGCAGCAAGTTCTTTGATGTTGTTCAGTTCATTGTACAAATTTTCAATATTGGCAGTTGAACTAATTCGCTTATTTGACATCATGCCGACTTTGACATCCGGGTAGTTGTTCAACATTGAGTTCAGTCTAAAACAATAAAATTTCAAGTCAACCTATCAAATATCAATTAATTTAAAATTACCTTTGTGCAGAGTAACTGTTAAGTATGTGCTTCTTCAATACAACTTCAATATTTTTGGCACCTCTTACTATCAGCCATTCAACCAGTTCCAGCCAAACTGCTTTATGACCTCCTTTAAAGAATAAAACAAAACAAATAGAACGTGTTTGCAAAATTATTTTCTTTCAATAACTACCTAGGATTAGATAAGTCTTTTCAGGATCGCACAAAAATACATCTTTCTTATTGCCAGGGTTATTGTCCAAAACCACAACCATTTTATTGTTAACTTTTCCATGTGACCTAAAATTGATTAATGGATGATACATCTATTGTATTATATAAATTCCAAACATATTATGTAGTATGTCATGTAATACAATACTGTCATACTACATAATATGTTTGAAATTTTTAAACTAACTAAAGTTGCAATAATTATTAATAGTAATAATTAGTTTAAAAAATCTAAGTTATACAGTAAAAATCTTTTGATTTTCAGGCAATAAAAAATATTTAAAAAGGAAAATTCTTCTCACTCAACTCTGAATAAGCCATATATAGTCTAGCTTTGATGAGCTGTAACCTGACACAGTATATAATAAAATAATAGTTTTATTGCATTTGTGTTTGTAGTTGCTATGTATATGAGAATTAGTTTTAATTTAAATCTACACTATGTTGTTTTCCTATTCACTTACTTCATCAGTGAAATTGCAGTTGCATTCAGTAAATCACTAGATAGACGCTTCACTTTCAAAGGTTTAACTTCACCTTTCACCAGCCCTTCTGCCATGGCTTTTTGAATTTTTTCTTTTATGTAATCTGCCATTTGTAAAATATTCTCTGGCAAGAGGCCAAAAACGACTGATTCTTTAAGAAATATCCTCATACCTGTAAAGATAAAGGTAAATCAGAACTAATTTTCCATAAGAGTTTTAAATGTTTTACCCATTGGAGCTTTATTTTCCATAGGCGAAAGACTCAGCTGGAAGAAAGACCCCTGATTTTTTATGCACCTTTGGGATGCTTCGACCATATCGTCATTTTGCAGTGTATTTACAACTATATGAACACCTTTCCCTTCAGTCTTTTCCAAAAGTTCAATATGAAACTTCCAACTTTCACATGAAAGTATGTGATCTGCTGGAATCTAAAATCGCAATCAATTGCATATCGAAACCGTTAAAGTATTGTATCCAAATTATACCTGTGGAAATTGTTTTTTAATCAAACATTTCTCTTCTTCTGTCTCATATGTAGTGAAAACTTCAAAGCCTTTAACTAGTGCGATGGTTATAATTGATTGTGATATTGGAAGGCCTCCTCTGTGGACTAATATGGACGAATAGGAGAGCATTTCATTGAATATCAGAATAATGTGGTATGCCTGAATAATGTTTAGAAGAACCATATATTTTAAGGATTTGGAATAATTAAAATGATTTTACCATTGTATAAAATACAGGTACAGCTGCAGCTTCTTCATCTGACCAAGAATCAGGTTTATTCCAAACCAATTTTTCATCAGGAATTAAAACATTGCCATCCTCAAGTGTTGCAACACCCATAACTTTTTTCCCAAGCTTATTATAGCCAGCGTAGTCAAAAACACCAAACTACAAAACCCAAGAATCATAAATATGATTAATACTTTTCATTTTTTCGTTAAAACCTATTAACTATCGAATTTAGATTATTGAATGTGGCATTACTGCACCTTGGAACATTGGCTGTGCGCAGTGATATCTTGTAAGTTCAATCCTACTGCTGATAACTGGAAATCTTTTGCCCTAAAATTAAAATATTGTAAAACACATTCAAAACTCTTAACTATTTCAATATAATAAATTATACTTGAGGGAAGAGAGTTGAAATAGATTCTTTCCAAAAACCTCTAAGTTTTTCTTAGGTTTGTCTTCAATTGGCAGCAGAGACAAATTTCCCCACTCATTGTTAATACAAATATTGATTCTTAAGTCTTTTTTTATTTGCTCTTTGTAGAATGGACTTTCCAGGTCAAAAGAAGGACAATTTTCATCAGTGAAGTATATCCTGAAGTGCAAACATTTAAGTGTTATTTGTTTACAATTGTTAACACTTTTAAAAAATCACCTTAGAAGATCAGATTGGTCTAACGAGTCACATTTTTTAATAACTTCTTGTATTTCTGACAAGAAGTTGCATACTGTTTTACCAACTATGTATATTGTCCCTGGCTGTTCTTTATTTGCCTCTGTGTTCAGTTTAATTTGTAACTCTTCTGCCCAGTTGTCACATAAGGCAGAAACAACGTGTTTTTCACCATCACAAGGGTTTTCCTATAAAAGGTGCAAGCAATTTAATTTTGCCGAAGAAAAAAGCCCAAAGCTTGTTACTAAAGTCAGTTTTACCAGTTTGTAAAGCACAACTTTGTCATTTCCAAAATTGAAATTGAAAATAGATCGGAGGTTTTTTTCTTGAGAGATTAATCCAAGTTCCTGAGTCAATCGTGTAAGAAAGAAACTTTGTTTGGCACTCTTAAGTACTTTTATGGACTTTTTAAAATTTTGACAACCAGAGATAACCCAAATGGCTTCTTTGTTAAGATCATTCCAGTCGAAGCTAGATATCATACCATCACTGTCGCACTGTTTTATTGAAACCTAAAATAATAATAATAGTAAATGAACTAAATAATATTTTGGATCTTTAAAAATTGTTAATAATGCACTAACTTCCAATTGATTTTGTTGATATTTAGCATACTGAATGCTTTCTGTAAAGAAGCCATCCCCTTGGATGTCAATGATGTTGAGTTGAGAAATGCCACCATCTCTAAATCTATTGATGTTCTCGTAAACCGTGGTAGCACAAATGCTGACAATATCTTGAACACTCTAAAATCAGACAGTTAATGCATTGAGTTTCACCGTTTTACGTTATTCTGCAAACCTTCACAGAAGAGTTGGTGTACGGAATGAATTTGTACTGATCAAAAGAAAGAACCATTTCACAAGGTTCGATCGAAGGTTGGTTCACTTCGGGAACAAGAATCTCTAAGCCTTGGCATTTGACTAATTTTGTCACATGGTTGTAAACCACAGTTATTTCTTTAAAACATAATATATACATTTATAATATTATTTCAAACAGTTTATCTTTTTTTTATTTAAAAAAAATACCTTTTTTCTGATCAACTGGAAATGCTTCAAAGTTAATACATATGTGCTCAATATCTGTTATTAATTTCAAGCAATTAGAGTTGTTCATGTCAAAAAATGCAACTACTTTGAAAATGCCATCTAAAAATGGTACCCATTGACCTCTCCATTGGATTTTAGCGTGTAGACCTACAACATTACGGTTAATTTAAATGTTAATAAGATTGTCAAAATGATTAAATTTTTACCACTTTCATTGAAATCAACTCTTTGTACACTTCTAAACAATTCCGTTTGATTGATACCCATATGGTACAAATAGTTGTAAAACTCATTCTGGCCCATTGTAACATAGGTGTCGTCCATTTCAAAGTGAACGTTGTCTTTCAAATTTGAAACATTGTCTATTATGCTAATATTTCCAACGACTACTTCGTCATTGCTTTCACAGATTTGGAAATCGCCACTGCCTATTTGAACGAGTACGTACAATTCTTTATGAGCTGAAACGTAATAAGAATATAAACAAATACACTACACGAAAAGTACAACTTATTTCAACGACAATATCTTACATTTAGCTGGAACTTCTACATATTTACAAAATTTCAGTTTTTCTATTTTAATAGGGGAGGTGGAGTTTTTCTTAAGATCATTAAATCTTTCAATGATTAATTCCTGAAAAATATAATCATTATATCAATTAGTGCTGTTATATAATTAATAATATTTATTAAATTTATAATTAATAATTTTAATATATGATTTAGTTATAAATAAATTATAAACCCTTTTCTAATACAAAGTTATACCTTTTGCTAAAAATTACTTTTTATTTTTCATATTAACCTACTGATTTATAATTATTCAGAAATCGTGAGTTGCGGTCTGGTGTGATGTAGGTTTCAGAAAAATATTTTCTTTATCGTGCCAACGTTTCGATCTTTATTGAGATCATCTTCAGTTTCGGACACTCTCAACAGGAAACACAAGAATGACACAATTACATAGAAAACAAACACTTTTGAGCCATGAAGATCAAAATATTTGTACTCACTCAAAATTCATTTTTTTAAATATAAAATTTCCTGGCATTGTATATATTTATTTTTTAATCTAAAAATTTTTAGCATTGTATAAATTCATTGTTTTTACATATCTAAAGTTTTCTAGCATGTTATAAATTCATTTTATTTATTTATTTTTTTTTTTAATCTAAAATTTCTAGCGTTGTATAAATTCATTTTTCACATCCTACATATATTTGTAAAAGTGAAACAATGTTTATAAATCCCAGGCCCTGAAGATGATCTCAATAAAGATCGAAAAGTTGGCATGATAAGGAAAATTCACTAATTTCGTGGTCCGCTTGACCAATTAATATATTACAAGTAATTAAGGTTTTTTAGTTGGTAAATATGGCCCATACAACTTTCATATGCTAATTAGGATACACTACATGCCCTTATGCTATAACAGATCACTAAATTGAATTGAAATAAGCAAGAAGGTAAATATTTTTTTTAACGACCAGACGTCCTACTTTTCTAATAAAATGTCCATATTATAGACTTTTTTTCACACAAAATACCGTTTTAACAATAAAAAATGTAGAGATTTACTCTCTTCAGTTGTTTTAAGATAATAAAAATGTATGGTGTTCAGTCAATGACCACTCAGAGATCGGAGGACCACAAAAATGCTAAGAATAGATATTTTATCAAATTCTTAAAGCTAGGCATTGATTTTAATTAATTTGAAGGTTAAAAAAAAATTTTATTATCGACCACTCGGAGATCGTGAGATGCGGTCTGGTGTGACGTAGGTTTTAGAAAAATATTTTCTTTATCGTGCCAATGTTTTGATCTTTATTGAGATCATCTTCAGGGCTCAAAGTGTCTGTTTTCTGTTCCCCCGTTTCGGGCACTCTCAACACGACACGCAAGAATGGCACAATTACACATAAGACAAACACTTTGAGCCCTGAAGATGATCTCAATAAAGATTGAAACGTTGGCACGATAAAGAAAATGTTTTTCTGAAACCTACATCACACCAGACGGCATCTCACAATTTCTGAATAATTATCGATTAACGGTCACTAATCACCACACATTTCTACTGATTTATATAAAATCAATTCTTCGTATATATTTTCATATACTATTTATGTCTTTGTTAACAGCTTATTAATTCAACTAATATAATTGAGGTTGATTGGTACTCAATATTTCGCCATTGGCCTCCATGCTACATATTCATGCTAATAAGTACTTTCATTCTCAAAATACACACAAGGGAGAACATGCTTGTGCTGAGCTTATGTAAATTTTATTTAAGTTAGTATATCATTATGATCATTGATCATTTTGTGTAGTTAGTGCTATTCTATTTTTAAATAATAATTAATCAAAAATGTTACTTATTGTTATTGATCTTTAGTGCTTCATAAAAAAAAAATTTTGTGGTTTGTACAAAGCAAAGTTGAAAATGATACCATTAGTATTCACTTACGACAAGTGAGGAGGAAGGCATTATTATTCTATTGTTGACCTTGTTATATGACAAAGTTTCAAATTTCTCCTCAGAAAGGGAAACATTAACAAATTTCCAGCATGGAACAGATTGCAACTAGAATTTTAAAAAAAAGTTAGTCATCTGATACATATTGTAATGCCACTCAAGTGAATATATCCTACATCATTCCTGTTGATGAAACTCCAGATTATCCAGAGCTCAGAATGATCCCAGGTGATGACACTGCTCGTGTACTTGGTGTCTCTTGATACAGGAAACTCCACAGTCGGATATAAATTAGCAAGATGGACATCAATTCCTTCAAGATACATTCTTTAAACAAAATTAAATTTTTTATTATGTTTTAGTAAATTTTAAAAAGAATTTAAGACTTCATACCTCCCAATGGCTTGTAGTAGAAAACTTATTCCATCAGATTCAAATCTGCTTGTTAATGGGATATTTGTACATGTAGGCAATGAACGTTTAAGGATTGCTTGAAGTAATCCATGTGGGGCAATTTCAATCACAATTGCATTATTTGGAATATGCGCAGAAGCTTCTTCAAACAGTACTGAGCTCAGAAGGTTGTTAGTGTGATACTCTGCAGAGCTATACTTAGCCAGATCGGAATCCCAGTCTGCTTCAGGGATGGAGCTGCTGATCCATCTTTTTGATCGGCATTGAGGATTTGGAATAACCTAAATTCGACCGCTTTTATTTAGCTGAGAAGTGATATTTTGTCATAAGCGTTACCTTCTTCAAATATTTCAACAGCGCTGGAGCAGCAGGTTTAATATGCTTGCTGTGATAAGCAATGTTTGAAACGTTGACCAATTTTGCAAACACTCCTTGGCTTTTCAGTTCATTTATATAAACCTCCATGTCTTCTGAAGGTCCTGATAAGGTACAGCTTTCTGCTGCGTTGTGACACGCAACTTCAATTGCTGGTGGAAGATTATTTTTTATCTGATTATACCCCATACCTAGGAAAAAATGTTTGCAATTGTGTAAAGTGAAAAACAGTAAATTTGCAATGCAAAATTTATATGAATTAAACTAAAACAATAAATTGACGATGGCAATTTTTAAAAATGAAATATGCTTATCAATTATCATACATCAACAACATATATGTGTAAGAAGAATTCAATCTAAACAAAAAAAAAGTGTAATCTTAACTTAGTTATTTAAGGAAATATTTCTAAAATATATATTATTAGACTTTATTTTCAGAATAATTCAAATTTTATTCATACTTATTGATATATTTTTGCTATGTTAAAATGAAATGTATAATCTGTATTAATGTCATTCACAAAAGATATTAAAATTTGATTTTATTACTTACCCACAGCGGCCATTTTTCCTTTAATTAGTTCTGTTTCAATAGAAGCTCTTCCTCTGGCATACGCTGAAAGGATCATCTGCTCCAGAGTAAAACAGCCATCAGCATACGCACAACCAAGTTCACCTACTGAATGACCGATGATTCCATCTGGCTCGATTCCTAGTTCTTTTAATGTGTCCACCAGACCAATCTATTTAAAATTACATTTTTATGTTATTTTATTTTTATTTTATTTTACTAATTTTACTAACCTGAACAGCTGCGATTCCTACGAATGAGTGGAGAATATTATCGAACATTTTTTGGTCCTGGCTTGTAATGATTTTGATCACATCGATCCCTTCGGGCTTCAGCACTTCTTGGCATTTGTGTATGGCCCGTGCGAAGCAGGGCAGTTTCAGCAGTTCTGTGCCCATGCCACACCATTGTGATCCCATACCGGAGAAAACAAACCAAATTGGCCTTTTGACGCCTGAGTCTAAGGCCTGTGGTAAATGTTTATTAACTTCATTTGTTGAATACAATCTGTTGACACTACCTTTAATTGATGACAGGTTTTAGATCCGTCCCCAAGCAATGTATAAGCACGGAATAAATGACGTTTTATTTCAGTTGAGAACAAATGATGTGTCAGGGCAACAAACTCCTCATCAATGGGTGAAGATTCAAGCTATAATTTTAATAAATTAAAAAACAATCAAAAATATTCTTTTCTAATGCTTTTTACCTTAGTTAAAACTCCATTTAATGCAGCTTCATCTCTTCCAGATAAGATAATCAACCTCGGAAGTCCATCAGGTGGCAGTTCTCCAAGTTTTAAAGGCCTTGACTTCACCTTTGGATTGCCTTTCAACAACACATGACCGTATGAACCAGCAATACCATTTGAACTGATTCCTATTATGTCACCTTCTAATTTAGTCGGTTCGGTGATGACCTTAAAAAACACACCTATTAAACCTGAACAAAATTTGATGTTAAATTTACTAACTTTCAGCTTGCCAGATGCCAACCATGGTACATCAGGATTGGGAGAATTGTAGTTAATATTTGGCGCAATGACTCCACTTCTAAGTGCTAACAGGGCCTTGCATATACTGACAAAAGTGCTCGAAGCTTCAGTATGTCCCAAATTGCTTTTAACAGATCCAATTAGAAGCGGCTTATCTCTTTTTGTGCACAAGGCTTCACCCAATGAGTTTAATTCTTTTGCATCAATGATCTTTAAAAAAAAAGATGTATATCATTATAAACGATGGCAGATTATAATTGATAAATTACTTACTTTTGAAGCGCATCCATGAGCTTCAACATATGCCACATCATTAGGATCGACATTAGATGATTTATATACATCTTCAACCAAAACTTTGTACTTTTCCTCATCAAATTCACCAAACCCAACCTCACGAGATCCAAAATTGAATGACTTTATTCCAAGCAGAGAAGCATATACACGCTTTGCATGTTCTTTCCGTTGTAAAAAGAATACAACACAAGCTTCTGCACGGCTGTAGCCATCAGCTAAAAATGAACACATCCTTGATTATTTAAGCAAAACAATGTTAAAAATTTAAGTAAAAGTAATTATGTTATGTGTGGTGATTAGTGACCGTTAATTGATATTTATTTAGAAATTGTGAGATGCGGTCTGGTGTGATGTAGGTTTCAGAAAAAATCATAATAAAAAATAATAACAATAATAAAAATAATAAAAAATATATTTTGGATTGTATAAATTCACTTTTCAACATCCAAAATGTAATTGTTATATGTAAACAATGTTTGTAAATCCCAGGCCCTGAAGATGATCTCAATAAAGATTGAAACGGGGCACGATAAAGAAAATGTTTTTCTGAAACCTACATCACACCAGACCGCATCTCACAATTTCTGAATAAATAAAAGTAATTATGTTTATTTGAGTACTGTTAGTTAGGATAACTCTGGTGTGATATACCATCTGCACTGAAGCATTTTGTGAGACCATCTTTATTCAGTTCTCCCTTTGCATGCCAATGAGTTGAAGATTCTGCTTTTGAGATGAGACTGCACACTCCAACAATTGCAGTTGTGGTTTGTCCTCTTTTGATCATGTTGTATCCAATTTCTAAAGCTTGCATTCCACCATTCCATGTATTATCTAATGCAAGGCTTGGTCCTGAAATAATGAGAATGTAAAACTGTCATAGAAATTGATACTTTAACTTATACCTTTTAGGTTCATGAAGTAAGAGAGACGATTGGCTTGCATCGTACGGCTGTGGCCCAACATAGCATGCCCAACATTTTTTGCTCCCATGACACATTCATACTCTGTCTCACTTATCATAGAAGCCATCGCAACTGCCGTCTTTGTCCCAGAAAGCAAAGTTGGATTTATTCCTTTAAAAATTTGTTTATTTAAAGAATGTTCTTATGAAAATATTTGATTGAACAAACCAGCATCACAGACTGCAGCATAAGCATGCTCCAAGCATAGTCTTGTAGTTGGATCCATAATTTCACACAATTTTCTATGTATTCCAAAAAAGGTCATGTCAAAGTAATTCATTTCTTTCACTTTTCCCGTACCCGCTGGCACGCCAAGTTCACCTGGGCAGATTAACTTTTTTTAGAAAAGAAAAACATAGATGATACAAGCTGAGCACCATACCAGGGGTCCAACGTCGACCATCTACAGTGACCATATTGACTTTATTGAGCAGATTTCTTTCAAGTTCTTCCAAGCCATCACTTTCCGGAAAAAACCCAGAAACTCCAGATATAACGACTTCATATTCTTTGTCAGCCATTTTGTTCTACAATAAAATAATATTTACTACTAAAATCAGGAATTTTTAAAAATGTTTAATTTGTTTAATAGAATACTGTTTTATTTTAGCTGTTTTGGATTTAACATACTGAAAGGACTAGCCAAAATTTATAGGGTTCGTTTTTAAATTTGTTTCACTAAGAAAATTGAATTGTTGCTTTTTCATTTGTTCATTCTCACTGTCATAAACATTATACTAATATAGCAATGAATATTCATCAGAAGCTATTTTTTATAGGTCGTAAAACAACGTTTTACAAAAATAATTAATAAATAATAAAATAATGAACATATTCTTGCAGAAAATTGTATGATTGGTTACTTTCAATTTTCTAGTCAATTAATTATGTTATTTTCATTACTTTTGGGGGGGGGCAGAAATATAAAACTTTTTTTTTCTCTCTCTCTCTCTCTCTCCTTCCTCTCTCTCTTTCTTTCCATCTATCTATCTATCTATTTATGTATCTGCTCTCATTGATTTTTGCTTAATAATCTTCCCCTATCATTCTGATCTTCAAGTACTTATGTATGTTATTCATCTTTTGTGTGTTATTTTTTAATTATTTAAAAAAAGAAAAAGTACAGAACACATTGAGAATAGACAAATCAGAATGATCAGGAATGTCAAGGTTCAGGTTGTGAATTTCAATTTAATAGAAACCTTAATTCCTGAAAGTCTTATTAAAGAGACCTTAGTACCATATGAAACCACTAAATTATATAATGTGCTGAACATCAATTATTAATCATTTTAGTACAATTATAATATTTTAGGCTAAATGTTTTAAGCTATGAGGTCAGATGAGAGTATTATTGAAAATATAATGATCAATGTTATCATTACACACTGATAAATAATGTATTAATAAAAAATAAGTTGAGTCAAAAATTAAATGAACAAATGAGTGACAATTGTATAATAGTTAGAAGTAAACATTTTTAAAAGACAAACTGAATTATCAGCTAAGCATTTGAAAAACTGGATTCTCAATTCTTTTCATTATTTGGAAATTGTAGTTTGTTGTTTTTTTGTTTTGTTTTTTCATAGAAAATGGATGCAAATAAAAGTATTACTCCTATGCTTAATATTGTACTTACTTTCTTACACGTACAGACTAAGGAGTAGTGCTTACACTTCTTGTACCTGTAAGAGTCCAACCAGGAATGAAACGAAGTTCAAGGGTGGTTCTTAATATCATTTAAAGAATTTAATACATGACATTTGAACCTGTCTCAGTTTTTCACTGATTAATAAAACATTATGGAAATGACATAAATGGGCATTGTTAGTTTAAAAAGAACATAATAAGACATAATAGATTTGATTTATAATTAGTTAAGCAGATGAGCAAATTTGCATTTAATACCAACGCTCATGAAAATCCGTCATTCAATTAACAATAACACCACATTAAATTGAAGTTTATCTTTTTTGAAATATTTAAAACTTGCTAAGTCTGTAGATTTTAAATATATTATATTAATAAATATATATGTGATTACTAGGTGTATAATATTACAAATCAAATTTATATATTTTTTAATATTAAAAACTGACCTTGTGCCTGCTTTAATGTCATAGTAATCAAGCTTCTGATGGTACTATGAATATTTTATGGGTGTGACCTATATAAACCCTACTTGTATGCATCAATAAAAATGACTTTTTGATGTTTTGCACATTATTCTGTACTTTTTTTATTTGCATAATTTTTTATTGAGTAATGTTCAAAACATGGAAGGAAGTCGCACTATCGTAAAAACAAGTGAATCAATTTTAATTAAATTGACCAAATTACTTGCTGTTCTTAGTGGAGTTTACGCTTTGAACTGGTCTAAGAAAACTCCAGGTTTCTATTTTTAATGCCACATTTTTTATTTATTTATTACTAATGTTATATTATATTTATACATTGAACATTATCAATTTTAACATTGATTCATTCACATCTTTCATATTCTATGAATGTCTAGTTAGATCTTCCCTGATAAACTCGTTGCGCAAGTTTTTTTGTGTCTTTTTTTATGTATATCAGACACATTTCAATATGTCACAGACCAACCACTAAAGATGGAAAAATGCCAAAACGTGTCAAAATTAGCAAGCATAGGTAGAACCAGATGTTTAGGAAAGGTCAAGCTACAGGTTCGCTTGCCGACCTGACCACATTTTACGTTTATGCTGTGATATACGTTTAACAATTTATTCACTAAAACACCATATCTAAAATAATATAAATTTTAAAATATTAAAAAGAATTGAACTAACATGTTCACTATAAGGAGTCTAACGAAAGTAAAATGTAATTCTTTAATAATAAGCTAGGATATTTTTATTTCAATATAATAATAATAAATATTTCTGTTTGATTGCAGGAAATTTGATTTTAAACCATCTTGACATTCTGGTAGGACTGGCATACATAATTGTAAATATATTTAATTGTGCAAAAGCTATGAGAATAAATCGAAACAGGTTTTTGCCAAAAATATTGACGTTTGCATTTTCAATAAGTTCTCTTGGAGTTTTGCTGAATTATTTAATCCGGAGAAAAGCCAGCAAGCAGCTTCATCTCAAACTAGAAAAGATCCAGAAAAAGAACAAGGACAAGTTGAATCTCCATTGTTCGTTTTTCATTTTCCCAATTTTTCTATTGACCATTATCACAAGATTGTACCTAAGTGTCGACGGTTTGGCGGACAATTTTAACATTATTGCGCATTTACCGGTATATTTTAACAATTTTATAATCATTCTCGAGTGTTTAACTATTGAGAAACAACTGCACATTTTGAACAAGGGAATGTTGAAACTACTCAACCGCAAAGCCCACCTCAAAAACATGTTAAGACTATTTAGCAAAAGATACGCACAGCTGGTAGAAATGACTGATGAAATGAATTATTGCCATGAGTACGATTATCTCAATATTACACTTTTGAGCATGTTACGTACAGTTGTTGTTATGCACAGATCAGTAACGACTTTTGCACTCAACTCTTCCAGTAATACTCTTAATTTAAATAAGGAGTTTATATTACTTGCAACTATAATAATTGGAATATCATTTCTTGGGACATTTTATTACTCATGCTGGTGCTCCTCATTACTCACAGAGAAGGTAAATAATAATTATTTATTTTATATTACTTTTATTAGCTTTTTTTTTTTTTTAGAGCAAAAAAGCTCTAGAGAATGCGCTCAGAATAAAAGTCAGCCTCTACAAATATATGGATGATGAGACAAAATTAGTAGTATGTTTTTTAATATACCTATTTATTTATTTAATTGTTTTTTATTCACTCTTTCAGATAAATGCTTTTATAAAACAACTTTACAATAAAGAAATTAGTATGTCATCCTTGAACATATTTAAATTCAACTTAAGAATGTTTTGTACGGTAAGTATTACATAATAGAAAAAATTAATCAAATAATAATTGTATTATTTGTAGTTTGTGGAAAATGCTATTACGTACATCATTGTTGCTCTACAATTCTCAGAGACAAATGGAACTAAAAATACACGCTGATTAAATACTAAGAATTCATTAAACAAAATGTAAAATTATATCCTGTGCACGTATGTAAATAATTGCTAATAACATGAGGACCTTTATCCCCTTTATAATACGTGTTGTTGATTGTTAACATTGAATAATCACAGCACATAACAAATTAATATATTAGTACTAATATTTTCCTTAAAGTAAAACAGCATGAACTGTGTAGTTTACACACTATGAAGATGGAATAAACAAATTTAAATGTCTTTTTTTTCCTTCCATATAGTTGTAAGGATTTGCTCATCGCTGATAGGACCTGAACCCTTCTGTGGCATAGGAATCCACACTATTAACGAATATCTCAGACAGAAGGACAAAAAGAAAATGAGCGAACTTTGGAATTCACTTATTGGACATAGACAATCCAAGATTCTTCTAACCAATTTTGGCAAGAAAGAAATCACAGAATGTGTCAAAGGAAGCAGGAATAGACTGCAAATCCTAACAGGATTCCTGACAGGACACTGTAGATTAAATGGACATCTAAAGAAAATTGGAATAATCCAAGTTGGCACATGTAGATTCTGCAAAGAAGCAGAAGAGACACCAACACACTTACTAACAAACTGCGGAGCTACATTAGCCCGCAGGAAGAAGTGTTTTGGGATCTACAATGTGACCATAGAAGAACTACAACCACTGAAACCGGGCCTATTAATCAAGTTGCTTGATGAAATAGGACTCACCAATTGCTTTAGGCAGAGCACAGGGGATACAATAGCTCTTAAAGGGCACTGTATACCATACCCTGAAATATTATATCTACATCTCTTTTAGAGCCAATACTAATGGATTTGCTTGAAGATATATGTTTCTTTTATGAAGTGAAGTATCAAGACATGCATGGTTCAAGAGCAGTTTTCCCAGATACCATAGCCTTTTCCCACGTATTGTAGGCTCCTGGATCCTGGATATGTTTGGTCATTTCCATAACCCAACAATGGTCCCATTTTTTAAGGTAATCTTTAACTGTAGCATATCTTGTACTTATGCTAATTAGAGTTTTTAATTCCTTTCTGTTGAGTAGGATTTTTCTTTCTCTCATTGAGTTTGTTTTGCTACTATTATTTTTGCTTACCTTATGCCTGCTCTTTGCTCTCAGTATTTGTTGTTTTCTTTAGTTACCCAAGAGTATAGTTCTCTCATTTTTTTAGCATCTCTCATCTGCTGCCTCTGTAATTCCCTTAAGGCCTGGGAACCAGTTTAGCATTAGGCTATTTGAAGATCCTAGTTTTTTAGGGTGTTAAGGCAGTTCCAGACAAGTTTTGAACTAATCTCATAGGCTTGGAGACCCTTTAAAACTGCCTGACTGTCTGAAAGAACAATTATTGTTGCACGCTTGAGATGTTTTTTGTTCATCTCATGGGTTTCTAGCAGTTCAGCCCATAAGATTATCTCTCCTCAATTTTTTAAATTTAAATACATGCTTTTAAATTTAAAAGTGTTTCCACACTCTTTACATTTTATAAATGGGATATAATGACCAAACTTTAATATTTGATTTTCGATAAAGTTTTCATTCTTGATTAATATAATCATCGAGTATAATTTATAATCGAATAGTTTATGAAATATTGTCATAAGCTTTGTCAATTTAGTTTTTTTGTTTTATTATAATGTACCCATTTATTTCAACAGTATCACACCCTTTAGCTTCTGTTTTGATAAGTTACAAGTGGATTTTTATGACTTAATAGTACTATATATCCAAAAGTTTATAATAGATGTCAAATTATTGCACTTGTACATCCATGTGTAAAAGAAAAATTCAAAAATTGACAACCAACTTTACTAAACACTTGTTTTTAAGCATTTGGACTGTACTGTTTTTAAAATTTTTGTTAAACATGCTTAATCTTTAAAACTAATTAAAACATTCAACACAATAGCACTTAATTAACGGTTTCTCATCTGGACTTGTATCATTTACAACTGGAGTTATCCCAACTCTCATTAGTGTACCAAATAGTAATAAAGAAAGAGGACGTGAAAATAAATGTTAGTTAAATTGTAATATAATTGATAACAAACTATTGCAATTAATGGCGCTGGCACTTTATAAATTGAACCTCATATTATAGGACGATTTTTTTATTATATACAATTTATTTGTTGCTAAATATGGTTTTGACATCATTACTATTTCACCTATCAGGAATATTGTCATATACTAAAAAAAATCAACACATGCAGCGTCTTTATACTTTGGTGTGTTTACCTGATATGGGCTTTAGTCACATATTTATTTTTTGTTTTCAATCAGCACTTCTTTTAGATGACTGATAGGATATAAATGGACATAGATGGAATATTGAGTACCGACAAACACACCAAAGTAATCTAAGTTATTTAATTTTATATACATTTGCAGTATGATACAAGGGTAGTCACTGGCGTAATATCAAAAACCCTGGTGACCTCCCAACTATAAATAACTTAAATTCTCTTTTTGCTTACATGTAAGTTAAATTATGTTGTCATATTGTATAATTTATTGAAATATATTGTTTCATAGTTAACAACAAAAAAAGTTTTATTTATAGTTATACACTTAAAAAAGGATATTTATGGATACTATGTGCTGACTCAGACATATTCAGATTCATCTGTACATTGCCTTTTTTTGTACGTTTTTCTTTTTGGTGTACAGGCATCATTTGATTGCCTAGAATGGCGTTGTCGTTGAGATTTTGAGCTGTGCTTTCCTTTCCTTGATTTTGCCCGATCCCCCGTTGACTTATGTCTTCTACTGTGCTTTGATCTATTTTTCCTTCTCGGTCCACAAGGGTCTTGCTTTCTCTGTTTTCTCCTCTTAGCTGAAGATGTACGCTTCTTTGAATCCTTGGTTTGGTCTGGTTGCTGATGACTTTTCTTTCCACCGCAGATGCCGCACAGGCTTGTCGTTTTTCCTGTTAACCGGTAAGTCTTATTTGACATTCTTTGCAATATGCCCGAAGCCTCTGCATATTGCACTGTTTCCAAAAACCTCGGAAGTGCTCGGCTTGGCATTATGTTGTATTGATCTTTAATATATTTGAGAAGTTCTACCATACTTATACCCTCATTTTTACTGTTCGACAAAGCTATTAAACCTTCTTCTATCATCATCAACATCTTGCCTTTGCTTATCACTCTAGAGTTATAGTTTCCAGCCATCTCAACCAAATATCAACAAAACCACAACACTACAGATTTAAATAACTATAAACTATTTTTTCATAACGACTAAAACATAAAGATTTTAGACATATTGTTTTTAAATTAAGAATTTTTCACATGGTTAAAAAAATATTCATTTATTAATACTGTGATGTAATACTAATAATATAAAAATTGTGTTAAAATGCAAACTGCAGATGAAAAAGTCAATTACCATGACGGCTCTATATTTTTGATTAATTTAATGCTTATTTATGGGGATGTGATTAGCTTTAGAACTTTATGTAAAAGTTAGTCAAACTGTCAAAAATTAGGTAGTTTTATTTTCACCCATTTGGCTAGATTAGATAATCTCAGACCAATATTGCCTTAGTGATTGACACAATAAATAAAACAAAAGTATTTTTGTTAGCTGACTCCAGTGGGATCATCCCGATCGACTGTACATCTTAGAACTTAATTTAAGAATAGATCTTGCATGTTTATGCCCTTTATTCTGTAAAAACATATTCAGTATCCAAATGAATCACAAATTTGGAGGCAGATAACATGTATAAACTGAAAAATACTGCAATTAAAAAATGCATGTTCATGTAATGGAGTTGTTCTTCATTTTTCTTTACATATGTATAAGGAATAGTGCTGTTAATGGTCAAAAGCTAAAGGCTGTCAAGTGTACTGATTTTAAAACACGAATTACTTATAAAATTATGAATGATAATAGGTATAATCCAAAATATGTAGAAGATTAAAATGAAGGAGAATAGTACATTACTTTTCTCTTGTCTTTGGTTTTTTTATCATTGTAATTACTAAACTCGTACAGTTTACAATTTATACTCATTATTATTTGGAGATCTGAGGCCACCAGACCGCACCTCACGATCTCCAAATAATCATTGGACTATTTCACTAAACACCACACATTTATACTCAATGTCGCTATTTATGAGTTCAATAATTACAACCCTAAACTGATAGTACATGGCAATAAAAGATTTTTTTTTTATCTAACACCACGAAGAATCAGGATATTCATTCAATGCATAAATAAGTATTTCTAAGTAATGAAATTTTTATATTGAACAAGAATTGATTTGCCAATCAGCTTATTGTAAAGAGAAGAGCGTTTGTTTTATTTAAACTGAAACAGCTCTGGTCAAAAACTTCCAGCTTATATTAGTCACTGTTTAGCTGACATAATTGACCTATTAATTATTTCAATTAATTATACTTTTTCAGATTCAAACCCGTGATAGCTCAAGTAGTTAGAGCAGTAGCGTATTGAGTTGTGGGCTTGAATCTTGCTCGTGACACTAACTTTTTCATCTCAACCAAGACTTTAAGAAGATATGAAAAAATATTTTACTTTCTGATTATCTATTTCTATTTTTTTTTCTTTGTCTTTTGGTTGCTTTTCTTTTATTTGAGTTGATATGTATGTATATGTTTTCCCTGGAACAAATACAATCAGTCATTTTCAGTCATATTGTTCTTATTTCCTTATTTATCAGTTTAAAAAAAGAAATTCACTAATTTCGTGGTCCACTTTGACCAATTAATATATTACAATTAATTAAGGTTTTTAGTTGCTTGGTTTTAGTCAATGGCACGAGTGGGATTCGAACCCACGATCTTCGGCTTGATCCGCCGCTGCTCTACCACTTGAGCTATCGTGACCTCGATCCACTCAGACACCAACCTCCCATCTCAACTACTTTAAAATAATAGTTGAACTTAACTGATTTTTGTGTTATTGATCCCAGTTACAATCCTTGGATATTAGGAATTACTTGCCCAATTATAATTTTCCTTTAACAATTTTCAGTGAATTAGTTTATTTTGCTAATAAACATCATAACAATGGAGTAAGTATTTTTAATGTAAATTTTCTCAATCATCTCCATTTTATGACATTTTTATTTGTGTGTAGAGATTAGTGACCGTTAATCGATAGTTATTCAGATATCGTGAGACCCGACCGCATCTCACGATATCTACATAACTATTTTTATTTAATTTTGTTATATTTTTGGCCCAATTCTTTTATAATTCGATTTGTAAATGCGTGCCAAAAGGACTTGGAATGGTTATGGAAGGAGCCTAGAGGTTCAATGGAACTTTTAGTCTATTTGGCTGATTTAACTTGACTTTCCAATAAACTTCATAACAATGTAGTGTTTTTATCGAAAATTTTCTTTAATGTCTTCATTTTTTTTTTTAAAATTACATTTTTGACCTAATTCTTTTGAATTGGATTTGTAAATGCGTGCCAAAAGGACTTGGAATGGTTAGAGCCTAGTGGTTCAATGGAACTTTTAGTCCATTTGGCTGATTTAACTTGACTTTTCAACAAACTTCATAACAATATAGTGTTTTTATCGAAAATTTTCTTTAACGTCTTCATTTTTATTTGATTTTATTATATTTTTGACCAATTTCTTTTGAATTGGATTTGTAAATGCGTACCAAAACGATTTGGGAAGAAATTGAATGGAAGTGGACGTAATGGTTACCGAAAAAAAAGTAGAACCTTCCTTGATAATTCCTTATCATCCGGAATTATTCCAAAATACAACCGGCAACTCGTAATTTTTATTTATACAGCATTCTTCTCTATAAAATGTCGATTTTCCCAATTTAAACACAATGATTAACAAGTTTTTCATTAAATGGGCGGTCCATGGGGCCAAAATTCACAAATCCTGGCATTCCTGTAGATGCATAAGGTACTTAATTTTAGGCAATCATAACATAGTTTTAGTATTTCAAATTAAGAAATTAATTGGGTGAACTTGGGGAAACTTGGTGGAAGGTCTATTGCAATTTTTTTTTTTTTTTTTTTTTTTTGTTGGATGCTGCCATATCAATTTTTGACCCAGTTGTTTTAAGTTATTTTGTTGCAATTTAATTTTGCATTAACTGGTAATGCTTGCCAGAGTATGATCATGAGTGATAAGCTATTTTTGCCTTGATATGAAATGAGCGAAATACATAAAGTACCTGGGATGAAATTTGTTTAAATCCTATGCTGCATTCCTATGACTTCACAAGCAGAAGTAAATAAACGCAGTAAAACTTTACCTCTTATTAAATTTAGCAATAATTTGGGCAAAAACAACTTGTTTTGATTCATAAAAACTCCACAAATTGCTCATAGATCATGAGAGTAAGAGAATTATTATGTTTAAGAAGTTATATTTGTCATAGTATTGTTTTGTTTCTTTTGGGGTCTTAGAGATTTCCCCATTTTGCATTCAAACTTTCGTCTATTGTATCCGAACTATTCTAATGATTTTCCTTGAAGATTTTTGTTTCTTTAGAAAATAAACAAATTCTTATCAGGGGTTGGCATCGATGTTTTCTTTGCTCAGAAATGGCTTTCCATATCCATAGCCTTTTCTTAGTTATTGCGTGGCAGTTGCATAGGACATGCTCTGTTGTCTCTGTCTTCTCTAGACATTCTGTTAATAGTATCATTTTTTTTCTTGTTTGTTTTCTCGGACTTTCTCTTTCTCTCATTGAGTTGTTTTTGTGATTAGTTTTTTCTTACCTCATGCCTGACAAATGTTCCCAGTAATTGCTTTCTTTAGTTACCCAAATTCTAGTTCTTTTTTTTTTTTTTTTTCATGTGACTGTGGTGTTGGAAATTGTTACAAGGCCCTTTTTTTTTGGAAAGGATATTTCCTGTCTTTTGCCTGTTATGCCCTCATAACCTGGGACCCACCCAAAAATAGTTTTTCTTTTTTTTCCATTTCATTTTCATTTATAGGCAGTTCAGACTAGTTTTGGCTAGACTAGGCTTTGTTTTAATGTGTGGTGTTTAATGACCGTTACTTAATGATTATTTGGAGGTCATGAGTTGTGGTCTGGTGTCAATTCATTTTTTAAATCTAAAATTTTCTAGTATTGTATAAATTATTTTTTTTATATAAAATTTTCTAGCATTGTATAAATTCATTTTTTTTAATCTAGAATTTTCTAGCATTGTAAAATTCTTTTTTTTATTCTAATATTTTCTAGCACTGTATAAATTCATTTTTTTATCTAACATTTTCTAGCATTGTATAAATTATTTTTTTTTAATCTAAAATTTTCTAGCATTGTAAAATTTTTTTTTTAATCTAAAATTTTCTAGCATTATAAAATTCCTTTTTTTTTAATCTAAAATTTTCTAGCATTGTAAAAAAAATTTTTTTATTCTAATATTTTCTAGCACTATAAATTCATTTTTTTATCTAACATTTTCTAGCATTGTATAAATTCTTTTTTTTATCTAAAATTTTCTAGCATTGTAAAATTTTTTTTTTAATCTAAAATTTTCTAGCATTGTAAAATTATTTTTTTTTAATCTAAAATTTTCTAGCATTGTAAAAAAAAAATTTTTTATTCTAATATTTTCTAGCACTGTATAAATTCATTTTTTTATCTAACATTTTCTAGCATTGTATAAATTCTTTTTTTTTAATCTAAAATTTTCTAGCATTGTAAAATTCTTTTTTTTTAATCTATTTTCTAGCATTGTATAAATTCATTTTTTTTAATCTAAAATTTTCTAGCATTGAATAAATTCATTTCTTTAATCCAAAATTTTCTATCATTGTATAAATTAATTTTTTTAATCTAAAATTTTCTAGCATTGTAAATATTCATTTTTTTAATCTAAAATTTTCTAGCATTATATATATTCATTTTTTTAATCTAAAATTTTCTAGCATTGTATAAATTCCTTTTTTTTAATCTAAAATTTTCTAGCATTGTATAAATTCATTTTTTTTCCATATCCTACATGTATTTGTAAAATTTAAACAATGTTTATAAATCCCAGGCCTCAATCATCTCAATAAAGATCGAAACGTTGGCACGATAAAGAAAATGTTTTTCTAAAACGTACATCATACCAGACTGCACCGTACATCTCATGACCTCCAAATAATCTTTATGTTTTAATTTAATTTTTTTTTTATATATAGGTATTTTTAGGGGAAAGGGACTCTGTTATGACTGCAAGATCTGCAAGCTGAGTGTCTGACACGCTAACACTCAACTATTGCATTCCTCTATACTAGGCTCGAAGGTCCTCTGGAAAGAGTTGCCTAGCTATCAGATTATTGTTGCACCTTGGAATGTTTTTTGTTTATTTTATGTTCACATATTTTGATTGTTAGCAACTCAGCTTGAAAGATAATTAAGACTTTTTTGCCCATTCCCATACCATTTCCCCATCTTTGAGTCATCTGTATACCAAAGAAGAGCTTCAGGTTTTTCTTCGTTCGTTTTATCTTTCCATTGTGCTTTATGACTATTTAGAGATCGTGAGATGCGGTCTGGTGTGACGTATGTTTTAGAAAAACATTTTCTTTATCGTGCCAACGTTTCAATCTTTATTGAGATCATCTTCAGGGCGTGGGATTTATAAACATTGTAAATCTATCAATCTAATTTCTATCATTGTATGAATTAATTTTTTCACATCATACATCTGTTTGTACAATTTAAACAATACTTATAAATCCCAGGCCCTGAAGATGATCTCAATAAAGATTGAAACGTTGGCATGATAAAGAAAATGTTTTTCTAAACCTACGTCACACCAGACCGCTCACAGTCGCCAAATAATCATTAATGGTCACTAAATACCACACATTGTGCTCTATTTTCAATTAATTATGTTCAATGGTTTTTCAAAGTCTAGTATTTTCTCTTGTCAGGAATAGTTTTAACTATGTCAATTCTGTTGAAAACATTAATATAGCCATAATTTGATACTTTCCTTCCACTGACCTATGAATTCTTAATACCTATAGCATTGTTAAGAAATAGTAAAATTTTTGAGCTGTTTGAAGGCACCTTTCAACTCTAAAACAATTTTTTAAAATTATATGTTTAATTTTTTAATAACTTTCTGTCCAAAGGAGATATCAAACATCAACCAGCCAATTAGAGGATCAAATAAAAGTTTACAGATCAAGACTTGAGGCGATTCCAGTAGAAAACATAAGAAATTTTAGCATAATTGCCCACGTTGACCACGGAAAGAGCACATTAGCCGATAGGCTCTTGGAGATAACGGGTTCTCTCTGTCCAGACCCAACGAATAAGCAAGTCCTCGACAGGTGTGAAAACGGCCAAACTCCCTTCCTGTGCAGACTTAGCTGTTCATTGTTTCAGGTTGCAGGTTGAAAAGGAAAGAGGAATAACAGTCAAGGCCCAGACAGCGTCGCTGATCTACGAACACCTTGGACAAGACTACCTTCTCAATCTAATCGACACGCCTGGGCACGTCGACTTTTCCAACGAAGTTTCCAGGTCACTTGCGGCTTGTCAAGGAGTCATCTTGCTCGTTGACGCCAATCAAGTATATCGCAATTTCTCCCTTTATTGTTTTTCAATATCTTTACATTTATTTTCTCAAAGGGCGTCCAAGCACAGACTGTGGCCAATTTTTATTTGGCGTTCACTAAAGAGCTTGTAATTATACCTGTTTTAAACAAAGTTGACCTTAAGAATGCAGATCCTGAAGGTACTATATTACAACTTCAAAATGTTTTCTGTATACAGCCAGAGGAAGTACTGAAGGTATCTTAATAATTAAGGACAATCAGTGTTTTAGTTCAAAATGTTTTACCAACATAGCGGTAACTTTTAGGTATCTGCGAAGTATGGAACTGGAGTGCCTGATGTCCTCAAAGCGATGATTGAAAGAATCCCTCCACCACTATCAGATGTGTCTAAACCATTACAAGCTCTTCTGTTTGATAGTTGGTAAACACACAAGTCCAATCCTACAAATTTCATTTTTGTAATTTTTATTTTGTATTGTTTCAAGGTACGATAAATATAGAGGAACGATTGGACTAATTTATGTCAAAAATGGTGAATTGAATGTAGGGGATCAAATTGAATGGTGCCACTCAGGTAAAGAATTTATTGTGAAGACGCTCGGTGTTCTCAGCCCTGAAGAGGTCAGCACTCTTAAACTGTACGTTGAGTAAAATAAAGCATTATTTTACAAGAATATTATAATTAGAACGCGATAATCTATTAGAAAAGCTGGGCAAGTCGGATGCTTGAGTTGTGGCATGAAAGCGACAGAAGCCAGCATCGGTGACACTTTATGCCATGCGAACAATTTAGTCGATCCATTAGAAGGTTTCGTTCCTGCTCGGCCGATGGTTTTTGCAGGTGTGTTTCCTTTCGATCAGTCACAGCTGCCACAACTAAGGAACGCCATTGAAAAACTAACACTCAATGATAATGCTGTCTCTGTTAAAATGGATTCAAGGTAAGCATCAGAGAAATGTATCAATGAAAAATTAATATGAAAATTTGTCCAAAAGTCCTGCTCTCGGACAAGGCTGGAGATTGGGTTTTCTCGGGCTTCTACATATGGAGGTTTTCAACCAAAGGCTGGAACAAGAGTATGATGCTCAAGTCATACTCACCTCGCCCAGTGTGACATACAAATGTATATTTTCAATAAGTTTCAGTATCGTATCTATCAAGATCTAACGTTATATATTATATTTTTATCTAGTTATACTACAGAATTCAGATGCAGTTTTACAAAAATATGGCAGCAGGGAAATATTCATCTCCAATCCTGTCAACTATCCTGATCCAACGCATATCGTAGAAATGTTAGAACCAATTGTCAAAGGGACCATCATCACACCAGGTTTTAAAAGCCCAAATCTATCATTGCTACTGTTTTAAAATTGTAAATGATTAATTTTATCATGTTTATTTTATTTCAGATGTGCATTTTGGAGATGTAATTTCCCTTTGCATGGAAAGGCGAGGGATACAAGAAACCGCAGTCAACATTGACAACAAAAGAATAATGATGGAATTCACTTTGCCTTTGAATGAAATACTCGTCGATTTTCACGATAAACTGAAATCAGTAACATCTGGTTTCGCCAGCTTTGATTATGAAGACAAAGGCTATTGGACGACCAACTTGGTTAAGGTATTGTCTCATTCAATTTTTCAAGAAAAAAGTTTAATCGGAATTAAAATTTAAGCTCAATATATTATTAAATGGTGTGGAAGTCGATGAACTGAGCACCATCGTCCATTTGTCCAAAGCGGCCACCATTGGCAGACAGATGTGTCACAAGTTGGTCGATATTATCCCACGGCAGCAATTTCATGTAATTATTGGAATATATATTGTTTACCTAGATAAAGGATTAATTATTTATTACTATAGATTGCTATACAAGCAAAAGTAGGTGGAAAAATTGTTGGAAGGGAGAACATTAAACCTTACAGAAAGGATGTTACTGCAAAACTAAAGGTATTAAAAATTAAACCTCTGCATAAATTTTATAAATATTAATAATATCTAAGAAAGTCTCAAACCTTTGGTAGAAGTAAATAATTTGTATAACTGTAAAAATTGACGTTTTCTTTTGATTTATTATTTTTAGAGTGGAGGAGATGTCCAAAGAAGGAACAAACTCTTACAGCAGCAGGCAGAAGGTAAAAGGAAACTAAAGATGGTCGCTAATATTGCCTTACCAAGAGACACTTTTATACAGGCTTTGAAACGATAATCCCTGTAAATATTATCTTATACAGAAACTGTAAATAAAGTAATTTTTTATGCAAACTGTTGTTCTGTTAATTGCATAATGAGTTTAATTTAGGCTTCATCTGCTGATTTTAATATTTCTGGAACTGAATAAAATTGTCTATAACATATTCAATTATCAAATAGCAAGTATTAACATTCCAGGAGTGAAATGGGTGAATTAAAAATAAAACATTTTTGTCAACAATTATTTTATTTTGACTTTATAAAAATTAGTTTTGGATCAAAGACAAAAAAAAGAGTACAAATGAGATATCACAATTTTTTAAAAAATAATTGTATTTTCCAATATTTAAACGTTTTAAGAAATAAATAATATGTACAATTACAATAAGAATTTGAAAGTTTAGGTGTTCGAGTTTTAAATGTCAGTCTATATCAGTTGAATATTTCAACTGAAATATTAAAGTGTTTGGGTTAGTAACATCGGCAACACAGAACTGAGTTCCAGCGACTATGCCTAATTCGTTGAGTGTTTTCTTCAGATTTTCCTTGGTTTTTTCCTCGATGCTTTTAACATTGGGCATGTAGAGCGTACGTGACTTGCCGTTAATACTGGCGGTCAGACCTGGGTTTTTCATCTGGTAAGGCTGATCGCAAAGTACTTCGATGAGTTCCTGGAGCTTAAGTTTCCCATCGGCGACTTCAAGAATCTGAGGGGTGTTGCTGCAGACTAAGCAGTCTACTTTCTTCTCGGCTTCGTAACTGTAAGTGTATATCCCATCTACGTCATTGAAGACCATGTAATTGTTTAACGGAACACAGCAGCTGGTGGCAAGCTTAAACACTTCAGTTGCACAGGCCGCAGCGATCACGGCGTTTGTCGAAGCCACAGCGGGGATGATGTTTTTAACAACACCCTGAACTAGTCTGTACGTGATGCCAGCTATGTTAAACTGATTTGCCCTATCCTGAGACTTCTCATAAACCCAGTTTATATGAGAAGGATCATCACCGTCCAGCGGGCAATCAAAAGGGTTCTCCTTTCCCCATAGAATAAGTTTCACATATTCAATGCAATGTTCTGGCAACCGTGGTGTATTTGCTATGGTGCATAAAGGATAATTCACCTGAAAATTAAATCAATTATTAAATAAATTAAAAGTTAGTGAAATAAGGTTTGAAAGTAGAAAAAAAAGTTTAGGAGGTTGATATTTACCTGAGGTGGATAGAGGTCAAGAGTGCATTCAACACATGCGGATATCCCTGGTAAAATGACTCTTGCATTACCCTTGAATCCTTCGGTCCCACCGTCCACCATGGGAATCAACGAAGTTCTATCTAATTGTCCGTTATCGTCATAAACAAGAAGAGAGTTGAGCATGCCGTTAATCCATCTACGGGCGACAATACTGTCTAGGCCACAAACGACGCAATGAAACTGCCTGTAAAAGTCATCGTCCATATCTTGAATTTTGGCGCAATGAGGGACGACCTTGCAGCCTGGAACCCTGGCGTTAACAAACTTGGCTGCCACCTCTGCCTTAGACGAGCCAACATCTTTGCGCCTGAAGAGGAACTGCCGGTTTAAATTAGAGACATCGATCGTATCCATGTCGATCACATGGATTTGTTGGAAACCCATTAGGGCAAGGTCCTTTAGGAGTTCACAGCCAAGACCTCCAGCCCCAATAACAAGCACCTAAAAATTTAGAATTTGTTAGTATGTACTACTTGAGTTCAACACTAACATTTTAACTTATTTTTTTTAATATAAAATGTATACCCATAAGCATTAACAACATAAAGCATAAATAAACAATGTAATTGCCTACAGACCCTATAAATAATTAAATGAAGCCATTTGGTATTTTCAAGTGATTAAAACTAGAGCCTTCTAGTCTACCGAGGCAAATCTAGTAGCTATATCACGACTGTATTTAACCAAAAGTATGGTTTTTGAAATATGGAACACTAGAAGAGAATCTATATAACTATTTTACTTTATGCAAGAATGTACAAGATAACAAAATGTCTACAGTTGTATACCTGTTAATTAATTATTTAGAATGACATTGTTTGGCACACTTTACAAACTTTATACAGAACAATTAATTAAGGTTTTTAGTTGAGATGAAAAAAAGTTAATGGCACGAGAGGGATTCGAACCCACGACGGCGTATCTACGCCGCTGCTCTACCACTTGAGCTATCGTGACCTCGATCCACTCGGACATTTTTCATCTCAACTAAAAACCTTAATTAATTGTCATGTATTAATTGGTCAAGCAGACCACGAAAGTAGTGAATTTATACAGAACAATACTGAAAATGAGTTATCTTCTTTTATAACAACTCTAAAATCTGGTGAGTGTAACACAGTGAAATTATCAATAAAAATGCAGTCTTTAATTTTTTTTTAGTTATTTAATATATATTATTTTTGTCTTTGGTGGAATTATGTAACGCTTATTGCTTGTGAGATTTCTTCATGTTATTTGCAGGGGTGATTTATCTGTAAGTTGATCATTAGCAATCATTTTATCCTGTTTCTCCACACTGTTTTTTTAGACGCGTTTTGGCATTTTACTATCTTCAGTGTTGGAAGAAAATAAGCACAGGCAGAGCAAAACAATCCATAACGATCTCCTGATCTAATGTCATCTAAATGCTTCTTTAAAAAGGAATTAAATTAACGATGTTTTCTTATATTTTGACCTCAACAGTTAATCTTATGATTCTTCCTTCTTGAAGGTGGGATAATAGGTCATCTCAAAAAAACCACAACCAGTTTTTATCCACAACGTTTTGGATTTATTTGAATCCTTCCTCAGGTGAGTTAACGCAATGGTTAAAAAAGTGGTCGTCAGTCATTAATATTTTATAACAATTTATTTTAAAAAAAGAGCCAGTCTGAATAAGTACCACACTGGCTCTTTTTTTAAAATAAATTGTTATAAAATATTAATGACTGACGACCACTTTTTTAACCATTGCGTTAACTCACCTGAGGAAGGATTCAAATAAATCTGAAACGTTGTGGATAAAAACTGGTTGTGGTTTTTTTGAGATGACCTATTATCCCACCTTCAAGAAGGAAGAATCATAAGAATTAAATTAAACAAGAAAAAAATAAATTTGTACGCAAGTGTGCAAAAAAATAAAACACCTCTACAGTAGGAGTGTACATACACTTTTACATTTATGTACCAGTTAATTAATTATTTAGAATGACATTGTGAGTAACATGCGGACTTTAGAATCTTTATACAGGACAATACAAAGAATGAGCAAGTTATCTTCTATTATATCAACTCTAGGAATGGGTTCAACCGAGAAACATTAAGTCTCGAGGGGCTAGATTTCTATGTTGTACTGAGTTTTATGTTAATTTATTGGAATAAATGTAATTTATCGGCATGAAAGGAAGGGGTTGTTTAATCCTGCTCCAAAGAATATCGGGTACTCTAGGGTAAGAGTGAGACGTCTGGAGAATGAAAGTAAGTTATTAGTGAGAATGAAGCGAGTTCAACCCTGCCCCAAAGAATATTGAATTCTCTGGGGTGAGTGCGTGATGTCTGGAGAATAAAAGTAAGTTATTAGCGAGAATGGAGTGGGTTCAACTGTGCCCTGAAGAATATCGAGTGCTCTGGGATGAGAGTGTGACTCTGGAAAGTAAATATAAGGTATTAATGAGAATGAAGCAGGTTCAACCCTGCCCCAAAGAATATTGAATTCTCTGGGGTGAGTACGTGGTGTCTAGAGAGTAAAAGTAAGTTATTAGCGAGAATGGAGTGGGTTCGGCCCTACCCTAAAGATTATCAAGAACTGGGGTAGTGAATGTGACCACACTTCTATGTTTGTATCGGGTGGTGATGGGATACATATTACTGCTGTGGCTTGAGCAGGGGCTGCGCCTAGCCAATTTGTTTTTCTGTTGTGGGGTGCGGTGGTTTGGTGGTTCCTGAGAGTCTGGACTTTCAAACAGAAGTCATGGTGCCACCTTTCCATGGCACACTGCTCAGGTTCCAAGGAACAAGAGCTCAAACGGCTGCAGTTTAAAATACGCGTAAAAGACCTGAAAAAGAAGGAAAACACGCAGAGGGCTAGCAATAACCTTAGCTATATGTTGGCCTATAAAACTCCTATTTAGTTATATAAATCAACTCAAAAAAAATTTTTTTTTGCGTTGTTAGGATAAATATATTAATCAGGGTGTGTAATATACTGCACCCTTTAAGAGCTATTGCTTAAAGCACACCGGTAAGTCCTAGTTCATCAAAGAACTTGATTAGTAGGCCCAGTTTCAGAGTTATTAGTGTATATTATATAGTTTCATTTTTTGATTCTGTTACTAGAAACATTTTGTTATGATATACCTACGAGTAAATACTCTTATTTTCTTTAAAAACTGTACAATAAATCTAAAGAAAAACTTATAGGTCGACAATTTCTGCCGGAATGGGCAATCATCAACCTTGCAAAATTGCTGGAGGAAATTGAGCGTCTCGGGGGACGGCTCGAAGTCCGGATGGCAGAATGGGCCGGCCGTCTCGAGTATCTTCTTCAGGTGGTTCCACCGACCTGGAAGCGCCTCTTCTGGGCTCTCTGCCATCGGCGAGTCCATCTCGACTTCAACTTTTACTTGGAAACCGATGAAAAAATAATGCTTAAATTCAATACTGAGTGTACACGGCTTTATAACATCGTCGTAAACTTCGAAACTTCGGTTCCGCTTCAATTAACCTGAAGGTTCCGTGAAAATGACGGTGACGTTAGAAAGTTGACTTGTTAACCATTCCAACTTGCGTACATTAAAACAATACCAAAAACGCCATCATTTCATAAAAAAGTGAATAAATTACAACCACAATTATAATTTAATTATTGTACCCAGCTTCCTAACATCACTAACAAAATTTAGAAAATTCCTTCATAAAATAAATAAGTTTGTACTTATTTACTATTGAAGACTGAAATACTTTATTTATTTTAATGATACAAATAGAGCTTTATACCTCCTTACATATACGTATTTTAAAAATAAATTTAGTCTTATAAACATAGGATAATAATAATAATAGTGCTAAAGTTGTTTTATTATATATGGAATTTTTTAGACATCTTATTTATTTATTTATTTTTTTTTTTTTAATAAAAAAGTTAATACATTTCTTATTTACAACTGTATATTTATAAATAAGTAATGTTCACTTTTTTTATTTAAATTTATTTTCTACAATAATATATTTTTTAAAATATTAATTATTTACTTTTCTTATCTCTATACCACCAGTATTTTATTTATTTATATATTGTAGTTTTTGTACAGGGTATAATTTACAGGAGGTCTGGCCTTACATAGCTTTTTGGCTTTCATGCCAAACATGGCAAGCATCAAAATTTAAAAAAATCCGCAAATAGTTTGTTATAACTAAAACAAACAGCTTAAAATATTTGTAATTAAATAATTGAAACACAATAAATTAAGAGGGGGCATCAGTGGCTGCAACGGTTTAGGCGTTGATACCGTGTTTGTCACTGTATAGTAAAAGTCCCAGGTTCGAATCCAGTGGCCCTGCATTTGACCCAACATGCAAATGGTTTTTTTTTCACAAACACCAGCACCCTGAGGATTTATATGACCTTTGCTGTTGCAAACCCTCGTAAAAAAAATAAAAACTATTGAATTGATAGCTACACTAAAGTATAATATCAAAAGTCTCTGTAACTAAAAAATTAATTAGAAATACATTTGTTAAAAACATAAGAAAAGAAAAATTATGCTATTGTGCATGCAATAACATATGTACTATCCATGCATACTACTTATATGAGGTTCATTTTGTTTTATTCATTAATTACAAATGATCTTATTTTTAATGCTTTCTTTTAAAAAAATTAGATTCATTACTGATTTGTTTTCAGCACAAGAAAGTTAGTAAGAGGCATAGCTGATCTAAGGATAAAAAAATTCTGGCTTAGGTAATGATCTATTGCCCCTCTAAATATTGAACTCTATAAAGATATGCAATAAATTTTCATTTTCATACAAATTGCATATGCTATGTACAATCATTTCTGCAAAACCTCAATTGCATGAAAATTCTTTGTTTTCGTATCTCAATACAGTTAGTCAGATAAAATTATACTTATACAGTATAATTATAATTATACCACCTGATGAATGAACAAATATGTTGATAGTGTGAATTATAAGATGATATTTGCTGCTGAAAATATACTTGAACCTGGGTTTATATGGCCACTTCTTTGCAAACCCTCATAATAAAACAATCACAGAAAGCAGAAAAAAATTAAAGAAGAATAAAAATCTATTCAATATAATGAGTACTTGAGAGTGAAGCATGCGCACGCTTTGGGCATCATGGTTCTCTTCCTGCATAATAAAAAACAATATATATAATAAGTCTATTTTGTTTAAGAATTTGATTCTTACACAAAATGGAGTTGGTTACATAGTTTGAGTAGATTGATAAATTAGATACAATCGGCTAATTATCTTTACGCTTTTTCTTTAGGCAAATTAATATTTTGGTTTTATTTTATTTTTTAAGAGTAAAGTTTGTATGATGATGATAACGTGTCTGCCAAATTGACTATGAGAGAAATTTGTACAAAATAGCATGAAATTTATACTGCAGCCTGTTCAGCTAATTAATTTCTTTACAAATAACAGGGTGTCTGTGAGTATTAACACACCTACTGATTGCTGTTAGTTCTGCTGTAATAATCACTACGAGGGAGGTACAAGAAAATTTATATTCACATACTCCTATTACAAAGGCCTTATATATTAACCAGTGTATGAAAAAGGTAGAATTAAGAATTTTTGCTTTAATTTAAAAAAATTCCTGTTTGTTCTGGTATGATGGAGTATTTTTTTTTTTTTTTTTTTTTTTTTTTTTTTTTTTTTTTTTTTTTTTTTTTGGAGTTGAGACAGATATTTAAGGGTGGGAACAAGCAGGGTGAAGTTAAAGAAACCGAGTGGTCATGACAGTTGATGTCAGAAGATCCACTAGGTGCTTTCCTTCATTAGATTTCTTCTTGAAGTTCATAGGCTGATAAATAGTAAATTTTAAAATGTACGACTAAAATACTTCCTGATTAATGGAATTTGTTAAATAAGTTTGTTGGGATTTACTAAGCTGAGTTCAATTCATAGTTGCGTTTGGAATATCTGATAATTTTAATTCAGCAAGTAATATATTTGCAGTTTGGTCATAGGATCATCCATCAGGATTATCCTTTCCAGTGAAAGAATTAAATTTGATTTTTCTTCTTAAGTTTTACACAAACATCATTTCTGATACATGTGCCAAAATGAACAGAAAAATCTGACAGAACCGCAATGACATTTTTTTGCTTTATTGTCTTATTTAAACTTTGATGTGTAAAATGTCAAGCACAACTTGAGGTTTTTGGGGTTGTTTAACCCTCGTTTTAAAATTTGCAATCAGTATGTTTCCAACAGTGATATTTGTTTTTAAATTCCAAGGGTTATAGTTAACATAAACAAAACATTTTATGTTCAAATCTTCAAATAAAATATTTATTTATTAATTTAGAAACATTTAACTATCAAAATATGTTAATTTGCTTTAAAAAATTGTAATAATACAAGTTGAACAGATGTATATACATATATATATATCATATAATAACTATGGAAAGATGTTTACAATGTACATTTTAAAACAACACGATTGAAAGTACGCAATAAATAAAACACATAAATATAATCACATCCTGAAATGTTAGTTTACAATAGATAATACGAAAAATTGTATCCTTCAAAATCGAAACTGAATGTCAGAATCAATGTTTTTCTCGGGGATCATCCATCCTGAAATAATACAAAAGTTTTAGTTCAAAATTACATTTCATTAACAAGCAGGTTTAAATACCTGAAAAACTGTATATCTGTAACATTTTTTTCATAAGTGGCATGTGGCGTGAGAAAGACAAACTGCTTCTCAGGCCGGGAGCGTGCATGTGTCATTAATAGTTCCATAATAAGCTTACGGTTGACTTCATCCTGGAAAAAAATAAAAATCAATTAAAGCCAAATAACATAAAATGCAATGCACATATTTACCAATATTTACCATAAATACGTCAAATTCGTCCATAAAGAAAAATGGACTTTCCATATTGTTCCAAAGCGCCATAATAAAGGCGACCATGGAAAATGACCTTTCTCCTCCTGAAAGAGTAGTAATAACGGTTTCTGTTTGTGAGTTGGGATCTGACCTTAACTGAATAGCTAATGTTTCTTCTTCGTGATCAACATTCAGAGTGCCCTAAATCAAACCATACAAAAATATTTATTTATTGAAAATTGTATTTATTTAAATGCATTAAAAAGTTGTGATCGGGTTACGTACCACAAATTTTCTCATTCTTATAATAGTCTTGAAGGCCTGCCTAGTGCTGCTAGCAATATACTGTTTTAACTGGTGTAGCCTGTCCATTACCAGGTTGGAAAGTCGCTCCAAGTGCTGGGGAAAAAAATTAAATGGCTTTATTTTAGCCTACATATATTAGTACATATTACGAACATTTTCACAAAATGTTTGTTCACATGGTCACAACACTAACACGAATGCAAGCGCTGCACCTGAAATACACATGCTATAAGAAACCAGCCGACGCAGGCACTCAACGTGAAGGAGATGGGAATGTAGAGTGGGCTTGAGCAGTAGGGTTAGTGATCAAGAGGTTAGTGTGAAATTTTTGGAATCGGGATTGGATCAGTTCGTTAACAAAAGGTATGTTGAGGTTGTTGATAGTGAGGTTAGTGATGTAGTAGGTTGCTTTGACAGTTAGTCTGAGGACTTTAGATCAGAAAGATGGATGCGTTGAATGTTGAATGGCTTGGCATAACCCCAGTTACACTCTGTATATCCTAAGTGGTTGCAATAAGTCTTGTATAAAGTTAGTTTAGTGTTGACAGTTAGTATGGATTTTGGTCCTAGAAGTCTTCGTAGTTGTCTAAGTCTTAAGGTGGCCATTCACGATTACTCCAAATGGAACTGTGCCAAGCCGTACAGCTCCATTTGGAGTGCCTGAAATTTGAGGGGGCATTCACGACCGCTCCACAGCCAGTCGCTCCAAACGTCAACCAGTGAATTACCTTCTCAAAATGGATGACGATCTCTTGTGCTACTCTTCTGTTTATTTACATATTAAAAGCAAAAAATCAAAGAGGAAATGGTGTAAGAAGTGGCTCCTGAACAGAAGCCGTAATACCCACATCAATTTGATGAAAGAACTTTCCCTTGAACCCGCTGATTGGAAGAACTATTTAAGGATGGATGAAACGTCTTATTTATTCATTATATTTAGTGTTCTATTGACCAAATTATTTAATCTTTTTTGTAAGGTTTTGGTTGAAATGAAAAAGCTAGTGCCACGAGTGGGATCTGAATCCATGGCCTTCGGCTAAATACGCCGCTGCTCTACCACTTGAGCTATCGTGACTTCGATCCTCTCCGACACCAAAAAATGGCAAAAAGAGAGAAAATTCGAAAGGTTGTAGGTTGAGATGGGAATTGATGCTTGAGTGGATCGAACTATCGAAGTCAGGATAGCTCAAGTGGTTAGCGCAGCGGCGTATTTAGCCGAATGCTGTGGATTCGAATCCCCTCGTGACACCATTTTTTCATTTCAACCAAAACCTTACAAAAAAAGATTAATGTCTTATTTATATTTACTCCAGCTTGTTACCTCCTTGATTAGAAAACAAAAGACAGTCATGAGAGAAATCATCACTACATGAAAGGTTGGCAACCACATTACGATTTCTTGCTACAGGGATGAACTACAAAGAATTCTCTACTACGATTTCTGATCATTGTTATGGGTTATCAATACCGCATCTCATTGCATTTGTTTCCTTTGTTTTGAAAATGTCGACCAACTGGTTGAGGATCGAATTTCTTTTATTTCTATCGTGGTAATATAATCATTTTCCACCACTTTCATAAAAATGGTAAACTTTCAAACAATTCAATCACCTCAACAATAAAATCTCGATTGGATATCATTACCAATAAAGAATAAACATTTTTGATTTTTGAGAATGTACGACGGAGATGTTTGCTCAGTGGCAGAAAGACAGAGACTGCGTCAAAAAAACGAGGTTTTCCCATTCACAACCAGGCCAGCGCGCCAAAATCCCCACCGTCCACGCCAGGTTTTCCCATTCACAAACGCGCCATGCCGTCATCGTGCCATAGATATTTGGAGTGGCGTGATGGAGTTTGGACTGGTCGAATATTCGGCACAGCTAGGCACGCCAGTTCAGTTTTGTCATTGACGTGGTTTTTGGTAAGGCGTCACTCCGTTTGGACTGCTTGGAGCGATTGTGAATGGCCACCTGTAAGTCTTGTGTGTGGATTCTATGTCAGTCTGCTGACTAGGTATAGACCTAAGTATTTGACATGTAGAAGTTGGTATATCTTTGTTGTTGATGTACAGTCAATGACAAGGCTGTTTTGTGTGTGAACATACACTGAGTACATTTTTTTTTCATTCAGTCTTGTCAACTTTTTGCACCAGTTTTCGATAAGCTCAAGGAGTTCTTGAATATTGCTGTTAGGTTGGATAGGAATTGAGTTAAAGCAAAAAATTGCGACATTGTTCGCATAGATGGAGATGATGGCATTGAGGTCTTATTTCTAAGAACTTGTTGCACCTCACTCTGAGCAGCAGTCAATTAGATAGGATTTCAAGATAAGGTAATAACGAATGGGTAGAAAGCGTTTACAAAGTTTATAAAGCAAGCCGGGTGCCAGACACTATCAAAAAGCCTGTGTTCCATCTAAGTAATACTTTTTGTTCTCTAGAGCATAGAATATGGTGTCGACAACTCTGAAACCTTGTTGGAATGATGTGGACTGAAGCCTAATTAATGAAAGGAAATGATTATGAGTACTAAAAATGATTCTTTTGAGAATTAGACACATTACAGAAAGAAGGCTGATGGGTCTATTAGAGGATATGTGGTTGGGTGGTTTGTGAGCTTTAGAAATGAGAATAACGGTGGAATATTTCCATGAAAAAATAAAAGTTTTAACTAGATCGAAGAAGCAAACAATACATACATTGCAAAAATCTTTGTACTCGACTGCCTGTTTTAAGTCTTCTTCAAACTGTGCCAGCCGTTCTCTATGACTCTGAGGTTCTTTCGGCTTTGGACCAACTCGCTTCTCCATCGCAGCTATTCTAGCCATGACCTTTTTTAGTTGAAGTTCAAGATCCACTTTTGAGCTATTTCACAAACAAAAACTTGTACCATTTACAAATATTTATATTTATGGGGCATTTTACCTTTCAGATATTACCCTTTCTGGACAAGCTGTCATTGCAGCCTCGTTAGCTTTTTTTAGTTCTTCATCAATCTTTTTGAGTTTATCTTTAAAAGACTGAGCCCTCATTTCTTGCTTCTTTATCACTTCAAGGTAGTTATCTTGGCTCAAGTTATACTTCTTTAATTCCACCTTGTTCTCTTTGATTTTGTCCTGAAATTTTGTCTCAAATTAATAATGTAAAACCGAATACAAAATTTTGATTTTCAATTTTGTTAAAAATATAAGTACCTCTTTTGATTTTATTTCAAGAAAGAATTTTTTCTGAATCTCTTCGAGTTCTTGTCTAGTGCCTTCCATTTCTTCGCATTGTTTATTTAATTGGGCTTTTTCTTGGTTGATTTTCTAGGGGAGGGAACATTTTTAAAGATAATATTTTAAAGTTATTTATGCTCAAACTAGTAAATCAAAATTGACATTAATAAGAAAGCATTTGTCATAATAAAAAATTAATTTTTAAACAATTAAGAAATTTTTTTTCAAACATTTATTTACAACTTACTTCAAAATTTAATTCAAGTTGTTCATTGACTTTTGTTCTGTGTTCAAGATCATCAAGCAAAACATTAGCATTATAGCTAACAGGCATTTCGTTCTCTTGAAGGTCGATTATTTTCTCCTCGCAGGTGACAATCTGCCTGTTAATTTTATCACTTTCTTTCAAGGCAGTATCTAGGTTTTTTTTCTGTTCCTTTTGTTTTTGATAAAGCTCCTGAATATCTACCTTGTATTTATTCAAGTCTTTACTGAGCGTCTCAACCTCGACAGTCGTTACCCTGAGAATAAATATCGTCATTCGGACAATGCCAGATGTGTCGCTCTATAATCGTACCTTATCGTGTCTGATGTACTGTTGTGTAAGTATCTGGCCGTTGGAGCAACCTTTCCTGCATACGCACTGAAGTTCGGGTAAGGATATATCATATCACCCATTTTTGTCAGCACCATATTACAATTATGTGGTACAGATTTTCCATTACTCATGAGTGGTAGGGCCTCCTTATTTGTTGGGATCAGAAGGATAGTGTCTGCTTGATACTGGTCGATTACCAAATTTGCAACAACTGAGTTTGAAATTTCAAGAGTGTGCAGAAGATTGCTATACATGTTATGCTTTGTTTCAGTTCTTCTTATGTCATGAACCTAAAAAATAAAATTATTAACTGCCTAGTTTAATGTTTAATATTTACGACAATTACTTATTCTTAAAATTAGGATATAACAGAAATACAAAATCAATTAACTGCACCTTAATAATTCCATTATAAATATGAAGTAGGGAGTAAATAAAACACAGCAGCTTACCTGATCAAAGAACTTAGTTATAAATAGTGTAGGCATCTGTTTATTTGGTATGTTAAGATTCTTAATTATTGCTGAGAGTGTTTGGTAATCTTTTGAGTTGTCAACACAAAATGACTGAAGAAACATTGTACTCAGAAAGCTCTCAATGGACGGCCCCCATGTTTTGTCTTTCACTTTTATATAAAGACCTAAAAATTAAAAATTATAACAAACCCAAAGATTTGAGAAAATCAAAACAAAGTACCAAGTGGTCCGACAGGCTTTTTGATAAATTTATTTTTCTTGTAAACGGATTCAATTTGCTGTATTAGCTGGGGCATCCAGTTGGCGAAAACGCTGTACTTGTTGTTTGTGCTTTTCAAGTGCTGGAGGTAATTCATTTTAGAATCTGGAAAATTTTTATTACTATTAACAAGTTCATTACAGGCGCTGTCCTGGAATAACTCAATGTATGGACATTGTTCCAGAATGATGGACCTCTTCTAGAAAACCCCTGAAGCTTGTTGTAAGGTGTTGAGTTTTTTCCCGAATCGAGATGGTTTCATACAGTAATTTTACTTTTTGATCATTTTTTACAATAAAAAAACCTATAATAGGTAATTTTTTTATCATATTGTTGTGGAATACATTCCCTTGGTGGTAAATCTTTCTTTCTCCAAAATACTTTCATTTGAAGGTATAATCAAGATATAATCAAAGAAATTTCTTTGTTCATCTTTTTAGCCTTTTGTTTGGTATATTTTTTATTACTTATTCTTTTTATATTATCTACATTCTTTTTTTTTATATTAATCATGACTAATCAGTGAATATGAATTTTGTAAATAATTTAGTAAGTGACTGTTAATAAGTAGTACATATAGAAATAATCACTGAATTTGTAATTACAGTCGACGCTCGATAACTCGAACCTTAATAATATGTTTTTATCTCAACTAAAAACCTTAATTAATTATAATATATTAATTGGTCAAGCGGACCACGAAATTGGTGAATTTAATGATTGAAAATGAAGTATACTTCACTAAAGCTTTCTGTGGCCATTTCATTTGTTGTCGAGAATCCAATCTGATTACACGACATTTGAAAAATGGCAAAAAAGAGGGAAAATTCAAAAGGTGCGGTTGAGATGGGAAGTTGGTGTCTGAGAGGATCGAGGTCACAATAGCTCAAGTGGTAGAGCAGCGGCATATCAAGCTGAAGATCGTGGGTTCGAATCCCGCTCATGCCATTGACTTTTGTATCTCAACTAAAAACCTTAATTAATTATAACTTAATAATACGTCACATTACACACATAAAACATTTCTACATAGTCCAATTCTTTAACAATTTGACTTTCCTTTATATATATTTTATATAATCCTGAAAGGATTATCAGGCCGAACCATTACGCACATTTTTTCCTGTGGCCGGTTCCTTTCGCCTCAAAGAGGCCGACTCTTCATATAAAAATGTCTTTCTATTCTCAACTTCCTTCCCCACCCCTTCAAAATCCAACATATATAAACATAAAATAGCAATATCTCACATTCTCACTGGCACTCGATTCACAAGAATGACACATCTACACAAAAAACAAACACTTTGAGTGTGTGCATATACTTTGATTGAATCTAACATTTTCTAGCATTGTATAAATTCATTCTTTTTTAAAAATAAAATTTTATATATATATATATATGTATATATATGTATAATTTTTAAAATAGAAAGGAGGATAAAGATATGTGAATTATTCTCAACCAAGGTTTAGTTCTGTCCAAAATCATTTAATCAAAGTTTTTACAACAATTATTATTAAGTTGTTAGTGCAATAGAACTGAAAAAATATATTAAATTATATATTAAAAAATGATAAATAAAAATAATTAAATAAATATATTAAAAATATTATTATTGTACAGGGTGTCCCAGTTCCTTCTAACGAAACTCTGGGAATCGATTCTTCCCTTCGTTTAGAGCAAAAAATGCTCAGGAGAAAATTTTCGGAAAGTTCTCTATTTTGAAGATATTAGTCAATTTATGTTTTTTCAACTTTTCACTACCTTACCACATAAAAACTCTTACAACTTCTAAAATGTTGAAACTTCAACAAATCCAATTACACCATTTGAAAGAACGCTACATTTGCTGTAAGCCCCCCCCCTTCAAATTTACCTTAGCTCACGTTTTCCNTATTTGCAAAATTGAAACAATGTTTATAAATCCCAGGCGCTGAAGATGATCTCAATAAAGATCAAAACATTGGCATGATAAAGCAAATGTTTTTCTAAAACCTACGTCACACCAGACCTCACCTCACGATCTCCAAATAATCTTAATAATACAAATTTTTTCAAATCTCTCTCATTTTCCTATATTGTTTTTACCTCTATATGTCAAACATTTTGAAATTAAAACCTCGATTAGATGAATTTTCTTTGTAAGCCCAAGCATTATTTGTTTACCCTAAGTCTTACAGCAAACAGCACTTAGTACACCATCAGTAGATCACGCTTATGGGGCAGTTCATTTTTTTTTTTCCCCCCACTTCATTCTGGTTTACACGTTCGTTCATTTGTGTACAAAAAATGTCTGTGAAACATCATTGTAAGACGTTAAGCGTGGAGGAGAAATGCAAAATTATTAAAGTGGTAGTTGAAGGCATTAAGAAATTCCGTCAAACACCTTAGCCACAATTTAAAGAAGAAAAAAATAGATAACTATGACGTAGTGAGTGGATTAGCCATCTCTATCCCTTGATTGAACCTTGATTAGTCAAAAAACTTGATAAGTTGAATTTTTTAATTTCCCCCTGAGATTTGAGTTATCAAGAGTTGATTGTAATAGTATTTTTTTTTTTTTAAACCAAACATTCAGATTTTATTTATTTTAATATGCTTTAAAAGCATATTTTATATATTTGTGTAATTGTGTAATGTAACATATTTTATATTAATATATTTATTAAGTCTCAGTTAGTAGAAATATACAATTAGTCAATTTTTCACAATATATGGACAGGCATATGCAAAGATGAGTGAGTACACAATGTATATTGCTGGTTTGCCTAACCTGACCTTCCCCATATATAGTCATCATTCTGGAATGACATACTTATAAATCTAAAAAAGGCAATTTTTTAGCAAAATTTTACTTAAGAGTGAATTCAAAATTGTAAAAAAAACTTCAAACATTTTTTGAGAGCGTGTTAATGTGTTTTTTTCTTATTTAATTACAAGCAAAAGTTATACAATGATGAAATAATTAAATATTTGTGCTTTGTAGAAACTTACTTATGTTCCTTTCTAAATTAGACATTGTTTGCTTCAGATTGTCAACCTTACTGCAAGTTTCATTCAGCGTGTCTTGGAGTTGCTGTTTGTGTACGTCAGTCGTCTGTTTAACCGCTTTCAGTTCAACCTTCCTTGTATTCAGCTCTGTTATTTTTTCTTTAATCCTAACCATTTGCTCGTTTATTTCTTCAGTACGCCTAAAATTGTTGTTATAATAGTAAAATTTTAAAAATAATTTTCGCATTTAATTCACCGACTTGCTCTTGTTTTTAATTTCTTCGCTGATTCGTTCACAATTTTTTCTATTGTTTGCAATCTGCTTGCTTAACGTGTTCAATTCGTTGTTTTTCTTATTCAACAAACTTTTGTGGTATAATAGTTTCTGTTGGAACCCTGTACTCTCCACTTCTTTGGCTTCGCAGTCCTCTTTAAGCCGTTCTATTTCATTTGTTAAACGCCTAGAAAGTGAAGCAAATAATTGATTTGTTTATGACGATAAAATTGTACTGAGTATAAGCTGTTTACTCATTTTTCGTTGTGAGTATCTCACGTTGGCTTTCTGCTTTATCAAGATTATCCTTGTGATGCTGTATGACTCGCTTGTTCTCCTCAAACTGAGCCTGAACTTCTTGAAACTGTTCTTCCAACTCTTTCACCTATAATATTTTAAAAAAATAAAAATAAAATTGGTCGATTAAAATTAGTTTTTATTTTAATTACATAAGACCAATATAAGCAATTCTGCAAATTTCTCTCTTCAGCAAGGAGTTTCTGAAATTCCATGAAGAGCTCGAGCTTCTTCTGATATTCCAATATATCCCTGGAACCATCAGTGGCTGCCTAGAATTAATTTGAGTTTATTACATCCATATAAAAATATATTAGTCCAAAACTTGTAAATGGGAAAATGTAAAAGAACGACTCTTTACATTTACCCCTAAACTTCTATTTTATTTTAAAGTGCTCAAAAAAAAAGTCAACAGAAATATTAAGACATTCATCTCTAAAAACTACTATATGAACTTTAAGAAATTTTTAGAAAAATTTTGCTTCAACATTGTTGTGGACGTTTTATAGTATATTTCTTTTCTTTACTGAAAAGATCAATCAGTTATAAGAACATTTCTGTAAAAAATTAATTATTTTAGATTGATTTTAATGTTTTTCAAATTTTTTCAACAATAAAGAGCATGTTTGTAAAATGTTTACTGGTTATAGATAATGATATCAATTCCTTTGACAATTAGACCTGATATTATATTTGATACTTTTTATAAACCCTTTAGTTTGAGTCAAAGTTAAATTTTATTTTTTATTATTTAATACATTGCGTAAAATGCAACATGGGCATCTGCCAACTGCCCTTCTGGATGCCATGATTTGTTTCTTTACATTTATCTATTTTAAACTCTTCCTTCAGTTCACCTGCGGGCCTTATCAGACTTGGAGAAAACAACAAAATTACATTTATCTACCAGGGTACAAAAAGCAGAGGGGCAACAAAGAAGCTGATAAATTTAATAAACTTTCTGTGAATTGCCTACTTCATTTAGTTAACGCTGCCAGGGATGCAACTTTTGCATCATATATTGCTTGGATAAAGCAATAAAAAAAGTCATATACATTATTTTTAAGTACCAGAGAGCTATTTTACATGAAAATTGAGTTCTACCATGGACAGGCATAGGACACAGTTAACATGTTAATAAAAGAACGAATTTTGAAGATTTGGTAAAATAAAAAACCCACGTCCTTGAATGATTGATTAGAATATTCAATGTTTTTACTTGTTTTTTTCGTTCAGTTAAATCCTTCAGTTGAGGAATTCGTTCATTTCTTAGTTGGGAAATCTGCTCAGACACTAGTTCAATAAGTGTAGCTTTTTTAAACAAAGAATACAACTCCTTGGGTGTAGCTGTTTTCAAGAATGTTCTCGATGTATCTTGATTGAGGATGCAAAGCGGGTTGCTGACTTGAATATTAAACCGGAGAAGAAGCATTTTCAAATCGCTACTTTTTAAAGGAACTAATGAACCTGTAAATAAAAACATACATTTCATAACCTCTTATTCGTTTGGATATAATATTATGACGGTGTTTTTCTTGGAAGTACCTGTTGCAAGTCTTAGCTTATAGCTGGATGACCCATTTTCAGTAATGTTTCTTATAACGGTGATGTCATTGCCATATTTACTTTGTTCAAACCCTTGTAAACCTTCATTTGACATCGATATTTCAATTGTACTTTTGTGCTGGCCACTCTTAATCAGTTCTAATAGAAAAGAGAAAAATTAGTTATTAAGAAACGATTAAATAATCTAGCATGTGCTTACGATTAAACGATTTCCCTCTGTTGGTATCAGCAGTGCGGCCACCAAGTCCAATTACAAGAGCGGTCAAAATAGCACTTTTCCCACTTCCATTTTTACCACTTATGAAGTTAATTTTATCACCAAAATTAAATTCAAAGTTGGAATGACACATGAAGTTTACAAGATGGACTTTTCTGATTTTGCCACATAGTTTCTAGAAATGAAACATACATTGAAATAATAATAATATTATATATATATAATAAAATACCTGTTGGGTGGTAGATAATACAGGAGGGATGTTCTCTTTCGAATGTGACACTTTCAGCCGTTTTGAATTGACATCAGGACAATTTGCGTCGTTTGTACGCTTTGCATTTTTACTTTTTTCCCTCTTCCCATTTGCATGGACTTGTCGGTGATCCATTAACAAATTTAAATTCTCATCCATTGAACTAGAAACAATAAAATCATTTTATAAATCTTAAAACAACTAAATTTTATAATTAAAAATGTAAACCCAATAGCCTGGAAAGAGCATCAAAGAAGCAAATTTTGAATATATTCAGGTGGAATTTATAAAAGAAAGGGAAAATGTTCTTTTGGGTATTATTTTTCCACACTTATTTCATAACACAACAAAACTATATAACTACATAAAACTACAACAAAATATTTAGGCCAAGTTTGTTATTAAAAACGTTTTTTTGTCAATAAAGAACTTTTGTTTCTCTACTTGGCCCAACGAAAGTACACACAATAACACAAACACTAGACACCGCAGAATAAAAAAACAAACACTTTACATCCGAAATTATTTGTGGACAAGATTCGGTTCTTTTGAAAATACTAAGGAAAGAAGGGCACAGAACCTGACAGTGATTTACCTATCACTTTTGGTTTTTTAAAGTGAAGAAAATAAAAATAAATAATTAAAACAATTAAGCGCAGCTAGAGAAATGTGAGAAAATATTTAAAACAGAACAAGATACAGAAATATGTATGCGAAGAGTTATATCAAGAACAAAAAGGCGGCTAAGGCCGGGACATCTCAACTTAACCACCACGATCCAGCCTTCTAACGCTAAAAAACAATAAAAATCATTATTAAAAGAAATTGACTGTCAATGGGCCAGACTGGTAGAGAAGCTCTCACATATCAAGAATTCAATAAGTATCAGGTCTGACTTGTAGAAGAGGGTCATCCTCACCCAATTAAGAATAGGCTAGGAGAAGTTGACACATGGACACCTTTATGTCCGAAACATAAAGGTGGCCGGCATGCAGGGAAAATGGGTCGATGTTCCCATATAGTTGAAGCGAGCAATTCCTTGATTCTATATAGAGAGGGTGTACGAATTGTACTTGAACACTGCAGCGATTGATTATATAGGTCCCCTGGTCCAGTTCTGGTGGAAACAGAATTGTCCTATAGTATGAAATACTGATAGTTTTGTGCCCCTAGAGTCAAGAGTGAATGTATTTATTGGCGTGAATGTGAACTGTTGTCTATTTACATTAAACAGAACTTACGACAAATAGAAAAATATTCATGCCAGGAGTTAAGGCTTAACTGTTATGTCAATAAAGTTGTCCCAAAGTGTCAGAACAATTATAACCCTCATATTAAAGTAGTAAGTACTTACAGAAAAGTAAAGTACTATGTGGCAAAAGAGTACCATGAGTCTGTAGTGGCTCTGTTTAACTTGATTAATCAAATCGTAAAAAGAAAATTGTTGTCTATTTAAATTAAACAGGACACAACAGGCAGAAAAATATTCATGCCAGGAGTTAAGGCTTAACTTTTATGTCAATAAGGTTGTTTGAAAGTATCAGAACAATAATAAACCTCATATTAAAGTAGTAAGTACCTACAGAAAAGAACAGTACTATATAGGAAGAGCATACCTTGGGGATGTAGTTGCTCCCTTTAACTTGTCGATTAATCAAATCATAAAAAGGAAATTGTTTATTCAAATTAAACAAAAAATACAGAAAGACATTCATGTCAAGAATTAGCCTTGAAAGCTTAAATTCTCTACCAGCAAAGGACTTTTTCTTTAAGTGGCAGATTGGTGACAACACATACAAGACTTATATCATGAATAATTGTAGGCTTTAATTTTTTTAAAACCTGTTTGATAATTAGTTCTGAGATGTGTCAATTACCTGAATGCGCTGTGAATACAGTAAATAAAATATAGACGCTCTCTGTTCAAGAAACTGTGTCTCACATTGTTTTTAATGTTACACAAAGATTCAAATTCCGAGAAGTCTTATGTTAATATGTTCCCTCTATTGTCGTATGAGTATCAACCGACTCACACTCAAGAGCGAGGGAAACGGTTAAAAAGGCTACTCAAAGGTTTTCTTATTATCATCTGCCGTCCTTGTCATTGGGCTGTTTAGGTTATAGAGCCCACCAGAATGTGAATGTGTTTATCAAAAGGGCCCGGAAGATAGTCACATTTTCCTAGATAGTCGGAATTTTCCCTTTCCACCAACGGATCTGCCCCCAGCCTGAAGATCCTCGGCTCAGATATTTAATGAGATGCTTTTCTGCCCAAATTGCAGCAGCATATTGATCGTCGAAGAATATTTGGGGCATCTCAGGTACAAGTGCAGGTCCTGCCCTTATATTTTCAACATCTCGAAGAGAAATTCGGAAAGGATTTATCCAAAATTAAAAGTGGGTTCGATTTTTTAAAAAATATTTTAATATTTTTTTTAATTAGTGTAACATTTGTGCATGCCAATTTAAATGATCTTTAATCATTTCAATTATTTACTATTTTCACAGGCAAAAAATTCATTTTTCCAGACATATTTAAGTTGGTTTTTATATAAAAGTCTAAGTTTGCAAACGACTTAATATCATTTACTGTAGGGTGAGCAATGTGGGTGAAAGAATTGCATGATCAGCCCTTTTCACTACAATGTTTAAACGTTTTTTTAATGGCCTTGTTTTCTTTATTAGCCATAGAACGGTGAGTATTTAATGTGGCATTAATGTAGGGGAAGTGAAGTGATGGTGAGAATTGAACTCACAACCTTGGGGTCTAAAATCCAAGTGTATCACACTGAACACTTGGCTACTGCGGTCCTCTAATGCTTAAAGTTAAAGCTTAAAAAGTCTAGCTTAAAAGCTAACCAGATTGTGGGTTGACTGACCTTTAAGGCTTGGCCACACAAAATGCGTTCTGTCATGACAAGCAGCAGTCCAATGATCATGACTGTATCATCCCAGACACATGGGAGGTGATATGCGACAAATGATTTAGTTGCACGAAATCACAAAATTGATGAGCAGTCAAGCGATAATCATGGATGAGGAAACTGAAAAACCTATAGAACACACCCAAATGACAGTTTATAGAACTAGGGAAGGTACATTAAGCCATAAGGTTGCAGTGCCTGGGGAAAAAAAAGCCCGCTTCCTAATGACTGAAGCTCTCGACACAGATTATGGTATTCTTCAAAGCATTCTCGCCTGTAGTTTATTTCATGAACCCAGCTTATCTTTTTTTTAAAAAAAGAGTTCTTATTCACAGTAAGTTGTTTTCAACGTTCTGGATTTCGAGCCTATGCTCATCATCAGGTTGAAGGAGTTCCACAACCACGACTCTCTGAATTGCAAGGCTGAACCCCTCGGTTCCCCGGCCATCTCTCTCTTTTCCTACTAAATACAAGAAGAAGAAGGAGCAGTTGCTCCTCGTCCAAGCTCAAAGTAGACATTACAGTACACAATATGCAAAAATTGGATTATAAAAAATTAAAAATTATTTATTACCATGAGAAAAAAAAAGAACATATACCGATTGATTGGCTTGGAGCTGCTTCTGTCACTTCCTGTGTGTATTCAATATGCTGACTGCTGTGACAGATCAGATCGCTACCGGCCTCGGCAAATTGCGTTTTGTGTGACCAAGCCTTTATGTCCATAAAATACCCATTCTCTTTAGAAATTGGATTAAATATTTTGATCATTTTTGAAAATTTTGTATTACTACTCTTGCTGTTTTGGTCCGTTAAGACACGTTTCAACTTTTTGCCATCTTCAGTCGGTTTGTTCGGATTGTGCAATAACTAACCAAAACAAACTACGAAAAAATTTAGACTCAACTTTTAAATTATAAAAATAATTTGTCTAAAAAAAATTAAATGATAACTTACAAATGAACCACTGAAGTTAGTTTGAAGCTGAAATGAATAAGAGAAACCAAAATACTGAGGTAGGCAGGCCAAAATGACCAAGTTAAATTAACATTCATTTCCTTGATTCTGCCTGATGTAAAGAGATAAAATTTCATCTTACTGTTTGAATTATTCTCATTTTTCAGACTTGGCATTTTTACACTATTGTGATATTCTCCGATAAGTAATTGAGAATGAAAAATAACACACATAAGAACCAGTGTAGTGGGGAAAATGCTGAAATGCATATTACCAATCAAAACATCAAGGATAGGCAGACCAAAATGATTTTTAAAAAAAATAAACACAGTTTTCCTCAATCCTGCTTGCTGGCCAAGGGATATAATTTCATCTTACTGTTTAAAATATTCCCATTTATCAGACTTGGCATTTTACGCTATTGTTATATTCTTAGTTTTTTCTTTTTGTTCTGTTCCACTTGTAGTATACTCCATATGTATTATCTGCTTAAATCTAGTCAGATGATTTGAGTGTAGCACCTTTGGCGAGTTTGTTCACCAGTCTTTTTCTTTGATTTTTGTTGTTGGGCAGGCATGGTGAATGTTTGAGTTTGGATGAACAAAAGCGACCAGGCTCTTATAGTAATGTAATTCCTGTCATACAGAAGGCTTAATGTCCAAATTCCCATTGGATGACATGACTGAGGGGCCAATTAAAAAAGCCACGGTGCTCTTTTGGGATTCGAACCCAGAACTGTTAGCATGGCAAACACAAGTTAGTCAAAAGAGAACAGCTTGGAAGGTCTGTCAAAATTCAGTTTACCTTCAATTCATTAATTTCGCGGTCCGCTTGACCAATTAATACATTACAATTAATTAAGGTTTTTAGTTGAGATGAAAAAAAGTTAATTTTTCATGGGTTGAGATAGGAAGTTGATGTCCGAGTGGATCGAGGTCTCGATAGCTCAAGTGGTAGAGCAGCGGCGTATCTAGCCGAAGATTGTGGGTTCGAATCCCGCTCGTGCCATTAGCTTTTTTTCATCTCAACTAAAAACCTTAATCAATTCAGTTTACCTTTCATTTTGTCAGATTTTCTGCTGTCTCATTTAGTTTTTTACAAAATTTAGTATTGGATTTCTTGTATGTCTGGCTTTATTTGACCATTGCTTAGTCTCCATTCTTTTGTTTCCATTTTGGCCATACTTAAATTATGCTGGGTGAAAAATGCATAGAGATTGCAAAATAGGCAAAGAAACTTTGCCTTTGAATTCTTACTTTTTTTCTGCCAACTATTAGAAATAAGCATTCATCGTCAATTTTATGATGATAAATTATTTTCCAAATATTTTGTAATCAATTATATCATGGTGGTGTTTACACTAACAGTTAATCAACTGTTATCAAATCATACAACACAGAGGGCAGACATCATCATTTCCTTTTTCTTTCTTGTATTATATAAAACAAGATAGTCAGAGTTTAGAAGATTACTCATTCACTCCTAATTACATCATTCAGTTGTTCGCATTTTACTTTAAATGCAGGGTATTTAAATGGTGTATTAGGTTTGTTTGTTTATTTGAAAACATTTTTTTCATTAAACAATAATCTGCTGAGACAACTATTTTTGTCCAGTTATACTTATAATAAAACTGGTCAAAGAAAAAATACTTAGAGGAAATATTTTTAAATGGATTTATATGCAATATCGAGCAGTTTTCAAGGATTTTACAAGAACTGATAATTCAATATCAGCCACATGTGGTAAATCTTTTGTTTTGCGATTATTGCACAGCCCAGTTAGTTTACCATCAAACTGTTAAACAAACTACATTCTTTATTTAAAAATTGTGTCTAAATAATTTAGAGCAATGAAAAGACTTTAAAAAAGTAAAGGATTCAGTTCTTTCATATAGGAGGGCTTAATGTCCAAAATGCTTTTTACAAGGACTAGGCTGGAATTTGAACCGAGCACCATTACCGTGGCAATTACAAGTCACATACCCCCTAATCACTTAACCACTGCAGTCCCTTAATGACTAACCTTTCAGTATTATATCAATGTTTATTTATTTTTTGATTCAATTTTATTCAGTTGTACTTTGAAGAATTCTATTACGGTCCACATTTTGTTTGATACAAAATTATTATAATTGCAAAAAACATTTTATAGAATTAATGTTATATATGTTTCTATAAAAAAACAATAAGATTAATTTTATCTCAAAAATTAGGTTTGATTGGAAGTGTAAATTATAATTAAACTGTTTTTTGATTGTAGGAAATAGATGACGTTCTTGGTGGTTCCGCTGCCTGGGAAAACGTTGATGCCACTGATGAAAGGTGCCCAGTCTGCAGCCATCCTCGGGCTTACTTCATGCAGATTCAGACGAGGTCTGCTGATGAGCCAATGACCACTTTCTACAAGTGCTGCAACGCTTCTTGCGGACATCGCTGGAGAGAGTAAAATTGAGTTTTTAATGAGATTCCCTCAATTTTTAAATAATGTGAAAGGCCTGAAGACAGCAAGAAACTCCAACCTTCAAGAGAGAAATTGTATGGCGAGATTAATACAAATCGGCAGTGATAAATCCGTTGATACCGCTGTCGATTTGTTACAAAAGGGGCGTCTTATTGCGATACCGACTGACACTATATACGGCATCGCTGCTGACTCTCAAAATCCTGAAGCTGTGAGAGCTCTTTACGATCTCAAAGGAAGAGACCTTTCAAAGCCGATTGCGGTGTGTGTGGGTTCAGTTGGTGATATTGAAAACTGGGCTGAAATTAATAGACTCCCACCAGGACTTTTAACAGATTTGCTCCCAGGACCTGTTACAGTACTCTTAAAAAGGACTTTAGTTTTGAACCCGAGCTTGAATCCTGGGATACAAAAAATTGGCATTAGAATCCCGCAATGCCCTTTTATACAAAAGGTGTCGCTAAAGTTTGGCTCTCCTATTGCGCTCACTAGTGCAAACTCCAGCAACGAACGAAGCACGTTGCTGCCTCAAGAATTCAAACACCTTTGGTCAAAACTCGATGCGATTTTTGAAAATAAAATAAAAGGAACAATTAACAGTAGCAGGGCAGGCTCGACCATTGTTGATTTAAGTGAGCCAGGAATATTTTCAATCGTCAGGGAAGGAAGTGCTTTGACTTCGACAGTCCAAACTTTACTCCAACACAATCTAACAAGTCAAAATGAAATCCTTTTTCGAGAGAAAGTTTGCAAAGACAAGGGAAAAAGCAGAAAAAGAATCATTGACGAATGAGCTCAAATCGCGGATGGAGGATGTTATATTGAGCAAAATAGACGGTGATGGTGCTTATGTTACTAATGATGAAGCTGGCCTCTCACTCTGTACGATTCTAGAGGCGATTTTTATCCATGGCATCAAGGAGTCAATAACGGACAGAGTGGTTACGATCATGGGTGACCCTGACGTGATGCCCACTCCAGAATTCTGGTCTCCAATGCTGCTCTTCACACACAGAAACATTATTGAACAGGTAATTATTCCAAAAATAAAAAAGCTTTGTGACAAAAATTAACAAATAGATAAATTACAAGCTGCAACATAGTTTAGATATTAAGATAATGTAATAGTTGTTTTATTTTTTCTCTTTGCTCTCTAAATTGTAATCAAGATAAATTTTATAGCTTGATCATCTTGATCTGCATATTCCTTAAGATTTTGTCTTCAGGCATTTTTCAACGTGTCATCATCTTCAGAAGAATGACCGCTGAATTGTGCCTGACTGATTAAACTGGGACGATAGGGACAGTCAAGTTACTGGTTAATCACCTCACCACATTTCATAATTATTTCAGCATTAATAACAACTTAAATACAGAAGACTCTCGTTTTCTGCACTTTCACTCATGCACAGTTGCCCTCCTACAACTTGATTTGACCACTTTTTCGACACTTTTTTTTTATACTGATGCATTGTGTGATGTAAATGTGTAGTTTTCCTATGTAAATGGAAATGTAGATTAACAGTATTAAAGCAATTACAAATGAAAACTGCACAACCTGTCTGGTTACATTCTAAATATCACTTTGATTATTTTGTTTGCTACATAGCATTCCTGATTTTGACTTCCAGATTCTTGCTTGAAATTTTCTTATAATCTGATCACAAATTGATTGAGACAATATTGTAAAGACACCTTTTCTACCTATAAGTATTATTGTATATAAATTTTTTTTTTGTGGCCCTGTTAAAGAAATAAATATATAAAATAAACAAACTAGACTCTGCCTTATTTTTGCTTATGCTTTGTGACCTTTTTTTAAACTACATTATTTATGGAGTGGGGGACATATATTAATAAAGAAAATTGATATCTCTTGTTAACTTTTTTAGTAGTAATGTTACTAACAAGAGATGTTCCATGTAAAATATTTAAAAAAAAAGTAAATTGATAAGGAAATAACATTTGATTATGTTGGCTTCTTCTAAAGTTTATCTACATAAGTCTTAAAAATATTTTAGTTCTTTTTCCTTTTTTACAGGTGCATCAAATGAAACAAATAAATACCGATGTAGGACGTTCTCGAGCTTGGTTAAGAGTTTCACTTAATGATGGATCATTACTCGCTTACATGGAATTGATTTATAAGCAGAATAAAAGCTTGGCGCGTTACTACAAGAAATCAGCATATTTAAGAGACTTAGACTCAATTGGTTTGGCCACGAACATTCTTCAAAGTCTAGTACAATTCGCCTTTTCTTTCCCAGTCAATTCATCCATTCTGAATTATTGGCCGAACGCACCTTTGTTGTTGGCAGGGCTGTGGACTCCTCCGATGAAGTACTGTCCCGTGTCCACAGGCTTGGATCTCGCCAAGAACCTACCATTATCAGGTGAAGTTGAGTCTATTTCGGAGCTGATACCTCATGACATTTCCGCAGTTGCAAATTCTGAATTGGACGAGGACGAGGCTTTGGAAATACTGCTAAATACCCCGATTGAAGGCAGTCCGTTACTGACCCGCCTTGAAAAGGAACAGAAACAATATTTAGATAGTGAGAGCAATGAAAGCTGCGATGAAGGATCGTCTAAACCTACAGAAAATTTCATAAGCACGGAGGTGAAAGATGATGATAAAATACAGGTAGAAATTAAACAAGAAGAGAACACAGTTGAACAAATTGAGGAACCTTCTAATGTCGTTGCTGAGACAGATGAAAATAAAATAGAACCAGTAAAGGACATCAGTACCGAGAGTTATGAGAAAATCCTTGATAACTACAACCCACGATCTAATGCAATATACAAAGAATCTAGCTTAAGAGAATTTTTAGACAGTCAAGAACCATCTTCTGCTGAGTCACTAGACGAATCAAATAAACATGAAATCAGTGAGGTAAGTTTAAACATTTTTAGTACATTTTTCTTTTTCTTTTAACATGATGTTAATATTTTGATAGTGTAATTCTACTAGTAGTTCTAGTAACTAATCTTATCATTATATGTATTTATATTTGCAATTACTGTCAAATTCCCTCTGGCTTTCTTTCTTAACTTATTTACACAGGATATAGATTCTAACTTTGATGTTCAAAGTGCGAAGCAGAATGTGTAATATGTCAGGATATTTGACAAGGATAATTTAACAGGATTTATGTTTAAAGGGCAAAAATTGCTTTTCTAGGTTATTTATTTATTGTTAATTTAAGTAGTAATAGGTGATTATTCTTTTAACTTCTCCTGAACTGTTGTGGATGGATTTATACATTCCCATTTTTGGTTGCTAACAAATGTTTACCACATACGAATCGCTTGCATTTATCACATCTGAAAAAAATAATTATCGTAAAATAATTTTTGTTGTTGCAAGACAAAGGAAAGACATCAGCTATCGAGAAAAAATTTTTTTTTTCTACTTCCTATCAATGAAACTTTCCAATCCATTTTGCACACTTTCACCAACTGAAAAGGGTAATAAAATAGACGAAGGATAAGGGACTAGGGTGCGAGTAGTAGGGCTAAGTGACTTATATTAACAATTGTACTTGAAAAAAACAATGTAACCCAAAAAAAATGATGTGGACCATCATGACCATCAGGTTTAAATAGGCCCAGGCATCTTTTTATCTGCAAAATTAGCAATAACAATGACGTGTTTTATTTGAATTTGACAAAAATAATTTCTTTACATTCAGAAAAACCCAATAGAGGAATACATTGGAGGGTAAATAAAACATAGACATCACAAGTGCAAAAACAAACATTCTCTGATTCTTGAAGGACCCCACGATGATACTGCGAAGTTAAGCTTTTATTTTATTTTTAACAATTTAGGAAATGCCAGAAATTATGTTTTAAAATAAAAAGAGTGTATTTGAAAATTGTATGTGTATAGTTGGAAAATTGTTCATCGGTTTATCATCAGTTTAAAAATTGTTCTGAGTAAATGCAATTTTTTTAAACGGTTTTTTCATAAAACAATAAATTTACCATTTGGAACTTTTAGTTGCAACCTCAGCTCATGTTTGTTTTAGATGGGTTTTGAGGTGATAGATAAGTCGACATTACCATTAAATAAAGAGGTGATTTTCAGTCTTTAATATTTTTATCTTACATTAACAATCGTTTTGATTAACCACAATGTAAATTTTCTTAAGGATATGAGAGTATTTTTAAAAGTACTGACAGGAGGAGCGATCAGCCAAGAGGCTGGTTTAGATTCACAGCAGTTTACTTGCAAAAAATGCGGTATCCTGATCGGACTTAGCCACAAGAAGCCAAAGTATAATTAACAATTTTAGCAATAAATCTTTTGTCTATAACATGTTTTTTTAGGGTGTGTGCTTTTACATGTTTTTACTATTGTGAAGAATGCTTCAACGGGGTACAAATGAAAATTCCAGCCCGTATTCTCCACAACTGGGATTTCAATAAGTACTTTGTTAGTGCGTCGTCGCAAACGTTTCTCATGAATGTAATCAACCATCCTTTGTTAGACATAAGGAAAATAAATTCCAAAATTTACCTTGCCGTTGATCAGATAAATGATATCAGGGTAATTAAATTAAATTCAGTTCTGTCATGGTTTAGTGGAAATGCAGTTTTAGCTGTTTTCAGAAACTAAGGGTGAAGCTTAATCTTATGAGACCATACTTGTCGACGTGTCACGATTCCACGACAAATGTCATTAAACAGTTGGTTTGGCCAAGAGAGTACCTTTACGAACACGTTCACCGGTATTCTGTCTCAGTAAGTAGCGTATGAAATAAAAATTTATAATTGACTAAATTCCTAAAATTTTCTGCCAGGATCTATTTGATTTGGACACAGGCAAGCTAACTGCAGATCTCAAAACAGCAGTTCACCTTTCAACCAGACACATAAAATCATGCGAACTGTGCAACCAGAAAGGATTCATTTGTGAACTTTGTAACAACAAAGATAAATCGCCTGATCTGATTTTTCCATTTGATGATAATACTCACAGGGTAAGTTAATGTTCGACAAACGTATTATTAACATTTGTAAGCTGGGGGAAAAACTTATTCACTGTTGTTATTGTTTTAAACATGATTATAATATTTTTTTAGTGTCAAGTTTGTTGCAATGTTGTGCATTTGGTTTGTTACCAAGAGCATAAGGAGTGTCGCAAGTGTAAGCGTAGAAAGGACCATAAGGCGAAGCTTGAAAGACTTATTTCTGAGGAAAACAGCTGATGCCCGAATGTACTATTAATATAAATAAAAAACAATCTATTTATAAAAAAGTGCCTATGTAATAAATAATATAGATTAAATTTTTTTTAAAATATAAATTCATGTTAGTGTATTTTTGTAAAAACTTTTGTATTTATGACATTATTGTGCTTATCTGTTAATTTACATTCTATTATGAATTGTTTTGTTCTTGTGTTAACGGATTGATTAATAACAAATATTAATAAGTTAAGAAGTGATTTGTGCGAAGAAAAGTGAAAATACTTCATTTATTAATAAAAACAACCAGCTAATATAATAAATATTTATTTTCTCAAACAGCATGATATAATATATATTAAAATACTCTCTTTTTCAAAATGTACAGGATGCAGGCAACAAAAAATGCAAAGCCAAGGAGTAAAAGTAGTTTATCTGTAAACTGCCTCCTTGAATATTTTGCTAGTAATTTTCCTGACTGAAAAAGGACGCTTTTCGTTTCTTGTAATTCTTCATTCGTTCCCAATACCGTAGTCGACGAGTTGGCTGAAAAATACTCAAAGCTTTTTAGATCATCTTTACGTTATAATATTGGACATACCGAGCGTGTTCAGAGTGTCGGCGCTCAACTGCGTCGTGTCAGAGAGGTGCCTGCTGATCGAGAGCAGCTGCTCGGTGATCCCAGATGACATTTTCAAAAAATTCACTTTATCTTTCTTCTGCCTGAAATTAACTAAGACTTTACAACAATTATGGCGTTCAATAGTTTTAGGAAGGTATTAAAAGATACCTTTGTCGTAAGTGGGTGCCTTGATTGGATACTTGGAAAAGTTCATCTTTCCCACTCTTGTCTATTGCCAACATACACACTACATTTGCTTTCCTAAACATGCTGAAGGTGCTGTAAAAACAAATTATCAGAATTATTTTATGTTACAGGCAGAGTAGATTATTTTTGTACTATCAAACCTCCCCTTAAGGGGACGACCAAAATGACAAGTTTTTAATTTCCCAAAAGATAGATTTAGTTAATGGCTGGGGTATGGTGCTCCCTTAGGTACGGCAGTGAGGTGGGTGGGTGAAAAAGCTTTTTATTAAGCTGTAAGCTGTTGTATAAATTTATATATAATTAATTATGTTGGAAAAGTACATTTAAGTTTTCCATGGCATAACTAATTGTCTATTTTGAACTTTTAAGGCTCATTGTTAGTTCGTTCTTCTTATTGAACACAACTGATAAATACTGTTTTTTACACAGGCACATGCCAATATATTTTTAAATCATAAGTTATATTTTTATATAATTTGCTTGGGGGATGCCTGTTGATGCGATGACCCCTGAATTCAGAGTTGATTAAAAAATTTAAATTAAAACACGTGGGAGGTCAGACTGGGAGAAAGGGTTCCCAGTTAATGTCAACTATATCTGGTATAAAGACAAAACCAAATATTGGTCAGGGGCTGGTATTTATGGAGGTAAACCAAAGACTAGAATTCATTGGGCGGTATGACACTGTCTTTCAATTGGAGACTGTGGCTACTGAACATTGTGCCAAGATGATTAAAAAGCTATTGTTAACAGAAGAATAGCCATCTACTCGGTCGACCATGCAGCACTGATGGCAATTACCGCATAGGTGGAAAAGTACAGTCATTTGGGATTGATTAGAGCCCTGTAGACATGGCGAGGGTCAATGAGGATGAGGCCAAGGAAAGTTCAATAATCCTTTCAGCCTTGAACCCTTTTGCACTATACCAAACTGCCAAAAACTCCGATCAGATCATGGGTTAAAAATAAATCCACAGTTGAAGAAAGTTGAATGAAGACACCTATTGGCCCTGAACCATTTTGCACTGTATCAAATTGCCAATAACTCCCATCAGATCATGGGTTAACTGTTCTCCACAGTTGAAGATTTGTGACATACCAAATTGGCAAAAATGTGGATCCATCAGGCAGGTTAAAAATAAGAATTCCATTTGATGGAAATGTAGCCCAGGACATAGGCCTGCCAAAAAGTACATCGTTTTGTCAAAAAAATGGACAACTGCAGAACTCCTTAACTTAGGCATGTTAGGACTAGAACAATACTTGGAATGCTAACTGGACACTGTACACTCCAGAGTATGTATAGACTCGGTGTGGCTCAAACTAGCCTGTGCAGATATTGCTAGGAAAAAAAAGAGGCAGCAGAACATGCCCCCTGTTTGTCTTGAGAAAGGAAACTACTCTTGAGAAAGGAAAAGCATGAAGGATACACACAGGAGTCCTTAACAAAGCTTTGGGAACTGGTAAAAAAACCCAAACTTAAAGAAGAACCCCAAAAAAAAACGGAAAAGGAAAAAAAAACAAAAACAGGTAACCGTCAACGGTGAAAAAGCCAACTTCTTTTCTAATCTAATCTAAATAATATGCTTTAACATAATTATGCTACATTTAATTTTTGAACAACATCTAAGGGACCGTGGTGACTGATTGGGCGTTTTGGTCTATCTGACACGTTTCACCACTTCCGTGGTGGATCACTAGTGATAGTAAATATAAAGTTTTTCTGATAGACAAAAATAGGCTGGTCATGATAACTGGTGATCAATGTCAATCGATTATGTATTTTTAAGTCACTTTAGTATGCCAATTGGCAAACCTTTTCACCTAAAGTATTGTTCCTTCCTGTTTGCAGCATCAGATATGATCTCTTCATTCTGTCGTTCCTTTCCGTAGACTTCGAGTTCTTCAATTTGATAACGAAGCGTAGACAGCTTCGACCTGCCATCAGCGTTGAGTTCATTTAAGACTTCCAGTGGTCCCATACAGTTGTAAATATCCTTCAAAATTTTCTCTCTGTTTAATATTGAATGTCTCTTCCAAATTTGGGATTGGGATATGTACCTGGATCAATGATTTTAGAGACAAATCACATTTAATAATGTCATTTCTCAGTTTGTCCACATAGAGCTGGTCGATTTCCATGTCTATATATCCTCCGGATTAACTTCAGACAAAAGGTTCGTTAATTATTAAATATTTTTTAATTGTAAATATTCTAAATTAATTAAAATGTTAAAGTGACAGCACAACATAACAAAATGTCAGGAGTAGGTTACGCTGAGGTTACATAAATATCATCCCACCTGAAGTACATCATCAATGTTAGCCTGTTCACCAAAATGACCAACAAAACCAATAACAAATTTATTAGACATTTTAATATTTACATTTTTTTCTTGAAATTTCTTGATTTATTAAAATTAATTATTTTAAGTATTGCATACGTTTTGTGTTGTTGAAATTGTAAAATGTTTTTAAAAAATGCATTGCAACTGGTGCTTACACAGGAAAAAATCTGTTAAGGAAGATTAAAGTCATAAATTTTGAAAAAATATGAGCACACAGATGGATCATAATTTGTTATAAATTAAATAAACACCATTTTGAATGTACAATAAAATACAATTGTAATTTAACAGAATCAACCAAACACACTGAAAAGTTATGATGATTGGTAAAAATAAAATTAAGATTCAACTAATGCGGGGGTTCCCAAACTGTGGTCCACATCAAACTTCGAGGAAAATTAATAATTGCACAAATAAATGTTGAATGAATAAATAAAATTAAAAATGACTGGCTGAACAATTGAAGTGATTACTATCAGAAAGGATAAATTGGAGGATGGCAGAAGAAGTCATTGTGTTCAGACAGACATGCTTTAGCTATGAAACAAATGAGTCTTTTAAGAAGTTTTTGATGAGTCTGTTCAAATTATTAATTATATCAAGTGTGACCATTTAAATCAAGACTTTTCACAATATGTGATGATATGTGAAGCCTACAAGTGGATACGAATGTTCGATAGACATTACTTCAGACTCTACTTTGAAATCTACTTTCAAGTCTCTACTTACACCCACCATTTTTGACTCTGTATGTAAAACAAAATTTCAACTGTTTGTTGAAAAAGCAAAACTTCTTCTTCCATTTGCCACAACTTATGCGAATCCGGATTTTCTATCTGTACAGCCCTCAAAACTAAATACCGAAGCTGAACTCGACAGCTATCAAAAATTAAACCCAACATATCCCAATTGTGCAGTCTAAAACAATCTCACTCCCATTAATTCGTTAATGATTAATGTTCAAATTATTACTTTTGAATTCGACTCAAGTTTTATCCCTACCTATTGATTACATCCAATTTGATTTTTGAGTTCTGGATTTTTGTAGATTAGTTAAGTATGCTAATTGAATGTTTGTTTTCGCCAGGACTTAAACTTTGTGCATACCAAAGTTTGCAATGTAAGTTTTAAAAATAAAAAGAATATTGTGATTTGAAACCTTGAACCTATAAAGGTAAAGGTGTAATTCTGTCAATATTAAGGACCAAACAAGAAAAGTTTAACGGGTACTGTCACTGATTTCATAAGGAATTTCACTCTATTCTTCAACTCAAGGAACACAACTTAGTTGTTGCAGGTTAACTTGCTGTGGATGGAGATTGAAAAGCCTTCTCTGCAACGCATCCCACAGTGCTCAATGGGATTGAGGTCTAGAGACATGGAGGAAAGGGCAGATGGAAAATTCCCAGGCTTTCTAAACACCGATGAACAACTCTGCCTCTATGAGGTCTGGCATTGTCGAAATCGAATATACCTGCTAATGAGCTTGGGGGAAACTCTCGATAATTTCTTGGACATAATAGACTGCGGTGAGGTTGCCTTCAACAATATGGAGACCAGTTCATCCTCCATAGTAAATCCCATTACACTGCTTCCTCTAAACTGCACTGAACGGAGCACGAACTGGGGCATTGTACGTATCCACTGTTCTCGAAAGATTCATCAGCACCTGATATCATTATATGTTTGTTTTGCCTAATGTACTGGACTTTAGCCTGATATCACTATACAGAACACATACTCTATCAAAACGTGACTCATCAGCAAACATAACAGCAAATTAAATTTGTGTTCTTCTAGGTGCTTGTTGCACCATATTCTCCTGAGCTGCTGGTGGCAGGCTGTTGCTGCAGTCGTTTCACAGGGGCATACAATGTGAGGCCAACTTCCTACAAACGATTATAAATCATTTGTGTTGATAAAGGCTTTGTCAAAACTTGTTCTACTTCTTTTAAAATCTGGCTGTCACTATGGAAAGAGTTCTGTCTTGGAGTGATGACAATATTTATTATCTTCCCTTAGAGTCGTAATATGCTGAGATCCACTACCAGGTGCACTACCTCCTACTACTACCGCTGAGATCCTATGCACTACCAGTCTCTTGGGCTAAAGCCCAGGAGACTACGCTCTAAGAAACGCCAACTGCCTCTGCAATATTCACTTGCCAGTGACCTTGATGACTCATTCTGACCATAATATTGCGAACTTCTGGTTCAAGATGATGTCTTTTCATGGTTAAAGAAAATACAAATGGATTAAAATGGAGAAAAGATGTCTTCATGTCTACTATCCTTAAGTAGGATCCATTATTAAAAATAAGGATTAATAAGTTTTTGTTTTAGGTTTGTATTTTCTATTTTGTTTTATCAAACTAACAAGAATGCATCAGTCAATTTAATTAAAATTAATAAAATAAGAATAAATTACAAATATGACTGTTCATTTTTGAGCAGTTTATATTGAATCAGTTTCTAGCGTATAAAATGTAAGCGTACAGTCCTAAATAAATCAGCTACCATGGAATATCTTGTTTCGTTTTACTCTATAAAAATTTCATTAAAGAAAAGCATATCTCACCATGAACTTAACAATACTATGATTAATGATTATTTGGAAATCGTGAGATGCGGTCTGGTGTGACGTAGGTTTTAGAAGAACATTTTCTTTATCGTGCCAACATTTTGATCTTTATTGAGATCATCTTCAGTGCTCAAAGTGTTTGTTTTCTGTGTAGATCATTACTGTGTGTCGTGTTGAAAGTGCCTTGGGCAAAAATCTCCAAATAATCATTAACTTATTTTAAAAAAAAATCATATATATTGTTTAATCAAACTTAGGATATACTTTTCAATCAAACTATCTAAAATTACGTATAAGTGTTATTCACACAGAGAGTGAATGATAGACAGTTTATATGCTGATGAAGGAGGATCAAAGCTTATCTAATGCATTAGAAAAATGATTTTTAGTTATCATTACAACGTATATGTAAATATTATTTGACTTTTTCCTTTATAATTAAAAAGGCGCTGTAGGTTCGGGAAGCCTGTAAGACCAAGAAGTCTTGCGGGTTTCTTTTTTTCTTTTCTTTTTTTACGATGGTATTTCAACGAATTTACAATGATGAGCGCCGTGTCAACACCTGGCCACCTACGCCTTTTTCATTTGGGAAATAATTAAAGAACAATTAAATATAAAAATAAGTAAAAGTCAATTTTTGAGTCCAGATAATCTCTTATATAAAGAGAGAAACACTAAAGTAATATTTCATTAATTTACAGTTAAATTTTATAACAAGACCAGGTGTGTCTGATTATTTGGCATTTGTACTTCAATTTATTAAGCAGAATTGATCGTTTCTAAAAGATTTAAACGTTAAAAACGGTTAAAGTACTTGAACATGCCAGCAATTCTGATTTAGTTCAATAATAGCATACAATTACGATTATACGAGTACTTTTAAACAGAATGAACTTTGTGTTAAGCCGTTATTGACTGTGAAGTCCAACATATTTTCTTTTAAAACTTTATTTTTAAGTGAAGTTCTATTGTTCCCGTTATGAAAGGCACCGAAAGAACAGAGAGCACTCAACTGAGACATCTCTATTAACGCAGCCGCTGGTGTTTACCAAGGCTTCCTCTGATTAAAATCACGAGTATAATTTTTTTTTTTACTCATTCGTATTTCTTGTATGGGCAATATGTGTAAACGATAAAACGAATTTATGATTTGGCGATAAAACCAAAAATCGTCGCGGACGTAAATTTTATCAAATATTCTAATCTAATAACGACAATCAAATATTTGTTGGGAAAACTGACGCAATTCGATTCTGCCGATTTAAGCTCGAAGAAAAAATCTGTTTACTCGTCTGCCAAATAGTCAACAATTTTAAACTAGTTTCGTGTGGTCCAATTATTAATCTTACTACTCGAAACTATAATCAAATGCAGTGGACCAGTTGTTGTATTTGAAATGGATAAAAAGCAAATTCTAACTTGGCTGCAAAAAGTAAAAAAAAAGTATGTGATGTTTAGTGACCGTTAGCTAATGATTATTTGGAGATCGTGAGGTGCGGTCTGGTGTAACGTAGGTTTAGAAAAACATTTTTTTATCGTGCCCGTTTCGAACATTACTGAGATCATCTTCAGATTTATAAACATTGTTTAAATTTTACAAATACATGTTGGATGTGACAAAAAATGAATTTATACAATGCAAAATATATTTTTTATATATTAATCAAAGTATTTCTACTCACTCTTTGTGTTTGTGTGTTTGTGTTTTGTGTAATTGTGCCATTTTTGCGTGTCGTGTTGAGAATGCCAGTAAGATATTGCTGTTTTATGTTTTTATATGTTGGATTTTGATGGGGTGGGGAAGGAAGTCGGTATATAAAAGACAATTTTGTATAAGGCGTCGGCTTCTTTGAGGTGAAAACCTTTTCCTTGAAATGGATAAAAAGCAAATTCTAACTTGGCTGCAAAAAGTTAGAAAAAAAAGTGTGGTGTTTAGTGACCGTTAGCCAATGATTATTTGGTGATTGTGAGGTGCGGTCTGGTGTGACGTAGGTTTAGAAAAACATTTTTTTTTATCGTGCCATATTTCGAACTTGACTGAGATCATCGTCAGTTTTATAAACATTGTTTAAATTTTACAAATACATGTTGGATGTGAGAAAAAATGAATTTATACAAAGCTAGAAAATTTTAGAAAAAAAATGAATTTATACAATGCTAGTAAATTTTAGAAAAAAAATGAATTTATACAATGCTAGAAAAATTTTTATTTAAAAAAGAATGAATTTATACAAAGCTAGACAATTTTAGATAAAAAAAATGAATTTATACAATTGAATCTAAAATATATATAAAATTTTAACTTATTAATTGAATCTAAAATTTTCTAGCATTGTATAAATTCATTCTTTTTTAAATAAAATTTTTTCTAGCTTTCTGTAAATTCATTTTTTTATTAATCTAAAATTTTCTAGCATTGAATAAATTCATGTTTTTAATTTAAAATTTTCTAGCAATGTATAAATTCATTTTTTTCTCACGTCCTACAATTATTTGTACAATTTAAATAATGTTTATAAATCCTAGGCTCTGAAGATGATCTCAATAAAGATCGAAACGTTGGCATGATAAAGAAAATGTTTTTTCTAAAACTACGCCATAACAGACCGCACCTCACGATCTCCAAATAAAAAATGAAAAGTTTCATTTCTGTGAAGTTTTTTTATGTAAAAAATTACACCATTATGCGTTGCAAGGATAAAAAACAACTTCCATTAGTGAATAGTAAACACAGTAAAATATTTTTAAAACAAGTTAAACTAAAAATTTTGTTATATTCAAAATTAAAATAAATTTCGGTTGAATAAAGTTAAATTTAAGTCTGGCAAGGATAGAAGGACGATAGTCAGGGATTTCTTAAAACTGCGCATTAAAGTTTGAACGACTCTTCGATAAGACAAGCCTTCACAACGAAGTTAAATAACTTATTGTTTAAAAAAAAAGATAATATTTATATAAAAGAACCATTGATGCGGGAACTACGGACAATTACGTAATCGATTTCTTTTTAACCAAGAGCCGATAATAAAAGCATGTTTGTGTTGATTTAGTACGATAAATTTTCCGATTTGATAACTGTTTCAATTCCAAAAAACTCGAAAACTGTTTCAATTAAAAAAAAAAAAAAACCGGCTAAAAATGTTAAATTGTCAAGAACGTTTGATACGAATTATTGCTCAAGTTTGATTTTTTTGTTCCTGTCCTGTTTAAAGGATTTTCACATTGATTATTTTCCTCAAATAGTGTCTGAGGAAATATAGTACTACGTATGATAAAAACGATCACGGAAATTTTATTCTATCGACCGACTTTCGAACTTACAATGTGTACTCTTCGCCATGGTGACAGGAGAACCATTATAACAACTTAACAGGAGTTAGAATTTTTTTTTTTAAATTCTTCTCAATGTCAAAGAAGAGAAATCCGTTACCGCTTAGATCGAAGCACGACAAACAAGACTGCCTTTCAGGTCTGTTAATTAAAAAATATAAACTAAACATGTCCGTTATTAATAATAAATTATTTCATTATCTCCAGCCTCGATCAGCAGCAGTTCTTCAGAAGAAAGTTTCGACGTCGGTGAGTTTTAAAATAAGTTACCGTTGTAATTCTCGTGCTGGAAGTTGAGATAACCGACACCGACGGAATTGCGAAAAGGAATTTGATCTTAATTTTATGGCCATTTGAGACTTCCTGATGGCCTGAGCCTTTTCGAAAATCCTTTTCTTTAGTAACCTACAATACAGGATGTAAAAGGTTCTTGTTTTTATTTTTGTGAAATAAAAAGTACGGGTTGATTGAACAGTTTTTCTTCTCCACAAGGTTCGGTCTTCGGACCAATCCACTTTAGGGCACGTCTTCCTAATTGTGTTCATTTACAAACACTTGTTGATCGGTTCCAGTTTGTTTGTGACAATATGAAACCAAATAAATTAACAACAATAAATTTTAAGACCGTAATTACTAATGAAAGAAAAACCAAAAGTCAAAGGAAGATTACAACTACCGATTCAAATCGTCTCAATAATTTAAACATAAATATGAAATTATCACACTGTAAGTTTTAGATATAAATAAAACACTTGATAAATTGATATTAATGGATTATTAAATTCGATAAAAATATAAGACAGACACTTGAGAAGAAATTCCAAAACACGTTCGATGAGACAATCTTAACGAAATTTGACCAGCCAGGATGACCGGAGACGATCAGTGCCACATAAATAATTTGTGGTTTTAGTAACATATATATCGAGGAAAGTGAAAATGATAAAACATACTGATCAAAATGAGGCACCCACGAAGAAAACCGGGTTAACTAATTAAAATCCATTTGGTGGATTGTCAAGGAAGATTTTTTTTTAGTTTGCACCGAATATTTTGATAAATCTCCCTACTAAGTTTATCTAAATACAGAAGAATACTGAAATAAAGACAACCCGGAATGAGTGGGTGAATAGTTCTCATTAACAAAGAGTTCATATTTCGTCGATTAGCCGCAACAATTGCTCTTAGCTTAAATGTTGTCACCGACTACATCAGTCATTCTGTTCGTAAAATAGTCCAAAACACAACTCGTTTTAGTCAAGGAGATATTAACGGAAAAAAACTTTCGGAATGTTTACAAAATCCTTTTATCTTAATGTAAAATGACAATTTTAAAAAATACGTTTTTCATGATTGTAAAAATAAGTGATTATTGAAACAAAACGGAAGTTTTTCTCTCAGGATAATTTGACATTTCATGAAGAGTGGCTTAATCTTTTGGCAATGACTTGAAAAACATTGGCTTAACTGATCTTGCTGTAATTCTAAATGTCATATAAAAAAACGCAAGACAGGATTAGGAGCTGTCGATTAGAATAATTTTAAACTTAATTTTGGTCATTTCCGGTCATTTTAGTCTTCCTATCTTCGCATTTTTGGTATGTGCAGTTTCGCCGTCTTCAGGGTCACGAGTTAAAGGTTAAATGAGCCGGCCTTTTAACGACCTTACGCACTGCGACCAATATCGGTCTGTTGTACAATCTCCATCTCTAGAGCTCTTTTGTTAAAATTATGATTTTTTAACAGATCACTTTGTCAAAGGCACTCGCTTAGTTTTTCCTCTCTCAGGATCCTGCATAAGCTTTCGCACAAAGAGAGGATATTTCCGCTGTTTCTTCTTTTTCCTGACAACATCTGGAACGTTTTATTCTACCATATGTCTCCGGAGTCTGCAGTTTTTGGTCAGGAGTCCTGCTATCAGTCTAGTTCTAACACGTCCTAGGTTTAGTAGTTCTGCCTTTAGTTTGTACGATGGTCCTTTGAAGTTCTTCGCAAATCTCCTAGAATACATTCTCATTAAACCGAATTTTCTTAATTTTCTTTGGCGGTCAGGGATATAAGCAGGGTGAGACGCCGAAACAACCAACCAACATGATCGAAACGACCAAACCTCAAGTTCTATTACCATGACGAAATCTAAACATTTTTTAAAGCTTGCCATATAATTTCAACAGTAGTCGAAATTTGTCTCTTTTACAAAAAATAGGCCAATCGATTAAAGCGAAGTTTTTAGAGGGGAAGAAGGAAATGGGAACCCTTGCACAGAAAAAAGTTGAAATTCCGGTTTCTCGTGCATTTCCTGTTCGGCCAACGGTTAAAACACCAGTTAAACTATAACTTCTTTATTTCTCCAGTCTCAGTATAAAAATAATGTTTCATTTCAACAGACGATAAATAAATAAAAAAATAATAAAAATAAAAATAAAACATATAATACATCTTTTACTTCTCTAGATCAAATATTGTTTGATTTTTTTGAATTTTGTAAAGTAATGTAACTATTATATAATCTCGAATCTATTGGATTTATCATCTAGCCGTCTAACCAGTTTTTCATAAACAGGTTAAATAAATTGAGCTCATTAGGAAGAAATTTATTGCAAGGGAATTAAACCTGAATTGAAATACCACTCCTGCATTAACTTGGTCGAATAACGTCAATTTTTAATTTGTAAGTAATTTTTATTTTAAGGCGTTCATTGAATGATACATAATATAAAATAACTATTTGGAGATCGAGAAATGCGGTCTTGGTGATGTAGATTTAGAAAAACATTTTCTTTATCGTGCCAACGTTTCGATCTTTATTCAGATCATCTTCAGGGCTCAAAGTTGTGTTTTCTGTACAGATGGGTCACGGTTCGCCCAACACTCGCAACACGACCCACAACCGTGACAAAGCTACACAGAAAACACGCACTTTGAGCCCTGAAGATGATCTGAATGAAGATCGAAACGTTGGCACGATAAAGAAAATGTTTTTCTAAACCTACATCACACAAGACAACATCTCACGATCTCCAAATAATCATTAATTAACTGTCACTAAATACTCACATATAAAATAACTTAATATTATCTGATGATCCATGGTTTTACACCGATAGGGGGGGGGTCTTGATTTATTTAAAATTTCGTTCAATTTGAACATTTACTGACTAAACTATTTATATTTTAACTTACATAAATAAAACAAACACTCAAACTATTATACAATTATTGACTTCAAAATAACAATATTTATTATTAAATCCATTATATTTAGTGGTCAATTGACCAAATTACTTCTTTACTTCCTTTTTTCCTTTACTTCCTTTACTTTATTCCTTGCTTAATCTTTCTATGTAAGGTTTTGTTTGAAATGAAAAAAGTTAGTGTCACGAGCGGGATTCGAACCCACGACCTTCGGCTAAATACGCTAAATACCATCCACTCGGACAACAATTCTTTGAAAAATGGCAAAGAGAGGGAAAATTCCAAAGGATGTAGGTTGAGATGAGGAGTTTGTGTCCGGTGGATCGAAGTCAGGACAGCTCAAGTGGCGCAGTGGCGTATTTAGCCGAAGGTCGTGGGTTCGGATCTCGCTCTGAATTTTTTATCTCAACCAATACCTTACATAAAGATTAATTAATTGAAAGATGTTATTTGGTCAATTGGTCTACGAAATATAATGGATGTTTTTAAAAAACATTCTTAGCAGCTTTTCCACAGAGTCGAACTACCTCCCCAAACTTGTGCCCCATAGCATAGTGCCGGTAAGTGTCTTGAACAACGCAATTTTCGATGGGTGTGAGATTTCTTTCTAAAAAGATTCCATAAATCATTTATACCTTGTTTAGCTTCAGGGTTTTTTCATTAAATTGCACATTCAAAGATAAACTTGTTTAATTTAATATATTTATTACACGTAATGAAATGAATTTACAAATGACATGGGTCGTGTGTCGTGAGGGGAGTTAACACGACTACATGCGAGGACTAATTCTCGTTTAGTAGGTCGCGAGGCATCTGTTCTTTACTGGTCTAGTGGGATTTTAAGGGTGGTTTTTATTGGATAAAGATGGGCAACTCGATTGGGGTGAGATAAGAGTTTATTGTGGAAATAGAAAATGTTTTGAGGATTATTTCTGTTGTGGGGAAATAGTAACATTGACTACGATTCTAAGGACACATTGGATGGGAAGGACTGCATTCCTTTTATGTGGAAGGTCTCACGGTTCTAGTCCGTACGTCCCGATTGTTTTTAGTATTGTCTTGTAGGTTGTCAGTTTGTTTTTCGTTGAAACGTTAGATTTGCGCGACAGTAATCTGAAGAGTGGTCCAAAACGTTGGTTTAGAACCTGCGATTTTAGTCGTATTTGATGGTTCCAAGTTATTCTTGAGTCTGCTTTTGGGATGGGAGTATTACTGAGGAATATCGTATGAGGGGGTTTTGCTCAAAGGGTGAATGATATACGGATGCTTTTGCTTTCATTGGGATTTTACGCCAGTTTTTTCTCGATTCGGTTATTTGCACGACATGTGCCTGGAGTTCATCCGAAATAATTGTCGGATCGGATGATAGGATAGCGCATGTGTTGTCGGCAAAAGTGGCAAAGATGGTGGAGAGTGAAGTTGAAGCGATGTCGAGGATGTAAAGTATCGGTCCAAGTACGCTGCCCTGAGGTACCCCCACTCCCAAAGGACAATAGTCTGAGTAGGCCGATCCTTAGCGGATTTTAAAGATAAACTAGATGTTAGAATCCTACCCAAATATGCCTTCAACTAATTTGTAAATAATTTACATTGTAAAAATTTAATTTTTTATAGTGATTGTTATATAATATAAAATGTTCGTTTTGTTTAAACTGATTGAGACTGAAACGTATAAAAACCTAAATCTTTAGCTACAAGCTTAAAAAAATCATTTGCTTACAATCTTATAAAGTCTTACGATAAAAGAATTTTCATCCTGTAATAGTACAAAAAGAAAAAGCAAATAAAACGTAACTAGAATTACAATGAAGTAGACAGTAAATAATTAATAATGTATGAAAAGATTAAATACAACCTTGCTTATTATTTTCTCAATTGCTTTCTTGATTTTTTTTTTTTAGATAGTTTACCTTGAAGAGTTTTCAGTTCTTTTTACCTTTTGTTTTGCGTTTCATATATGTTCTTTATTTACGGCTTTAAGTTCTGAAAATGTTTGGGTTGACTTATTGAAATGTAATGAGAAAAAAGAACAGATTTCGGTTGACGCCGGATTCGAGGAAAGGGGCGCAGCAGTGCACGATTCCGTTTCCTCTTTCTAGATTTGGATAATGTTCTTTTGTGCATTATGATGAAGCGCGCTGAACCGGCTTCCGACGGTCTAAATAGGCCTGAATAGGATACCCCACACTGGCACAATCAAAAACCCAGTGGCCAGTTCGCCCAAATAACAAGCCTGCCCGGTCGTTTCTTTAAAGTTACAATTTGCCAAATAATTTCGTATATATATTTTTTTTATTTATACACATGTATTATAAAGAGAAAAAGTCTGTTTGTATGTCAAAGGTAATCTCGAAATTGACTGATCAGATTTTGATCAATTTTTTTCGACGTGTTCCTTACGATCATAGGACATAGACATTGTTTTGTCATTACAGTAATTCAACTAAAGATATGAAATTTTGTATGTTACTGTGTGTTAGGCGGAAACAGATTTTTTTAAAAACTTTTATTGGAAATAGTTTACATTTCTTTCTTATTAACCATCTCCAGACTCGAAGCTTTGAAAAATTACCCATCTAGGATTTAAAGACGAGTCTTTAAAAAATTCCTTAGTTATCGTAGATAGTGAAAAGGGCAAAACAGGTTCTACGATGTCTATTTATCTTTAGATGAGACGTCTTCGTCGGCCTAAGATTGATTGGCCACTTCAAAATAAAGGTCCGCCCATTTTAATATAGCCTTTCATACTTCGTAAACAAGTGCACAAGATTAAAGGGATGGCAAACATCAGGACGCCGCATAATAAAAATATAAAAAAACTCAACTTGTTCAAGATTTCGGACGAGAGTAGAAAGAAAATAGAGAAAGAGAGGCGAGAGTGAAAGGAGAGAGAGAGAGAGAGAGAGAGAGAGAGAGAGAGAGAGAGAGCGAGTGAAAAACAATGTATACATAAATAGAGAGACGAAGAAAGAAGAAAAGCTTGAGATAAAACCAATGAATGTGAGATAGAATGAAAGAGAGTGGGTGAGAAAAGAGAAAAATGAAATAGATAAAAAAAAATTTCATATAGAAACGGAGCAAAAAATATTAAAAGAAACGAAGCACGATAGAAAGAAAAGATATAATCTGGGTGTATCATAGTGAGAAAGATAGATAGATAGATAAATAGATAGATATATACAGATAAGAGGATAGATAGGTAGGTAGGTAGATAGATAAAGATAGATAGAGTGAGAGAAAGAAAGAGAGAGAGAAAAAGTGAAAATGACAAAAGAGAAAAAATGAAATAGATAGAAAAATCGTCATATAGAAACGGAGCAAAAAAATATTATAAGAAACGAAGCAAGATAGAAAGAAAAGATACAATCTGTGTCTCATAGTGAGAAAGATAGATATATAGAAAGATAGGTAGATAGATAAAGATAGATAGATAGAGAGAGAGAGAGTGAGAGTGAAAGCGAAAGAAAAAGTGTGAGTGAAAAAAGAGCAAAAAAATGAAATAAATAAAAAAATCATATAGGAACGGAGCAAAAAATATAACAAGAAATGAAGCAAGATAGAAAGAAAAGATAGAATCTGTTTGTCTCATAGCGAAAAAGATAAATAGATAGATAGGTGATAGATAAAGATAGATAAAAAGGTAGATAGATAAAGATAGATAGATAGAGATAGAGATAGATAGATAGAGATAGAGATAGATAGATAGATAGATAGATAAAGAGAGAGAGAGAGAGAGAGAGAGAGAGAGAAAGTGTGAGTGAAAAAAGAGAAAAAATGAAATAGATAAAAAATCGTCGTATAGAAACGGGGCAAAAATATTAATAAGAAACGAAGCAAGTTAGAAAGAAAATATAGAATCGGTCTGTCTCATAATGAGAAAGATAGATAAATAGATCGATAGATAGATAGGTAGGTAGGTAGGTAAAGATAGATAGAGGTAAAGAGATAGATAGATAAAGAGAAAGAGAGAGAGTGAGAGAGAGTGAGGGAGAGAGTGAGAGTGAGTGAGAGAGTGAGAGGGAGATAGAGTATGAAGTGAAAGAAAGATCGAGCGAGTGATTTAGAGATAGTAGCAAAAAATTACAGAATGAGTGCAAATATGGAAAAGGGAGCCAGAGAAAAGTAGAAATAATTAATTAAATTATAAAAAGGACGTAAAGTGTAAGAGAGATTGAGGTAGAGAGAGAGAGAGAGAGAGAGAGAGAGAGAGAGAGAGAAGAGAAGAGAAGAGAAGAGAAGAGAGAGAGAGAGAGAGAGAGAGAGAAGTAAGAAATGGTGCATACCCTACATTCAAAGCTATAAATGTAGATGGATAGAAAGAAATAGAAGACACAGAGCGAGAGTAAGAAAGATAGGGGAGAGACTAAAGACATTTTTATACAGCTTGAGGAAGGGTATTTTTCATTCTTCTTGTTGTTTACATACAGACTGTTAAAATTGAATTGTTTCGTTTTTAGACGAGTTGGAAGGATGGCTTAGTGACGAGGAACTCAGGAGCCGTTCGGCGTCCAGCTGCTGTGCTTGCAGTCTCTGCGACGACAGCGACGTCTCCACGTGCTGCAGCTGCAGGTGCTGCAGGGTCGAGTCGCTCATTTCGGTCTCGTCTCTCTTCTCGTCTCTCGATTCTCTCCTCTCCTCGTCTTCCAGCTCGGAGTCCGTCGACCCCGACTTATCCGAGTGCTCGGCACTTTCTTCCGGCGAAGACTGCAGGCGTAAAAAGCTCACGCAGAAGGCGATACGAAACAAAGCGAAATAATTGTTTTTATGTAAAGAATGTCTCCAGTTTGTAAATATAATTATATAGATTTTTTTATATTACGGCCTATGTTATTTGGTTTTTGTCCATCATGCCGTTTCCTCCTAATCAAAACAAACGTTGATATTTTCAACAAAGTTTCCTTTAGTTGAAACTTGTGAAGATGTCATAAACAACAAAGTCTACGAGTTTATTGTTAATCCCAATTCCTGCGGCATTACGTAATCGTTATACATCCTTTGTTTACAAACTAACAAAAATCTGGAGATTAGCTAAGATAAATTTTTATCTAATGTTGATAATAAAAAGAAAATTATCGATGCAGCTTTTTCGGTGTCGCACAAATTCCACGAAAAAGGGCAACAGTGACAGTTTACAACCACCGTCGTGAATATCCATTTTGGATACATTAGATGACGTTTCGATATACCAAAAACTTGTACTTCGAAATAAACTCGATGGAATGGGGGGGGGGTTTATAATAAGAAGCAAATCTCAATGAGAATACAAAGCCGACATTCTTCAAACCATTCCGTCAAATGTTTGATTGTAAAATTACACTGGGTGGTCTGAGAGTTGATGAACCTGCCAGCTATTTGATGAAAACTGACCACCTGCACCCCTTTCCGACCTAGTGACTATTTAAGAAAAATAAATAATAAGCGACAATTTAAGGTTGCTGGTTTTTTTGTACAAAATAAACATAGGTCAACGGTCCGCTTCTTATCGCTATTTGACCTTATACAATATGGATTGGATGTTTGAGGACATTGCTCAATGTGTTAAGCTTTTCCTGGAAATAGGACAACCGGAAGAATAGAAAACTTTAAGTCTTTAACTCTCACTTAACTTTTGTAACAAAGAAACGTTTCAAGGCTAATAGATCACTATTGATCATATCTAATAGTCCGCCCATTATCGTTTGTTCTTCCGACGCTAGCACTCTTTTAAATGGCCGAAGAATTAATAACAATTACACAGCACTCGTGCATATTATTCGCCCCTTTAAACATTTAAAATGTATTTTAAACAAAAGTTAAACATCAGTCAGACCTAGACACGTATGGTTACATGATTAATTAAACAGTCAAATAAATATTATATTACATCATCAACCTTGAATTGATGGAATACACGCATAAAATCTGAAATGTGTGCTCACACTTATTTCTTTTCCAATTGCTTTTCTTTGTTTGTTGTCTTTCATTTTATTAGTAGTTTTGGTATAGTTTGATCATTTTGCCAAGATTTCTCATATGCAGTCATCCCTATTCGAAATGTGACCCAACTCCCTTACACTCTTACTCACATTTTCTCTCTCTGTCTGCCTTCTTTCTCGTTTACTATCGGTTTTAACTTTATCATTTTCAATTTTGTCCTTATTACATTTCTTACTTATTTTTCTCTTTTCTCGCACTCTCTTTTTCACATTTTCCACTCACACATTCTCTTTCTTCCTCTATTTCTACATCACGCTATCGCTCTCTCTCTCTCTCTCTCTCTCTCTCTCACTCTCTCTCTCTCTCTCTCTCTTTCCCTCTCTCACTCACATAATCATTGGTTTTATCTCAAGTTATCTTCTTTCTTTATCTCTATCTTTATGTATGTATTATTCACTCCCTTTACCTATAACTTTTTCTCTCTATCTTCTTTCTCTCACTTCATTGTCCTTATTTTTATAAATCATTCCCTTCTCTGGCTTATCAAGGTGATGAGATGCGAATTAATCGTTTTCTTATTGAATGAAATATGATCTCCAATCAAGGACCTCTTTTGTTCACTATTGATGATATGCCTTCAAGTCTATTGCCTAAAAAAACCGTTTGATTGATGATATATTCCAGTTCATCGCCCCAAGACCACCTTCTGGCGAATCGAACAGCAACAAAACTAATAATTAGAAAACCTGTTGGAACTCTTTGCCTTCGTATAAGGTACATTTTTAACAACTTGAATCTGTGATCTGTTCATGTTGTAAGTGTTAATTTTGTTTGATTAATTTTTAATAATTTTTTTAATTCATTACAACTACCTTTTAATAGTTAACATGGATCAACGAGAAAGTAAATATATACAAAATTAACAACAAGAGTGGAGAAAACACCCATTAGTATTACTCCAATGTTCTGTTTAATTAATACTTGAGTCATTATCACTTTCACTATCATCACCATCACTTCCTAGGAGATCTCGCGGCCTTCATGGAATCAGTGGGCGAGGAGGGTTCGAGAAATTAGTCGGGACGCGATTTTCTGACGTAAACTGTCCAAAAATGAATAGGGATATTGCCAATTTTTTTAGAATTTATTTTCCCTAGCATTTTTAGTTTATTTTTATTATAAATTGCATTAAAGTTTATCAGAAATTATTGTGTTTTATTAAAGGAAAATTTGATTAATGGATTTTGAAAAAAATAACAAAATGAAAGGTTAATTCGATAATTTTGTTTATTGGTCACAGTAATTTCTTTAAAGTAATTAATACCGTGAATAATGTCCTCTGTTGGCTAAAATCTCTATGCACCTGTTAGGCATACTTTTAGTAAGGTTGTCACTAATTTCATAAGGAATTTCACTCCATAGATGTTTCAACGCTGCACACAGTTATTGCAGGTCAACTTGCTGAGTATGGTGATCGAAAAGTTGTCACTGTTACGCATCCCACATGTGTACAATGGGCTTGAGGTCAGGAGGCAATGGTGGAAGGGGTAGATGGGAAATATACAGGTTTGTTAAACATGGATGAACAACTCTGCCTCTATGAGGTCTGGCTTGTCATCCCGAAATCGAAAATCCCTGCCAATGAGATCCCTGGTTAGAGGGATGCATTCCTCGATAATTTCTTAGACACAGACTGCGGTGAGGTTGCCTTCAGCAATATTGAGTCCAGTTCGTCCTCCTGTTCCCAGTCCAGACCATTACACCGCCTCCTCCAAACTGCACTGAAGGGAGAATGAACTGGGGTACGTACGCATCCCCTGTTCTCGTGAACCCTTCGGCACCTGCAATCACTGTACATACAGGAACGCGACCCATCAGTAAAAACAACTGTATTCCGATTGGTGTCCTCTCCTAGGCGCACGTTGCACCATATTCTCCTGAGTTGCTGCAGGTCATCTCAAAGAGGCTTACGGTGCAAGCCAACTTCCCACAAACGATTACGGATCATTTGTGTTGATAAAGGCCTTGCCAAAAAATCTTGCACTTCATTTAGGATCAGGCAGGCACTATGGAAAGTCTTCCGTCTTGCTGGCAGCAGATGAGACTGCTAGGCCTCCTCCACACTCTGAGAAACGCCAACTCTTCTGTGATAACCACTTGCCGATGACTCGACGACTCATTCTCACAATAATATTGCGAAATTCTGGTTCAAGATGATGTGTTTTCATGGTTAAAGAGAATACAACTGATACGATAAAGAATATAACAAATAAATTACAGATATCCTTGTTTATTTTTGAGCTATTTATACCATTTTTGTTAATACGTTCACTACTTGTGATAATGTACATTCACATACTTGTGAAACCAATACTGTGCTGCAAAAAGGTTTACCTTTATCAGAGTGTCACTACTGTAACTTATACATCAGGACAGTACAAGTCAATATTCTGTATTGACATATTTGCATGTAGTTAATTCTACCTTTGTAAATTCCAAGTAAAATGAAACAAATTATATGATAGGTATCTTCCTCGTCAGTGTTAAGACTTAAATGATTTACTTTATGCTTTATGGTATCAATTGAAAAATACTAAGAAATTATAAATTAATAGTTAACCAAAGTCGAAATTTGACGGACTTAGTTGATCTGTCTTCTATCAAGTTAACTGCTATGTTTATTGAAAAGATAGTCACGTCAGGACCTTCCTGTGTGTACCTCTGCTTGTTAATATGTCGAAATAAATTGATTTCAAGCTTTATGTCGGTTACACGAAGTAGGGGAGATTTAAGAGAGGCGGCAAAGGGTGCCCTCGTGGCGCAGGGATCGATCGCGGGGACCAAGTCCCCCTCCAGAATAGGGACGGTTACACGCAAGTTCAGTGGTCGGCGAGGCGCTGAACGCAAACGGCCTGCGTGTCTTTCAGGTTTAGCCCACCTTAAAAGTGCCTTACTCGAACCTCGTGCCGAATCACGTGGTGGCGCCGGAGGGTCGTTCTCGGAAAGCCCACTCCTCTGATGTGACTACCTTATAAGTAAGCAGATTACTTTAAATTTTTTAAACCGTATTTTCTACTTTTACGCTTTACAATATCAACTTGGCTTGTATTTGCCGTTTCACGTGTTGTGGTTTATAAATATACTTTTTTTCCGATTCATACAGAACTATTATTAATCATTATGTTGTATTGCAAGAGAAAAATTAATGTAAAAAATTTTATTCAATTGTCATCGGGCATAAAACTCAATCTAGTACAATAATGTTAATTTTTTTTTAAAGCTAAATATTTTATAAGACATTTTACTTATTAGATATCTGATGAATATTAAAAAAAAAATTAAATCGATAATTTTTACCTTTTTAGAACTCGTTTTCCCATTGCTACAGAAATTCATTTACTTATTTTATTTATATATAAAAAATTGAAAATATTTGGAATTATTACGCACATTTATAAATATTTCTTTTGAGTACTATTTTTACAAATCAAATAAATATGAAAACGCATCAGTGATATAATTTGTATTTTCACCAATTAAACAGGCAATATGTAATATTTATTAATTTGATTTAAATTACTTTTCTTTAATCCTACAAATTTCTGTTTGTATGGCGTAATGGAATTTTTATACTCGTAAATAAAATCAATTAGGAAACGAATGTTTAAATAAAAATTGAAAATCTTGAATTGTAGATTCGACAGTTTATTATAATTATTAAATTGTCCACAATTAAACTATGCGTAGTGCAATTTTTACCAACTTAGATTCAATTATAAGAAGACTATAAACGTGATTTTTTAAAAACAATAATGCAATTTTCGTTTATCTCATTTTTACTTTTTTGTTATTATTTTTTAGAGTAAAACAGTTTTTACATCAGTTAAATTTTTTAAAGTATGTCTTTATTAAGCAAATTAACTGGACCCAATGCAATATTTACTTACATTTACATTGTAAGAAGCCTAAAAACTTTATTTATTTATGACGTAATGCAATTATTGTTTATCTTAGATTTAAGTTTTTATTCTAAAATTTTTTTTTTGTTATGTCTTCATTAAACCAATTAAACTAGACACAATGCAAGATTTACTAACTTACATTTAATTGTAAGTTTATTAAAAAACGTGATATTTTTTTCATAATGCACTTATCTCACGTTTTTATATAACTTATAAAAGTTGGCTTTTCATTGTTTTCAAATTTGTAGAATTTTCCTAAACCTTCATTTATGTTTCTTTTGAGATCTATTGTCTTAATTATGATTAAAATGAATAAAAGTATGTAATATTATTTATGTTTTCAACAATTAAACTGTAATATTTATTGGCTTGATTTATTTTAAGATTTTTTTTTGTACCAAGTGCTGTTTCTGTCTTCAGAATTATGGAATTTTTATAGTCGTGACTAAAATTAAATGGGGAACAAATTGTGAATATTGAGTTAAAAATTGAGCATTTTCGCAGATTCATAATAGTTTATTATTAATTCATCATAGTTTATTGGAATATTTATCTTGTGATTTGTTGCCATAATGCAATTTTTGTTTATCTTTAGAATAAAATTGGTTTTGCATGACTGCAAATGTTTTTTCAACTATTGTCTTTCAATATGCTAGACCATAAGGCAAAAAAAAGTATGTCTTTATTAAAACAATTAAACTTGTTACAATGCAATATTTATTAGTTTAGATTTAATCATAATAAGGAAAAAAATTTTTTTTACAATACTGCAGTTTTTGTTTATCTTAATTTTTATTAGTGTAAAACTTTTTTTGTCGTTTATAAATGCTTTTTTTCAATTAAAATGGGATAACGTAAGATTTACTAACTTGCTTTTAATTGTAAAAATATTCATTTTTTTACAATTTTGTTATTGTTTTATTGTCGTTATTTTTTATTTATTTATTTCTTTTTTTAAAGTGAGAAATGGTTTGGTTGTATATTTTTAAATATGTCTTTAATAAACTTATTAAAAGATGAAAAATGATTCTGTGATATAATTGTTATAAAGCTATTGTTAGTGTGATAAAGTGGTATTTAATTATTTATTGCATATGTTATTATTTACTATTTACTAATATTTATTGCTATCTAGTTATTTTTTGTCTCACATTCAGTCTTATTTATTCCAGTTAGTCATTTGGCCTATCTAATATTTAAAAAAAAAAAAAATATATATATATATATATACATAAATTTCTTATACATTTTGCACATTATAATTTATTTTTACTTATTACTTTTTTGTACTACAATAACAAATCTAAAAAGATTCTCACAAAACCTAGGCAGGTACTATAGTCTGTAAGCAAGTTGACTCATACTGCTCTTTTACTGGATTTACCGATTACTATTGGTTGTGAAAGTACATAAAAAAATCCCATATTACATGGTTAAGTGATCTTAATTGTTTATGATAGGGCATTTTTAAAAAATAGTTTATTATTATAAACTTGTTTTATATTTATTTCTTATATTTTGGATTTATATAAACTCAAATCTGCACATGTTTGTACATATATACACATGTACAGAATTGTGCCTGTCACTTGTTGCATTCCACCGGTAATTCCAGCTTTTGTAATTTACAATTAATTGACAGCAGGCCTTGAGAATCGCCCACCTTGGGTACTGGCAGTCCGGTCTTATCCGACCAGCCACTGAGGTCGGGCTCCAGATGCTGGACAGCTAGATAATTTCAGCACCCAATGCATGCAATTCCTAGATCCAAACTCATTAACATAAATACATTCATTCGTATTTACATTCTATTCCCTCAGTAAGGGTAGTAGAGAACTCAATATTCATTTATCACAGTGACCTACTTGAGGGGCTCAATATTCCGCCATCGGAGCCTCGTAAGACTGGGTGTAATAGCCCTCACACATTACACATTTATGCCAATAAATTCATTCACTATCAACAAACACTAGGAGACATAAAACAATATGTATATCTGAACTATATTCAATAAAACAGCACTGTTTCCTCCAAAAATCGGAACAAGGGACCCAAATACCCGCCCATAATCAAGCACAATTCTCATATAAGATGACATTCCTTCATGCTCTCTATATGGAGCCAAGGGGTCTCTTCAATTAAATGGGACACATTGGGCAACATTTCTTTACATACCAGACACATTGGTCCAAATCGTCTGTATGCCAACCATTTTTCATTGGTGAGCATGACTCCCCCTTTTGCGAGTCAGATCCTCTGAGGATCATCACCCATCAGCAGTGGTCTTGATACGCAATCTTTTGTACATTTGTTTTATTGACTGCAATGATTATTTTCATACCATTAAAAATGTAATATAAGAGAAATAGTAACATAAATTAATAAATAAATTATTATAAATAATTAAAAAATAATTGATGAGTCTCTTAAGCATATTTTTTCAATTGTGAGAATTCTTCTTATGGACTGTGATGTGATAAATCTGTAATTTGGTCATTTCATCATTTTGGCCAGTCAGATGTATTACTATGATCCGCGTTTTTTGTCTTGCCTTAGCCTGCTTTTGTCCCATACAACAGTGAAAATGGAAAAGAGCTGAAAACTGTCTGACCAAAATGACCGGAAATAAACAAACTGTACACGTTTTTCCTCATCATTAGAATTATTTCTTTATTAACAACACACAAACTTAAGTATTTATTATTTCTTCTTTACAGTTGTTTTTCTAACCAGGTTTTTGTTTATCCAGAGAGTGAAGAAAAACATTAAATAATATATTTATGAATGTTTTTCTTAACATATTATATTTAATTATCATAATTAATAATGAATGTAGTTTCATGTTTAGTGACTGGTGGTTCAATAAGCACTTACATAATAACTATATTAATTAAACATTAGATGTCTGCATACTACATTTTTAATTGTGCCTTGCACCCAATTTACTTCAGTTTTTCGTTTTGTAAATCTTGCCATTGTTCATGGAGAGGAAATGGATCAAAAATACAAATAATGTGTCCTCCATGTCGAGTTTAAACGGTCCAATTAAAACTAATAATAAATGGTTTTAACATTTCAGGGATCATCAATTGTGTCAATCAAAATGAATTTGTTGTAGGACATTATGGAAGGAGGGAATTTTCCTCCCAACTCCCCTTCGGGGGCTTTTCTTGTCACACCGACAGAAGACAAAAATGACAAAGTAAGACTGAAAAAAGAATTAGGATTGCTAGAAGGGGTAGCCATCATACTTGGGATAATTATGGGATCTGGTAAGTTTTCTTCCATATTGTCTAACTAAATACTACATTACATATAAAAATCAATTATTTCTGTAAACTAAAATTGTAAATTAATTTGATCAGGAATATTTATTTCACCGCAAGGAGTTATAATGGAAGTGGGATCTGTAGGCAGTTCTTTACTTGTGTGGGCATTTTGTGGACTTTTGTCTATGATCGGCGCATTGTGTTATGCTGAACTTGGTACGTCGATTCCAAAATCAGGTGGCGATTATGCTTACATTTTTGAAGCATTTGGACCAATTCCAGCCTTCCTTTATCTTTGGGATGCTATGTTTATTTTTGTGTACGTTTTTTTTCTAGTTTTCCTTAATCTGATCTTTGCAATTTATATAGTTTTATTTTCTTAGGCCTACTACAAATGCTATCATGGGCCTAACCTTTGCAAAATACATCATACAACCATTTTTTCCAAACTGCATACTTCCGCCGTATGCTGACCAACTGATAGCAGCTGTGGTCATTTGCTTTTTCACCTACATCAACTGCTATGATGTACGAGGAACATCTAAAGTACAAAATGCATTTATGTTCACTAAAATTGGAGCCATAGGAGTAATAATAATTGCTGGCCTTTGGTATTTAATGTATGGTAAGCCCTATAAATCAAATCAATAAAATAAAAATCCAAAAATTAATTATATACTGTTTATTATTATTATAATTGCTGGCAAATGTTGATGATTTAAATATGGTAAACACCTTTATTTTAATTTTGAGTCCTACATGAACCATATTTGTTAAAATATTAAAATATTTTGACAATTTTTTTTTAATTTTTAGAAGACAATTCCAACTTCCAAAATGTATTCGAAGGATCAGACAACAGCCCTGGAAAAATTGCTGTAGCAATTTATTCTGGAATATTTTCTTACTCAGGATGGTATGTACACCTACTGTAAAATAAAACTAGTTACATTTAAGTTTTTTTATATTTAACCATTTATTGATATATTTCAGGAATTACTTGAATTTTATGACTGAGGAATTAAAGAACCCTTACGTGTAAGTAATTAAAATAGATATAAAATTTAATTTAACATGAAACTAGTAATAACAGAACGTGTTGTTTTCTAGAAATCTGCCTAGAGCAATTTACATATCACTTCCATTAGTAACTAGTATATACGTTCTGGCCAATGTAGCATATCTTGCTGTGTTAACACCACAACAGATGATTAATACAAATGCAATTGCTGTGGTGAGTAAAGATAGCAACATTTTAATAATTTTTGCACACATATCAAAATTTTTGTGTTCTAGACATTCGCTGACAACGTGCTTGGCTTTTTTTCACATGTTATGCCAACATTGGTGGCACTTTCAGCTCTCGGCGGGCTTAGTGTACACATAATGACATCATCAAGGTAATTTATAATAATAATGATTATATACACCAGTGTGAACATACCACCCACCAAAATTTATTTGTAAGAAATTGCAAATTTGTTGTTAGTTGCTTGTATTTCTTAAATATTAGTGGGTAAAAGAACGTTAAATGTTAAACCTGGCCCGAAAGACAAAATTTATATATATATATATATATATATATATATACACTGGTGAAAACAGTAATTTTTCTACTCTATAATGTATTTGTCTGTGATGTTTGGCAGGATGTGTTTTGTCGGCGCTCGATATGGACATTTCCCAACCATGCTATCACACATAAATGTGTCAAAATACACACCGACCCCTTCTCTAGTTTTCCTGGTGAGAAATTCTAAGCAGGAGTAAAACAATAAAGGTTTTTAATCAATTTATTTTTCAGTGCATACTTTCCTTGATAATGCTGAGCTCAAGCGACATCCAGCAGTTGATAACTTACTGTACTTTTGTTGAATCTTTTTTCATAATGATGTCTGTCGGAGGTTTACTCTGGCTAAGGTACAAAAAACCCAACATGTCTAGACCAATTAAGGTAAGTTTCAGTTCATCGTCATTCTGTTCGATTTAAATTGAATTTAAAACTTATTTATATTTATCAGGTGAATATCATCGTACCGATCATTTTTGTATTGGTTTGTGTATTCCTTGTCATTTTACCGATTTATGAAAAACCACTTGAAGTCGGAATCGGTGTAGCCATTACCCTTACTGGTTTGCCCGCCTATTACTTCGGTGTTGTTTGGCAAAACAAGCCAAAGGCCTTTACTAATGTATTCAGTAAGTACATATTAATTACATAATTTTAATTTTTTTAAACTAATTTTTTGTTTTCAGATAAATTGACTTACGTTGTTCAAAAATTGTTCATGTCTGCCAAAGAGGACAAAGTTGAAGACAATCTTGATTGAAAACAAATAATAAGATTGTATTTATATAAATGATCTCAGGGTAAAGGTCAAATATTTTATTATTGAAATCCAAAATGAAAAATGAAAAAAAAAAGATATGAGTTGTTACTTAATTCTGATGATGTTTATATGACATGTTGATAGTTTCCGGTGTACTGTTAAGTATGACTTTAAGAATAACTTTCTGTAACGTACAATAAGTTTTTATTTTTTTAATCCTTTGTGCTTCACAAAAAAGGTTCACACAGTGCGGTTTTAAATGGATAAAAATTTAATAATAAAATAAGACAAATTTTGGAAGTTGAGAAGCATTATTTACCTGTGATCGAACAATAGGCTTTATCCCGTTAATGTTTCTGTGTTAAAAGCTATGGTTTACATATAACCTTCAATTCAATTTGTGTGTTTTTATGTGTTTTATATTTATTTATGTTTGTAAATATTAATCTTAAACAAGTAATTATTTTGTGAAAAAATGACAGTTCCATGCAATAAATTTGTGTAAAAAGTGTATTTTATTACATAGAAATAAATCCTAATGTTTACTTCAAAATTTTTTACATTTTCTTTTTTTACTGTCAAAAATATACCATTAAGTATTTTTTTATCTTAATTTATAAATTTGTCCTATTATTTTGATATAATTAAATAAGATTTGAAAAAAAAAAATATATAAGTTGAACAAAAACGTTTGTCCTACTTTCACCACCTGTAAGTATATATTTGATTTATTGCTAATTTTTTCTTAAGATATCAGCAAATTCCTGATATGTAATACTGCTGAAGAGTTTGTAATGTGGTTAAGAGTGTAGTGTAATTTTGTTGAATGACCAAATGTGGGTGGAAAAGACACAAATTGTAGTCGGTCATCCTGGTCTGTCGATTCTGGCTGGTTTTGTCTGTAAGAACCATTCCGTTTTCCATCTGGTTTGCATGTTTCTACAGGTAACAATTAGGGATAGTAATTTATAAAATAATCAAAGAATTTCTGACTGTAAAGAAGTCGTCAATTTCAAATCAGACATTAACTATAAGTAAGTGGCATCTCTACTCTCCAGTTGTTCTGTAATGTATCAGTCATAAAAAAATTTCCTGAACTGCTTCTAAACATTGGTTTTACAATGGAACTATATAAATTTTATGTGAATCTAGATCATCTTTAGTATGACAGTCTTAAAGTTTTATTTCCTTTAGCACCAGTTTTACTACTACGTAACAGTTTATTTGGGTATTTATAATAATATAAGACTTTTAACAATTTTTCACTGTTAAAAAATGTGATTATAGTTAAATTTTGATATCAAAAAATTGTTTCAATTAAGTTTTTGGGTTTATAACACCATAGTCCAGTTAAATAACGTTACATATATTGATTGCTTATTAATTATTTTTGTTTTGTTGGTATTTGTATGTTAAATTGATGGTTAAACATTGCAAAAAAAACTCACTCAGTTTATATTATAATGATATAAATAAACTATTATTAAATAAAAGTTCAATTTTCCTATTGCAATTCTAAGAATGGCAGCCATTTTAGAAAGAAGAAAAGTTTTTAAATTTCACTGATTTTCTGTGGCTTGTTATTTACACTTTGAAATGCATCAATATATTAATAATTAGGGCGATTTTCAAACGTCAAACTTTAGTTTGAATAATAATGGAAAAATAATCATGAGAATGAGTTTGTTTTTTAAGAGGGCATAGGTCGCGCTAGGAGCGACGATCTCTCCTTTGTTGTGTATTTTCTCTGTCTGTATTTTCTCCGGTTCGTCTTTGTAGTTTGATCTAGAACAATTAATTAAAAAAAAAAAGTAAAATTTCAGTCTATATACGTAGAAAATTAAGGCAATGCCGGAAAAATCGTATTTCGTCTATGATCAAATTTGACGATTTGAAAATCGATAAAGATGTGATTTTTTTTTAAAATAGCTAGTTTATAATATCATCTTTAAGTTACATAATGTTATAATCGATTTTTTATTAATTTTTTGTTTTGTTTGAATAAATTGCTTGAGTGTAACAAATAAATGTTTACTGAAAAGCATTTGTCAATTTATGGTAATTTGATGGTTAAATATCGTAAAAAATTTACGTTACATAAATAAACTTTTACTAAATAAAAGTTAAATTTTCTAATTATACTTTGCTGAGCTGGGCAGCCATTTTAGAAAGAAAAAGTGTTTAAAACTATTTTTCTATGACGTATTATTTATGATTTTAAATGCGTTATAAATATTTAGGGTGATTTTTTAAACGTCAAACTTTTGTTTAAATAATAATGGAAAAAACAATTCATAGAACGAAAGTTTGTTTGTTTCTTAAGAGGATAGAGGTCGCTCTAGTGGCTGGCATTGATCTCGCGTTGTCTTCTTTTTGCATTTGATAAATTCGTTTTTGTCGTTCGACCTTCGGCAAAGTTTTGTCAGGAGGTTTCAAAAACTTAAGTTTTGGCTCTGTCGAAATGTTTTCTCATTTGAAGAACGTCATTTCGTCAAGAATCAAATTTGACGCTACTCCTGTTAAGTTGAAAAATAAAAAAGATGAAGGACGTGCTCCTCCTGCTGGTGGAAACCCAAAAATTTCGATTTTCACAAAACCCAATAAAGGAGACGAAAGGAATAATAAGGATTCCTCTGCTCACAAAAACAAAAAGAAAAGTAAAAAAGGTATAATACTTTTTTTAAAAATCATATTTATAAATAATGTTAAACTTTTATAAATAAGCTTAGTCTGATCTACTGGTTGGTGGATGTTATTGTAATTGGCAACCAAAACATGTAAGGCTACATCAAAGTTTCTCAAAAAACTATTTAAATTTTTTTTAAAATTCTGTAATGGATATTCTTGCGTGTACAAAACAATTTTATTAAAAACCTTACAGCCACATACAAAAGAAACCAAAAAGAATTTTTTGCATCAGACAATTTTGCTTAAGCTGATCAACTTTCCAAAAAATGCAGTTCACTCTGCAAGCCTGGATCCAGAAGAGAGCGAGAGTCTTTCCATTGTTAGTAGGGGGCCTTGAGCCGATGCTGCTCAAAGGCTGCCACAAGTTCACGATAAAATCAATTTTTTATAGTGAATTTTTGCTAACAATAAATTTATAAAATAATTGATTTGTTTAGTTAATTTTTATTGGCTATGTCAGTATAAAGTTTTGTTCTGTGGACGGCTTGGATTTTTTTTTTCTTTCAGTAATTTTGTTGAAGGGTTTTGTTGAAGTTCGGTCATTTCCAATATATTTGGTTTGCCTATCCTTGCTGTTTTGGTCATCAGGAATCCAGTTTCTTGCTGTCATCAGAGCTGGGTCCAGAAGCAGAGAAATAGAAACCTGCCTGAGAGGTGAAAACAGTCCTTATAGGCAGGCCAAAATGGTAGGAAATGGCCGAACTACATGTTCATCACAATGCACATCTGAAAAAAATCTCACAATCTAGGTTTTTTGCCAAATAATTTTTTTTAAATAAAAAGGCACAATATGTAAAATACGACAACACACTGAAGATGATGAAAATGCATAAATTTGGTCTCATAAAACTAACAAGACTAGGCCAACATGATTTTCATTGATTTGACATATTGGCATCTCTCAACTTTCTGTTTGTGGTTTATTGGTTTTTCTTTTTAATACCAGCAAACGGCTATATTTTGCTGAGGGTATCCTCAAGGATTTAACCAACTGAACCTGAGCACACACAAACACACAGTGTGGAAAATCCACAGTTAAAAAAGAAAAGTTTGGTTTAAGGAATGATCCCAAAATAATATATAAATGCACAACAATTGGAGGTTTTCCCAAAATTTCTTAAGGGAGGACCAGGATTTTTTGACCTGCTTTAATCGGTCACTCCATTGATTAAAAAAATCCAGTGATGAGGTCAGCCATTTCTTCACAGGGCTCTTTGTGATTGTGTTTGGCTACTGTAAAAAGCTACAAAGGCTTGAAGTAGTCCACAATAATATCTTAAGCCTTTGATCACGAAGAACATGAGGAGTTATTTAAGTTTCCCTCTGTAAGGATTATTTAAAAGTATGTTGAAAACACCTAAAATTTTATAAATTGTAGTTATTTATTTGTGATTTACAAATTTAAATTTTTGTGCATCTTCTTTACAAAAAAAAAATTAAATTATGCAATGACATCAGATCTATTGGCTGATCCCATGAACTTGTTCAGCCTTGAGGACAAATATTTCCCTTTGGGTTTTTTCTAACTTTACAATTTGCCACCAGCCCCAGGACCATAAATCCTCAAAGTTTGGACTGCACAGTCTAAAACCTCAAGGATTTTATGAGTACTTTTTAGTCCCAGGATTCAGTTTGGGCTCAACTTTGTTTTTAAAATTATTTAAATTTGTTTCAGAGCCAAATTCAGTAAATAAAGTTGTTTTTACAAACTGTTCGGGCCTTCATTTAGGGAATAAACATTACAACAATGTCACAAAAGTTGTAAATAATAATTATTCCAAGAAAGCTCATCCAAGTGATTCTGATAGAAAAGAAACAAACTCTGACAGTAAAGTAGAATCTGAACCAGCAATCAGCACATCTAGAGAAATACCAAAAGAAGTTAAAGGTAATTTAATACTTTGGTAATTAAAGATTAGATAGTATCTTTTTTTTTGCAGAATCTTTCAACAGCATTAAGATGGTAACACAGCCAGATTTTGATATTGTAAAAACATTTGTATTTGACTGGAGAAAACTTCAGAAAAGGCTGTGTCCATATATGGCTGAAGTTCCTACAAATCTAGCAGAGGAAGAGGTAATTTAAAAAAATCATTAACTTGAAATACTATATTTTGTATGATGCAAAAACTAAAAAGTTGATCATAACGAGTATTTTTGAACCTTATCAACTAGTCAGGGGAACATTTTTTACAATGTATGATTTACACTATGAAAAAATGGTTCAATTAATAAATTGATAAAAGTTTTGTGGCTTGATTTTGATTATCCTGGTGTGCTTATTCTTGATGTATTCAGGTTGGACTGGCCTTACATAAGTAAAAACATGGCCAATAGACTAAAAACTTACTTAATGATATATTTTGATATACATTACAAAGAAATAATAATATTATTATTGATTGATCCCTTATATTGTTATACTTTTGTGGACAAACATACAAAAACACATAATAATCAACAAAATACAAATAAAAGTATATTGTATCAAAATTCAATTCTTATATTTATAAAACAAATTGAAAAAACAAGTTTTGTTTTTCAGATCATTTTCTTCATACTGCAGGACTGGATTCAGGCTAATGCTAGAAGTGCCACGGTAGGAATGTTATGCAGCGATTTGTGGGAAATAGGCGAAGCCCAGGCTGCAAAAAAATTGGCAATAGCTCATAGTTAGAATCGGCGTTGGCATATTTAATGTGATTGTTTTGTAATAAGACTGATTTGTTTTTGTTTTTTTGGTTAAGGAAAAATTTTATATTATTAAAAATAATTCATTAGCAATTATAGTATAATATAATCTACCAATTTGATCTATTTAAACAGATTTATTTAATAGAAAAAAAGTAAAAAGATTTAATTATAAATACTTACAGCAAATGCTATCATTTTGTCATCCAATGCAACTGCTATGGGGTATCAGTTTAAAATACTTTTTACATCTTGGCTTAGTCCATTCTGTTTGTTTCCTGAATATTAAAATAAAGATGATTTAAAAAGTTATGTTAACATGATGTAAATTTAAGATGATTTAAAAAGTTAAGTTAACATGATGTAAATTTAAGATCGTGTCAGCAATTTGATTATAAAATTTCATTTTAAAAAATTGTAAAAATATCATAAAATAGACAGGTATGTGAAATATGATAATTCTATGGTTTTATACATTGCAATTGAAATTGATATTATTTTGTGTTGAAATTATGATTTAAAAGTAAAGAAATATAATTGCATAATATATATGATATTTATGTATGATTTAGGTTTGATTTTATATAACTGAACCTACCTCTTCATTTATGACTTTTTTGTCTTTTTTTTCGGGAAGTACATTTATTGAAATAGTGCTAACTATCATGAATATACTTTTAAACACCACATTTATATTGTAACTGCCCTCCCTTGTAGGTACCATTGTAAACATTTCCAATTTCTTCTCATTTGGTGCAATACTGAAAATATATGTCACTATAAGTGATCCATAAAAAGAAGTGTTCAATATAATATGTCTTCACAGTTGAAACAATAATAATTGTGGGTTGACAAAAAAAAAAAGAAAAAAAAAAGTACAGCTGTAATTACGTGATATCAGGAATGGAAACTATATGTTCCGTATCCAATTGTTGCATGTAAAAAGTTCCCATCAGCGTACTGCTACCTGTATTTTTCAGTCTCACTTTCACGACGACTTCACAACTTACACGAGGCCTACTTGGAGTGACCTGTCAGCGAATGCTATGAGTTGTGAACAATGTTGACGTTAAAATTTGAAGACAAAATATAAAACCTGAAGATATAATTGAGGGGGGATCACAGTGAATTCAGTGTATTTAAGAATATCAGTTTCTTCACAGGACAAATAAAAATATGCTTTGAAAATCCAATCTTCGTCCAAAAAATTCTCATACTCTGAGCATTCTACTGCAAGTACAATTTTCTGAGCTGTTAAAAAAGACATCAATGATCAATCCAATTTCATATGCACATTATGAATATATTTTCATATATGATTTAAGGTAAAAAATAATATTTACATTTTGGAGAATGCTATTTATAATTTATCTTTGACTTTTATCAAAGAAAATCAGTCAATAAATATATGTATAGCAAAATTAATCTTAGAAACACAGTTTAAAAAACTTTCACTATTTATATACCCTTATTAAATTAATTGCAGTTTTATAAACTTAACTTACTAGATTTTTTATTGAGTTGAACGTATGTTGAAAGAGATTTAACTTCTTTAGATGGGACACCATTATGCCATATTGAGACAACTTGAGCTTGGTAAAGTGCTTCGTAAGGTTCCTTACCTTTATTTATCAATTTAGCAGTTACTCTGTAAAAAAAAATTAAATATTAGAAAAATACTTATTCTAATCTTGTGATAAAATTAAACAATAAAATGCACAACTGAAGATGGTTGTTGAAGAAACTTAAAAAAATATTACTTTAGTTTTTGCTTTTACATTTTACTTTTTGGATTCATTTCCACTACAGTTGAACAATAATTACAATTTCTATGACAAGCTGTTGTATGGAAAAAAAAATGTAGTACAGGTATACAAAAGTTTAAACTTGTGTGGGGTGTTTAGTGATGATTATTTGGAAGTCGTGAGATGCCATCTGGTGTGACGTAGGCTTTAGAAAAATATTTTTTTTATCGTTTCTTTTCTTTATCCTTGAGTGACAGACAAGAATGACACATCTACATAGAAAACAAACACTTTAAGCCCGAAGATGATCTCAATAAAGATCAAAAAGTTGGCATGATAAAGAAAATGTTTTTCTAAAACCTACGTCACTCCAGACCCATCTCACGACTTCCAAATAATCATTTAGACAAACAAAATCAATAAATGGTAACTGATTTATACGAGCTCAAATCCGGAAATGTACAGAGTTGAGCCTATCACTTCCCGCAGTCCAATTAATTACCAGTACAATCAATGTTAGCAGTCCGAGGTCAGATTTCACTATTGTCCTTCCATCCACTGAGGTTAGGCTCTAGGATCAACAGAGATCAACAGCTAGGCCATTTCAGCCCCCAACTCAATCAGCCTACAGACATACCCATTCACATCCTCACTCATTATTAAATATTCTTTCACTCAGGGAGGTGGAGTACTTGATATTCCTCCATGACCCTTTATACCTATTTTATAATAGGTAATAACTAACCTAATTGAGGATCAATGGAGTACTCAATATCCTGTTAGGCCCTCTCACACTACAAAATATGTACATAATTTAATTTGATAAACTTAATTACTTCATAGGTGTTCCATAAGGTACAGACTTTGCCTCACAAACTAATTTAATGTTTGGGTTTTCTTCATTTATTGTGAAGTTTTGAAAAATTGGTTTCTTACTTCTCAGTGCAATAGTGTTCGTATCTATTTCATCATCGGCTCCTGAAAGAAACAAAAATCTCTGGGAATAAATGTTTTATATACTTAAAAGTTAAGCAATTATTTATTGACATACTTTCTAAATTTTTATATAGATGTGTAACATCCTCTCTGGCCATAGAATTAATTTTTTTAGTGCTTAGGTTAACACCGATTCTGAAATGAATATAAATTAATTATTAATATAATGAATACTACTCAAAAGTTTGTAACATGTTGAAAAATATTTACGTTGAAGTCTCTTTTGAAATGAGCTTTAACGGTTTATTAGCATCATACACCCAATTCAAAATATCTGAATTGACAATATTATAAAAAAGTTTTGTGTTATAGCCACTTTCTTCTCCATTTTTCAACAGATTGAGATAACATGGCCCTGCTTTTGAATAAACCGCATTCCAACCACAGGGTGTGCCAAGATCTGGTCGTCCCATCCAAACCTCACTCCAAACGTTAAAAATCCTTTAAAAATTGAGTTTCCTTAAAAAAAATACTAAAAAATAAATAAAAATTGCACAAAACTATTACCAGTAAGTCTCGCCATTCGGATTCAGTTTTTTTCGTTTTTCAAAATCGTGAATGTAGAAAAAGTCAATCGTTCCTGTCTCGTCGGGATTTATGCCACATAAGAATGAACTGGTGACTCTTGATGGAATTCCAAGAGATCTAAATACTATAGTAATATATTACATTGCAGTATTGAAATCTTATTAATAAGCAGGTAAAAATATGAAACCAATAAAAACAAAACATTTACATTTCAACACACACAGCTAGTTAGATTAAGATGAAATTTTACAATTTAAATTTCAACCATAACAACTCATAAAAAATATACATAAGAAATAATTTGAAATATTCTAATTATAATTAAATTATTTTATAACCATTCCATTTAATATATTATGAATATATAGATGTAAAAAAATGTTTGGCATTTAAAATCCATTTTATTACTAAAACTTCCAAAGAAAAACATCTTTTATGTCTAAAACTGGTTATTATGGTTAAATTAAACCCTAAAATGACAAAATGTTAACATCTGTGAATGAGCATACAATATTCTCTTGTTGCAGTAGTACATTTCTCATCTTGACTCAATGTACAAAAAAAATTAAAAACATTTGTAACTGTCTTACATATGTTCTCACAGCATAAAAAGGATTCTTGGAAATGAATAAAACCTTTTGATTTAATTTAAATTTAATTTTACAATCTACTTACTCAGTTTGTAGATAGACTCAAGACAATATGCCACCAAAATTGGTCTCAAAAAGACATTACTCGCGGAATGACTCTTCTTCAACTTAAATAAGAAATTCTGTCTACTTTTTTATAAAACCTACAGGCATAATTTATAAATAATTAACCTCCAGTGAGTAATCCTCCAAAGACAAAACATTGACCATATTTCACAGTTGTTCGAGTCTTGTACCACAAATCCAATATTTGTCTCGTTCCCGTCCAGAGAAGCGGAGGAGAGCCACCTCTCAGATTACTTTCCATTATCCCAGGCGGTGCTTCAATCTTGACAAAAAAATGTATATATGAAGAAAAAAACGTTTTAAAAATCACAAATGTACTCACAGAAAAAGCAATGGACCGCACTATTTCAACAATGTTCGTCCAGTTTTTTACTTTTCCAACAACAGATGCCAGAACCAAAGCTGCTTCTAACACAGGTTCCTCAAACTGGCTAAATTTCCAGTGTGAATAGTTTATCGTCTTAGCAGTCCCTCGAAAAATGCATCCTATGTCTTTCATGACATATTCCTCTATGTGGTTATGATGTTGTAGATGAACAATTTCTACTATGAATAAAAAAATCTATAAGTGATTACATTGGTAAAATGGTTTAGTTGTCACTAAAATATCTTTTAACTATATTAATGTCTATTGTATATTATACAAGTTCATATACTGCAGTTTATACTAACATTTATTCCAAGGGTTAAACAGTAAGAACAATGGTATTGAGTGTTTATACAATAAACCCGTCTTATTGTTCTCTTTGTGAATCATCTTACAAACTATGAAGTACTTTCCTATCCAAGTGTTCAAGTTTGAAGAAAGCTGAAAGAACATGAAAAAAAACTCATTATTGTACTATTTCAATTAATTAAAAGTAGTCGGTTTTCCATCTTACTACTACTTCAGCTTTAAGCCCGTCTTTGCTGATTCGGGACACAACTCCAACCCAAGGTTCTTCGAAAAACGCCGGAGGGGTATCTTTGAACGGTAGGTTTACACACACCTCAAATGGTTTTCCCACATCACCACAATCTGACATTGAAATTACAACCGTTATAACTGTTGTTATAGTTAGGCTGTTGATATAGACCTGTCCAAACAAAGCAAATCTTCAAGTCGTCATGTTTCCTGCTTAGAGCCCTTTCAAATTGGAGCACTAAACCGAAAGTCTTTCCACGCCTCACGACAAGTTCTGGGACATCCTTTTGCATGAGATAATACATGGAAGTACTGTGCAGTTCTCCATTTGCTGATACAAGATAGTCAATGCCCACCACTCTGTTGCAGGTTGAATTGTCCCCCTTGCCCTCTGAAACAGATTTGTTTAATAAACGGAGATTGTTTCCTCTAAATTTAAACACTCACCATATTGGTGATGTGGAACAAAGTGTCTCAAAAGTTGTCCTAAAAATGTAAACTTCTCTTTCGTTGTATCCAATATATTGCGCTCATTCTTACTCATTATAAAATTACTCTTTTTGTTTATAAACAAAATGCTTATTTGCTTTTTATTTATTAAATGTATCCTTATCAAACAACTGATAGGTTGAAATTCACATATGTTGTGAAACAAATTGAGTCAAAATTCATAAACTTTTTCTTCAGCAACAAATATCACAATTTTACATTGATTTCCTAACTATATGGTTTATACTTTGGCTAGTAACCTGTTCATAGCAATTGCTTATGAAAGTATGTTTAAAAAAATAAAATGAAACTAAATTGTCACAATTTTATATTATTTCACAACCATTGCAAGTGCTGTTTCTGCTTTCACTGTGCTGGCCAAGAATGATGCCCTTAAGTGGTATGTACCAGCTTTTAGAGGAATGACTTTGAAATTGGCTAAAAGTCTACCTTTTGCAGGGACACTGAAATATTTTTAATTATCTTTAGAAAGCCAGTGCAAATTAAATGTGACATTTACATTTCTCTCAAGAGGCTGATCCTATTGTTAGTGTCGATTTCTTCTAGATTAAAGCAACCGTCTAGAGATCTATTTAAAGGGTTGACAAAAATAGCAGTTATTGTAGCTTCAGAATTAACTCTTGGTTTGATTGGAGTGACCTGTGAACTCAATTAATTTCATACTTACAGCAAAAATAACTTGGAGTGTGTTTGATGGACTAGTGTTACAGTTATATTTTACTAATTTATCTGCCCATTACAAAATTCAAACTTATCTATTCCAAACTTCAACAAAAATATAACACCTGAAATGTTAAATTTGGTGGGAAGACTCGAACTACATGATAGTCTAAAAACTCATGATTGTACTTAGGCAAGCTTGCACTGGCATAAACTTTGAGAAGCCAGTCATCAACTAAATACTTAAAATACTCCTCAGGACCCACAACGAGTTTCAACTCTTGAGCTGAAAATTTTAATTTTCTATTAGAATGAATGGTGGGAAATAATTATTTATTAACTTACTCGCCCCTCTCTTCACAACTATGGATATATTGATACTTTTGATAAGTTCTTTCGGATGGCCACTGTTAAGAAATGAAACGGCTTGGAGACAAAACTCAGCCTCTAATGAGGAGTGGCTAAAATTTTTAATATGCACAGAGACGCTAAAATAAATTGATTATGAGTCAAGTAAGTTTAATGCAGTCATAATCTACACAGAAATTTTACATGACTGAATCACCAAATTTGACATTTTTGGTCGGTCTCAATTTAATATAGATGTCTTTAAGAAGGGGATTTTTTTCAAAGTTGTTATAGACTTCATCAGCATTCCTTAAGGTAGTTGCTAACAAAACTCGCTCTTTTGTCATTTCTTAAAATAAAATAAAAATTATACTAATTTAATTTAAATTTAGCTTGAATTTCAAACATCAAGGATAATAAATTATAGATTCATTTACGTTTTTTATCATGATAGAAGGGTGTCAGATCTATTATTTTATTTAGTTTGAAGCCTTTTGTTGTAACATAGGTCCCAATTCTGTTTAATTAAACATTAAATATTGAACTATATCACTAAATATCTTTTTCTTAAACCACACCTTTCTGTTTCACGACCCATGAGCCTTAAAGGCTTCCCTTTCCTGACCTTCCAAATGCGAACATCTGAATTTAACCCAGAATAGAAATAATCTGCGTCCCACGGAACATCCAAGTTTGCAGTTTTCACTGCTCGTACGGGACAAGGACCAGCATCTGATTCAACCGCCTGCCAACCTGAATATTTTTCATCGATGTCAGTTCTTTTCATGAATACTTCGCACCAAGTATGATAACAGCTAAGAAAGCCAATGTTGAAGAGCATTTATAAACAATTTTTTGTATTATTTTTAGCTTACTAGGATGCCTCTGGTTTATAATTATTATATTTCAATCGCTCATTAAAGTCATCTAAGTAAAAAAAGTCTATTGTATAACTTTGGTCAGCATTTATTCCAAAGTCATAGCCAGTTACTGCCCTTGCACATATTCCTAAAGCCCTGTAAGCTGAAAAAGTTGTCGGAAATAAATTACGTTTATTTTATTTATTTTTTTTTTTGTTAATTTACATTCTCATGATTTATGATGGGTACAATGCATACTATACCAAACTGTCAATCTTAAAGCGCTAATTTTGAGTTCAAACTAACCTGTTGTCATAATTCCGCTGTTGACGTAACAGCACCCATATTTGACAGGTAAGTCTGTTTCATACCACTGATTAAGAATGTAGGCACTTCCGTATGGTGCAAAGCTGACATTGGTATTATCGTCATTTTCAATAATACTAGAAATCTGTTAAAACATGCGTTGAAAAATTGAGGTATCAATAAGCAAATATAAGTGCCCTGTTTACACTCACAGCTTTAGCCACAGCATCAATTATTGACAAACAATTTGACCAATTATTGATTTCCAGCTCTCCAAATTTCGAGATCATAGTTAAAACTGCCAAAAGTACATCTTTGTCAAACTGACCATATTTCCAAGTAGTGCTTTCTATAGAGGTTGATATCCCTCGGTAAATTATTCCAACATCATTCAACACCGTATCTGCTCTGTCTATAGAATTTGGCAAATAAGCAGTATCACCTGATAGAAAGGACAAAGTTAATGACCAATAGTCAATAGGCTAGATGTGTCGAATTCTTACTCGAGTGCCAAGGATTGAACAACATATAAATAGGCATCGGGGCCTTAAATGTGTTTATTTCACCTTCCCAGATTGTGTTAATTATTAAGTAAAACTTCCCGATAAGGCAATTATTTGGGGGAGACAACTAGAGATTTTATAGATCCTTTTGTTTAGAAAGTGCAAGAAGCGTAATGCACATTCATTTTACCACAATTGAAGCCCACAAGCCATCTTTTCTTATTTTGAACAATATAGCACTCCAAGACCAGAGCTTCTTGGCTATGTTAAATGTGTGCGCACAGTTACAATCCATACTGTACTTATATATTTTTGATTCATTTGCAATATCTATACAGAAAACACAGGCCACTAAAAATAAACTGCTTCTGTTTAAACAATGTAATTTACCAGTCCAAACGGCACTTATGGTCAAGTGGTCTTTTTCCTTGTTGAAAGGCCGCGTAAACTTAACATTGACCCCAAATGTCTTTCCCCGTCTTACAACCAGTTGCGGTGGATCTTCTCCCATAAGGTGATATTTTGAAGTATATCTTAAATTACCGTTTAAATTGACCAGATAATCAATATCCTCTACTTTGTTAGGAATAGCAGGTTCGGCTTGGAGGCCTAGAATAATCGTTTTTATATTATCCGGCCAACATAAGCAAAACATTCACTTACTTTTATAAGATGACTGTAGTATGAAGTCATCTTGAATGATTATTTTCTGATGGTTTACAGCAGTCTCTTGAGTTGAACCGATTAAGTTGAAATATGTTACCATGCTCAATTTAATACATTAGCAAAGTGAATAAAGTAAACCAGATGACAGTTCACTTATTCTATATTTTTACATTTTTTAAACTTATTTACTAACATATTTTTAAAAAGCCATGATTGAGATTTTGTACCAACTTTCAGTTTTTTTTGTAAACTTACAATTAATACTACATTACTTCATAGTTAACAAAAAAACTTACAACTTATGATTTTTCCTTCTCGAAGGTGGGATAATAGGTCATCTCAAAAAAACAACAACCAGTTTTTCTTTCAATCACAACGTTTCAGATTTATTTTAATCCTTCCTCAGGTGGATCACCGCAGTGGTTAAAACAGTCATTAATATTTTGTAACAGTTTATTAAAAAAAAAAAAGAGTCAGTGTGGTACGATTTAAGTCTTTCAGACTCCGAACAAACGTTTTAATATCTTGAACCTGAGTAAAAAACTTACATATTGTATTTTTAAAAAAAGGAACTAAATAGTTTGCTGAAAATAATTTATATTGGGCCATAAAATAAGTCTATAACATTCTTTATAGTCAATTCAATGAAAATATCAGATACTAAACAAATTTAATCAACAATATATGAAAATTTTTGTTCCACTAACTGTTGCCATTGTCCATGTAATTTTCTACTTCCGTCCTTCCAGATCTTTTCAGGTTATTTGCAATGAACTACTTGATGTGTTTGGGGGACAAGTGGGGACTGACTACATGATCCTAGAAACATTCTTTACAACATCCTATTAAGTCTAAACAGACTACAAAGTAGAAGAAGAATTCAGGACATCAGGTAAAATGAAATGTTGTATGCAATTGGCTCCAAAACAAATTAAGGAACCGAATCAGGCCTTTTCTATACAAGCTCAAAATATGAGCAATTGAACTCACCAGGGAAGTACCTTAAAAGAGGCCACCAAAAAAATCTTCAGAAGATCAGATTAGCAGCTATTGAAGCATTAGCATGGAAAAAAATCACATCAAAAATAATCAGTGAATATGTCCAAAATCTCCAAAACCGAGCGAAACAACCTGATATCTTGGGTATCAGAATACAAAGGAGTTTTGGGTATAATTTTGGAGGACCTTAACCTATTCTTGGATTGACAAAAACAAACACAACTTTCCATTTCAGTCCAAAAAAGACAAAATGAGAAGTGGATAAACTCTAGAGGTGCTAGTCACAGTAAGCTTATATTAATCGTGTAAATTAAAAAGTTACAATTCTATGAAAATGTGAATTTAATGCTTGTGATTGATTTTAAAGGATTTTCTTATACACCTTCGCTAGTTTGAAAACTAAATTGATAAAAACGAGCGAGAATAGACGGACCAGAAATGTTTAATTTGGACAAAACCATTTCATTAATTATGGGCGAATTGGTTATCCGTTTATAAAAACGGCGCTCGGACCTACTAAACCCGCAACACAGTCAGGTTCGCAATTCTTCAGGCGCGAATGACGAGTCGTGGTCAGAAATTTTTTTTTTGTCTTCTTCCAAAGGAAATCTGCCATTACAGCAGAAAATTTATATTACAATAATTTTAAATTATTTTGAGGGGTATGTAAAAAATTTAAGTTATGACGTGTTGACCAGGTTTTTATAAACTTTTTTATTTATGAATTTTGATTAAAAATTCTTCTAATTGTTATTTCTTACATTTTGTTTGTGTAATTTCGTTTGACATATTTAACTTTTTTTTTTTTTTTACTTTTTATTTAGTAAATTGTATGTCAAATTTTGTACAAAAATACATAATATAGAATTATATGTAAGAACTATATTTTTAAAAAATAATATTAATATAAATAATGGGATGCAGTTCAGAAAAAAGAAAGTACAAAAAATGAACACATAAATAAAAAAAGAAATGTCATCTCTTTTTCTCTACCTCATCGCTCTCTCTCTCTCTCTCTCTCTCTCTTTCTCCATACCATTTTCTATATTTTCTTTCTCTCATATTTCTTTTTTCTGCATTTCTCTCCCACTCTCCGCTCTCCCTCCCCCCTTTCTACCATTCTCGTTTTTATTAAATTAAACTGAATGAGATTTCAATTTACAATAAAAATTGATGGCATTTGAAAAAAATTTAAACAAGCGTCATTTCAGTTCATCACCATCTATTTGTTTTTCAGAGATAAGATTTGATTTTCTTTACCCAAAAACCAAGCTTAACGTCTTTTCTGGGCAATGTTGTTGCAGAATTTAACTCGAAGCTAATTACAAACAAAGTGCATAATTATTAAAATGTTGAATTATTTTGACATGTTGATTGTTGATTTGTAAGTTTTTTGTTTTGTAACATTGGCAATGGGTTACATTTATAACTAGACAACAAAAGTTAAACATAATTAAGTGAACAACTTGGTTAATTATTGAGTTAAAAATAAACAGGTAATAAATTGTAATAACAATTTTATAGTTTTTACACACAGGGATCTATCTTCTTTCATGTCATGTCATAAATTTACACTATTGCTTTACATTTTGTTGCAAAAGTTTTTTCTAAGAAACATGTTGAAAACAATGTAACTTTCTTCGCTGGTATCGGCTGACTATCGCCGTCCCGAAATTAGAAGTATTCTCTGTCCTACTAATCCACATGATATTGATAAAGAGATGAGATGAAATCAATTTTAAATAAGAGCAGAACAATTGTTTCCTAGATATTTCCAAAGAAATGATTGATTAAAAAAAGGCTGTCTATTATCATAATCATTAAAATAAATTGCCTTTAATCGAACGAGTTAGAAAGGGTCAGCCAGGGTGATTGGGTAAAAATTCGATCACAATAAGTACACTCCTCTTAATTTTAAAAATTAATTGCTAATCGAAGATTGCACAAATTGTGTGGTGATTAGTGACCGTTAGTCAATAATTATTCAGATATCGTGAGATGCGGTCTGGTGTGATGTAGGTTTCAGAAATTTTTCAATCCAAAAATATTACACACAGAACAAAACAAACATAAACATAACTTTTTAGAAATGGTCTACATCAACCAAGATAAACACAGCATCAATCAGACACATCTCAATAAAGATCGAAACGTTGGCACGATAAAGAAAATGTTTTTCTGAAACCGACATGACACCAGACCGCATCTCACGATATCTGAATAATTACTGCACAAATTATTTTATGCACCAATTTTTGCTTATTTGATATGGGAGACTTGTAGTGAAGAGTAGTTAAGGTGTCGGTCTGGTTGGAGCTCTTCATCAAAGATGGGCGATTTCGTCAAGATGAAATGCCCAGAGAAAATATCTGAAATTGCTTTGGATTACTGAGAAAAAATTATTTACACGTTCATGTATTATAAATGGACTGTAAAATAGGTTATAACGACATGTAAATTAAGGAGTTACAATTCAGAGGTTCAATCTGTGAAAATGTGATTTTAATATTTGTGATTGCTTGTAAAGGATTTATTACACCTTCACTAGTTTGAAAATTAAATTGGAAAAAAAGCGAGAATAGACGTTCCAAAAATGTTGTTTGGACAAAATCATTTTATCAATTATAGGTGAATTTTTTATTCGTTTACAACGGCGCTCGGACCTACTAAACCCGCAACACAGTCAAGTTCGGCAAAACTGTATAGCAAACATTTCAGGCGCGAAAGACGAGTCTTGTTCAGAAAATTTATATTAAATCATTTTAAATTATTTTCAGGGGTACGTAAAAATTTAAATTATGGCATATTGCCTAGGTTTTTTAAACTTTTGTGTTTTATGAAATCCGATTTTAAAAATTCCTTTAGTTGTTATTTCTCGCATTTTGTTGGTGTAATTTTGCATTAACTTAAAATGTCAGGCCGGTTTTGATTAGTCTGCATAAAGACATTCGTGCAAATATCAACACAGCCATCATTTGCTGACAACATAAAAGCAGGATGTGAATCTGTAAGTGGAAAAGTTCATTTGGCATTTCTGGTGTAGGAGTGTCTGATAAATCTGAAAACTTTCCTATTCTTCCTCTCTTTTTGAATAGAAACTCTGGAATAAAAACAATAAAGTTTTGTGGTTTCCAATAACTTTAAAGCAAATTGGATATATATATATTTTTGCACAAAGTGGTGTTTTGTTAAATTTGCAGTGATTTATTTAAAATGTACCTTTTTCTGGGTAGTATGTGTTCCAGCTTAATTAATTCCTTCAGTTTCTTATTTTTGAACCACCAAAATAATGGTTGTTTAATTATCAAGATTCAAACTAATGCAACGCCTGTATGAACATAAATCATAATTTATTCTATTAATTATTTTAATTAATTATACTTTTTATCTAAGGTCTTAATTGAGAAGAAAATGCTAGTGTCACAATGTGGGATTCGAGCCCACGACTTTCAGTTCAATACTCACCTGCTCTAACCACTTGAACTATAGTAACTTCAGTCAGAGAGCAGAGTTTAAAAATTGATGGTTAAACATAGTAATTTTGCAACCAAATGCTTATTAAACAAAGTTTTAGGTTTTTAAAAGAAAAACGACACATAGAGAACATTTTCTATTAATAAGTGTAAAGCTCAAAATACAGTAGTGTTTTTAGATCCACTGAAAAAAATTAGTGAAAGCATGTGTGAAACTTAAATGAAAAATTTTAACCGTTAGTAATTCAATGAGTTCAACCGAGATGGAGATCATTGGGCGAACGTACATCATCAATTTTCAAAATCATTTTCACAAGCTGCGTTGCAAGCATTATCTGTTGTTTTTTGCTCTTCACAGTTTCAATCACGTGCTGGACTTTCATATCTGTAATAAAATACAAATGTTATTAAACGATTTGAAATAAAATGCATGCTGTATGTTTTGGTAGAAAACAGTTCGATCAAAATATGGATATTGTATGTTACATATTATTATTTTTTAAATTCTTTTATAAATTTCAAACAAAACAAACAAAATTGTGAACATTTAATTATTCAAAAAATTTTAAAATTTATTGTCAGATCTGACCACACATTGTAATAAAACATGAGCTTTTTAAAAATTTCTTTAATTTACAATGAAAATTTAAGAAAAAAACCTACTGTTTGTTCCGACCCCCATACAGTCAACACCAAGATCAGGATTTTCATCTTTGATGTGAGCAGCTTTCAATGCTGTGACTGTCTTCATGGGAGGAAGACCTGCATTTTCAGCAAGAGCAAGAGGCACAGACTCTAATGCTTCAGCAAATCCCCTGAAGGCATACTGCTCTAGACCTGCAATCTAAAAAGAAAAAATAGGTTATTATATTTTCTAAATAAGGAATTATTAATAATTATCAAATTACAAACCTTGTCGGCTCTGTTCGCTGTTGCAATAGCACAGGAGAGCTCAGCTGCTCCTCCACCGTATACAATCTTGTTATCACAAACCAAATTCCTCACGACGCAAATTGCATCATGCATGGATCGTTTTGCCTCCTCGACAATCTAAAAAAACAAAAACAATATTACTAATAAATATAACTGCAATGAAAGCAAAATTACCATTTCATTGGATCCTCTAATGAAAATTGTAACAGTACGAGAATTAGCGCATTCTTCAATTACGAGCATTCGGTCTTTAGTCGTGCCAAAACTAATCTCCCTGACCAAACCTGCCTTGCCTAATTTTTCTGGCGTTAACTCCTCAAACCTTGGTACGATCCTTCCTCCAGTTGCAATGGCAACTAGCTATAAACAGAAAATAATCATTAGCACTAATTACAAAAAAATATATTTCAATAAAAAAATAAATAAAAAGTGTACAAACCTCAATGAGAGGGCCACCGACCCAACGTACAGCTGGAAGGTCCTTCTTTAACAGTAGATGGTTTGCTTCATCATCAAAACCCCATTGACAAATAGCTAATGTAGCTCCTACTTCTTTTACCTATAAAATATGAAACTGTTCACACATCTAAACACAAATTATCTATTTATTATTAAAATGGATTAATTATATTTTTAAAAACTCCTCTGATTGAAAACTAGGTCTTCATTAAACTCTCAAAGCTACTCATTGATAACACAAGAACTGCTGAGTATCTTCAGATGCGCAGTGTGATCTTCACAGGAATGTGGTGTTAAACGGACAAATTTATATTAACCACAAACCTTATTAACTATTTGCTCAAAAGTATCCGCTTCATATTTCCTCAACTCATGATAATCCTCAACGGAGCCAACATCAAGCTTGTGCTTGGTTTTTGGTTTTGGGGGTTCAAACGGACAAGTGAGGATAGCAATTTTAACATCTTTAAGGACCTAAAACAACATAATGTAAATTTAAAATAATATGAAATGGTTCATAAAATCTAAGGCAACTGTCTTTGAACAACTAAGTAAAAACATTTTCCATGTTAAAATATGGAAGACAGATTATTTGTAGGCAAAGCTTAAGTACTCATAGATACAAAATCATAGAATAAGTTCAAGAGCATTGTTTATTATTTTAGCATAGTGTCTGACCAACTGTCATACAAATAACATTGGAATTCTCCATGCAACTGTAAGTAAAATTATGCAAATTAAGCTTTTATGATTCTCAACAAAAATTTGTTGAACAAAGCTGAAACATTCTAAGTAAAAATTCTTAGGGGAAAACAGCATTTGTTTCATATTTTAGCACAGTGTCTGGCCAACTATCATACAAATAACATTGGAATTCTCTATGCATCTGTAGTAGAACTTATATTGTAACTAAATGTTTTCATAATTTCACTAATTTCGTGGTCCGCTTGACCAATTAATATATTACAATTAATTAAGGTTTTTATCTCAACTAAAAACCTTAATTAATTGTTTTCATAATCTTTAATTAAAATTTGTTGAACAAAGCTGAAACATTCTAAGCAAAAATCTTAGAAAAAAAAGAAGCATTTGTTTCATATTTTAGCACAGTGTCTGACCAACTATCATACAAATAACATTGGAATTCTCCATGCAACTATAAGTAAAATTATGCAAATTAAGCTTTTATGATTCTCAACTAAAATTTGTTGAACAAAGCTGAAACATTCTAAGCAAAAAATCTTAGAAAAAAAAAGAAGCATTTGTTTCATATTTTAGCACAGTGTCTGACCAACTGTCATACAAATAACATTGGAATTCTCTATGCATCTATAGTCAAACTTATATCGTATCTAAGTTTTTTCATAATCTTTAAGTAAAATTTGTTGAACAATGCTGAAACATTCTAAGCAAAAAATCTTAGAAAAAAAAGAAGCATTTGTTTCATATTTTAGCACAGTGTCTGACCAACTATCATACAAATAACATTGGAATTCTCTATGCATCTGTAGTCAAACTTATATCGTAACTAAGTTGTTTCATAATCTTTATTTAAAATTTGTTGAACAAAGCTGAAACATTCTAAGCAAAAAATCTTAGAAAAAAAGAAGCATTTGTTTCAAATTTTAGCACAGTGTCTGACCAACTATCATACAAATAACATTGGAATTCTCCATGCAACTGTAAGTAAAATTATGCAAATTAAGCTTTTATGATTCTCAACTAAAATTTGTTGAACAAAGCTGAAACATTCTAAGTAAAAATTCTTAGGAAAAAAAAGAAGCATTTATTTCATATTTTAGCACAGTGTCTGACCAACTATCATACAAATTACATTGGAATTCTCTATGCATCTGTAGTTGAACTTGTAAAAATATAACCTGTCATAGTTCTTCATTAAAAAAATAAAATAATTCTGTAAACAGGAGGACTTGTTATCTAATTGGCATTACCATTGTGTCGCGAACAAGGGGTTAAACTACATTACAATACGCTTTTCTTATTATTAAGAATTAAAAAGCCACAGGCTCTGCTGGGATTCGAACCCAGAACTGCTATCACGGCACATTCAAGTCAAACACCCTTAACCATTTGGCCATCAGGAACCCTTATTGGAAAAATCCTATTAAGTTTGTGAAACCTGAGATTAAACCTTACAAAATTGTAAGCAACACTGAAAATTCTGAGAAAAGAAACTCAACAAGGAAAATTAGCATTGTTTTTTTTTTATTTTAGCATAGTGTCTGACCAACTGTCATACAAATATGAACATTGGAATTCTCCTTGCAGCAATAAGTGAAATTATTTACATTCTTAACTAAATACTAAGCTTTCATTTTAAGCAAAATTAGCAAATCTTAGAAAAGAAAATTAACAATTGTGTCATTTAGTATTCAGTGTTATAACACTTTTTCACACACGAACACTGAATCAAGGTATGGTCGAATTCAGTTTTACTGCCAAGCTTTCGAATCATTTTAAGATGACCAGAACAAAAACAATCTTAAATACATCCTTCGTAGATATATTTAAGATTGTTTTGCCCTTGTCGTAAGCTTGGCAGTAACAACTGAATTTGCTTTTTTCTTCAAGACCATACCTTGATCCAGACATTGCAAAGTTCTCACACAAACATAAAAAACAGACAAAATTTCATCATGGATGGTTTCTTTCATTATCAACATGTTGAGACTAAATTGACAAATTTTAAAATAAAAATTGTAATCAAAGCTGGTGTATTCTGAAATATAGAATCAAAGAATAAATGATTTACTTTGTTTCTTATTTTAGCATGGTGTCTGACCGACTGTCATACAAATAACAACGGAATTCTCCATGCAGTGTTTAGAAATTTAGTTAGTATTTAGTTTCTGTTAAAATACTCTGTTTTTAAAAACTTTCAGATATAAATAAAATCGAAATATGATTTTTTTTCCTTCTGAATTTTAAAGAAAAATAATTACCTTTGGCATTTGTGGATGAGACATGTCCTTGTCAAGGACAACTCCTTTAACCAACATGGTATCTTCTAACCTTCCTCCAACTTTCCCATCAATTTTTATAAGTTCAAAATTGACGTCTCTCTTTTTCATATCAGCTACAGACATTACTGCTTTGACTGCGATTTCAGCAAATTGTCTATGACATTTGTTAACTCTGTATGGAAAATAAAATTATTGAATTATTATTCAAATGATTTTAAAATATTATTTCTGAGAAATACATTTTTGAACTGAGTGTGGTCATCGCTGTTTTAATTAGAGGTTCTAAATTGTTCGCATAAACAGGAAATGCATCACCAATGTCGTCGAGGTGTTCAATCGCTGTCTGTGCAGCCAGTTCAAAGCCATCGGCAATTCTGATAGGGTGGATTCCTTTGTCGATCAGCATCTCAGCCTGTTCCAGCAAAGCGCCAGCCAGTACTACAACAAGCATTTTTGTCATTATAGAATGGAAAAACATTGAAGTCCTACTTACCAACCACACCGGTGGTCCCATCGCCAATCTCATCATCCTGTGACTGTGACAGCTGAACCATCAACTTGGCGATTTCATTGTCAATGTCCATTTGTTTCATGATGGTTGCACCATCGTTGCTTACCATCACGTCACCATCTTGAGACACAAGTAGTTTGTCTAGCCCTTTGGGGCCTAGCGAAGTCCGCACAATTCGTGCAACAGATTTTGCTGAATGAATATGACTCTGAAAAATAAGTATTATTTAATATCTATGCCAGGATAATCAGGAGAGAAATAATAGAGCTTGCATAAATAAACCTAAAATTTAATGAATAAAACGAATAGGCATGGCTACCCCAATATCTCAATCGATCTTGATCTTCTGCGTCCTATATTCCAAATTCCATTGTTCAGAAAATATTTCATTTTATACATGTAGACTAGAGATCACACCTCTTAACGAGTTTTTAAAATAATGTGTAAGAAAATTTCAAGGGCATTGCTAAAAATTGAACTCCATGACTGCATCCATGAAAAATTGAGAGGCAGATGCTTCAACCCGCTTAGCCATAGTGGTTCCATACATACAGATATATGCATGTATTGATAAAATTTCCTGAAATGTTTGATTGTTAACATGTTCATTGCACTACCTGATTTGTTAGGCTGTTACCAGGCGGATATTGGCTGAATGTTTTATGCATTATTTACCTGGTGGAACAACACATGTGGTATCATCTGCAATGAACGTTTAAGGGTCTATATTTTTTCCTTCAGATATCTAAATTCTAGTTATTGGTGTGTCATGAAAAGAGAGGGGGTGACATGAGTGACCAAAGTACTGTAAGCTCAGGCTCAGGATGGGTAGAAGTGTGCATTATTTCAGTGAATCAGTCATACGACATCACACACTATATAACCTCTGACACCCTCAAGGTAATATATAATTCTAGATAGTAAAAAACTTATTTGAAATGTGGATTGACAGATTTTCTCCTGTGGACTGCCGCTGATGCATGCTATACTGATGATTTTGTCAGTCAGTATTTTGGCTTTTGCCATCTTCAGTGTTGAGTTTAGGTTATCTCTTCTTAAAAAAGCGGGGGACACACTTAACCCGACACCTCGTCTCTTTTTGGTAGGGCTGCACATCTGTTCGACGTCAAGCGCACGTCACGTACAGTAACACAGCATGCCTATTTTGCATTATTATTAGCAAAACCGTGCCATAAATTGTTAGTTAAATTTTATGAGCAAAACCATGTAATAAATTGTTAGTTAAATTTTATGGTAGAACTGTGTAATAATTGTTAGTTAAATTTTATGAGAAAAACCATGTAATGAATTATTAGTTAAATTCATTCTATCAATAAATGGTATTACAGTGTTTTGATAAATTTTCTGCCAAACCAATACAATCAAATAAATTTTATAAAAACATCCATTTTTGATCTTGTTTAATTTGGTTTACATTAAAATAAGCATGTTGTAATTAAAATAATGACAAAAAATACATATAGTTTGAAAGAAAAATATGAGTGTCCAGATCTTTGTCTTTAACTGAATTCAAAGAAAATATGGCCAATGGGTACTTTGGTTGCATCGCATTGTGTGGAGTAGGGGGTAATACAATTTTATGGAAAATTGGACATTGGATTTGCATTGGGTGGCTTCAGGTCACGTCATGTTGCTTCGGCTTAACTTAGCCTGGCTAGCTATGTTAAATTGTGAGATTCTTCTTATACGATTGGCAGATCAAGATAACAGGCAACTATCAAACTATAGGTTCATCACTCTGAAGACCACAGGAAGAAATCTCACAATTTAACATAACTAGTCAGAGTAAGTTATTTACAAGAAATCACCCAAACAACACTGAAGATGGCAAAATGCCGAAACTGAAATGTCGATGCCAAAAATCACTCAGCTCAATTTTTACAAGTTCTACAGAATGATGGGAATATCAGTAAGTTTCCTAAACATTGTAGGAATGAACAAGATATTAACTAGGTTATAAAAATGTTACCATAATATAAAAATAATGAACCAGCAATGGGGCAGTCTTCACTGGCTGATTTGTTAACTATTGAAGACTGTGAAATGCCAAAACGCTTTGAACGGTTCAACAAAATACCCAATGCCGGTTCAGCATCAGTTCACAGGCTTGCAGACCAACACTTTAATACAAAAATAGTCCAAGATTTTTAGCTTTGGTTATAAAATTAGTTAAAACGCAACTGAGATTTTGATTTGTGGTGATACATATACTTGGGGGTAAAGATAACACGAGTAGGAAAATACTAAATGAAACTATAAATTTGATGTATGTCCCATCCCTGATGACTAAACGCAATGTCACTTAACTAGGAAAATCGCCATGATCATAAGTGAAAAGTTTAATTTCTAATATTTTACCAACAGAAACAAATTATTTAGTTTGGAAAAGGCCTGTTGTTTATTTTAAAAATGAAAAACATTGCTTTAAGTACCATGTGTGTTTGGAATGGGTGGGAGGAAGACTTTAGGTTAGTTGGAAAGTCGTGGATAAACATTCTACGACAGGAATGCTTAGGCCAAAATAGAAAAGTACCGATGAAAATTTCACCAACAAAACCAACCCGGAAAATAAAGGTCTAAAACAATCAATTTACTTTTAATATGTATAAATATATTTTTTACCTTGACCGCATCGGTGCCGGTAAGTCTTTTCTGTTTATCTTCGTCTTTCAATATAATAAAAGGCCTGCCGTACTCGTCGAACGCTATTGAACCGGGGAACGCAGACATGGTCTCCGGATATTCGACTGTTAAAAGATCAGACTAATAACTCTAGATATTAAAATCTAGAAAGAAAAGCAGCCCTTTTTCGGAAAGAGACAAATCACGAAGTTCCAGAGATCGGTTCACCAAGAAGAACAAAGGGAACGCCACTGACTATTTGTGGCATCGATTGTGGATATCGATTTAGCTTTAAACCAATACCAAGTATGATTGCCAAGTATTAAGCAATAAGCATAAAAACCATAAGTTCATACGCATTTGAGTTTAATATCCCACAAACACATTCTACAGTAATCAATAACAAATCATAAACTTTCAATTTACATAAAATAACATGAATAATTAATAAAAAATCGAAGTTAAAAGTTATGTAAATAATATCGAAATCGAAACTTTGTCTGAACAGTTCAAATAAGAATTTAAATACCGGTAAGTATATTATTATATTAATTAATTATACTTTTAATCTAAGGTCTTGGCTCAAATGAAAAAGCAAGTAAGGAGAATAATTAAAGTAATTAATAGATCAATTATGACTATTAAATTCATACAATGGATTAATATTATTATATTTTACTCAGAATATTATAATTTCATAGTTGAATGTTCTATCCCATTAATATTCAAGCATAAATTCATATACATAAATTATAAATATGCATTATTCATTAATAATAATAAAAAGAATTAATAATTATAATTAATTATAAGAATTATTAATTATAAGAATAATAATAATATANATATAGAGAGAGAGAGAGAGAGAGAGAGAGAGAGAGAGAGAGATGGTATGGTTTCGGGGATGTCAGGGGTGTTGGTGCTGCAAGTGTCTGTAGAAAAAGGAAATATTTATTATCACTAAATCCCCTAGCAAGGAAATGATAGCCACAAATAAATCTCTCAAAATTATCCATCCATTATTTTGGAGCTCTGACTCCATGGCTGCCTTGCAAACATTTAATCATCCTTTCAGTAATAATCCTATGGTACAGGGTCTATAGGACTCATTGAGTTGTCTTGAGCAGCAAGGCAAAAGAGTTTTTCTCTGGATTCCTGGTCATTTGAGCATTCCTGGTGATGAGAGAGCAGATATCGCTGCCAAGAGGTGGTTGGCGATGGAAACCTTGTTGTAGAGGTGAGGAAGGATGTCCTCATTGCGGCCTTTGGGTAACATATTTCCAATGCAAAGAACCTGGCATTCAGTCACAAACAACAAGCTTCGTGAAATCAAGCCTACCACATAGGCATAGCCTTTATCATTTAGGTTAAGAGAAGGAAGGAGGTTGTATTGAGTAGGTAGAGAATAGGGCACTGCCGGACCACCAAGGTCTTAATGGTCAACTTAATGGCCCATGAATCTGCCTTTATGCAGAGTATGCAATGAAATAGTAACAATGAAACATATTTTACTATCATGTTGCATATACCATGACTTAACAAAATCTTATTCTCTCCTGAATATGCTGGATGAAATATTATAGGACAAACAAAAAATATTGTGAAATTATTCAGCTCTTACAGCAGCAAATTTAAGAAATAAAATATGATCTGCTACAATGCTAACAAGAACAGATTAAATAGATAAATGAATAAAAGGTAAATAAAATAACTGGCGCATCGGCCCAGCTGGATTGGAGCCCTAGGCCAAAATTTTGGGACGTAAATGACCCTTGTGTTTCCAGTCCCTTAAAGATTGGTAAAAAAACATTCACACCTACTGTATACTTTAAATTATTAAGCATTATTTATAAGATAATTTTTATTGGAAGATTTATTTATTTATTTAAATTAGCAGATGACCAAAATATAATATACAATATTTAAAAAAAGGCGGTTAAGGCCAGGATGACCCATAAATAAATAAAAAGAAAATAAGTAAAATAGTATTGGGTTGTCCGGAAAATAATGCAGGATTTTGGTATTAAACAAAAAAAAAGAAACTAGTTACTTTAAAGCAATGTTCTTTAATCAAAATAATNAAATGAGTAATCCTGTAAACGTAAACAGAATATTTTATATAGATTTTTTTTAATGAAAACTTAAAATCCTGCATTATTTTCCGGACAACCCGATACATAAAAAATTAAATTAAAATGAATAAACACTCAGAAGAGATATAGCTAACTTAAGATAGAAGTTTTAAATGACCTTATGACTTGAAATGGCATGAAATTACCTTAGCCATAAAAACACCCTTTAAATAATATTAATATAAATTAATTAATTATAAAATAAATAAAGAAAATAATAAAATAAAGAAAGAAAATAATAAAATAAAGAAAGAAAACAATAAAATAAAGAAATCAAATAATATTAAAGTAAGAAAGCAAATTAAAAAAATAAATTAAAAAAATTAAATTCAATTAATAATGTTATGGGCATTTTTCTAAAGGAATTAAAAAAATATATACATAGTCTTCAACTGTGATAATATCTTCTTGAATCTACAATATCAAACTATTGTTTATTATTGATCTAACAATTTTTAAATCTTTATTGAGGTATATCTTCAATGTTTGTTTCAAATTTTCCTCTTGATTTCATTGGTCTCTCCTTTGACGTAATCTACAAATTTAAGATTTATTTTATTAAAATTTATTTTCAAAATTCTTCCAGGCAACATTTGTCTGTTTCTTAAAGTTCCTACTATTTGACTGAATGCTTTATTTTTACCTCTGTTTAATTGTTTGGTTTTCTCAAATTAAGTCCATGTTGCTGGTGTAAGGACTTGGAACTCGCTTCCATTCCAATTAGGAGCACAGTCACTTTGGGTTCTGCTGAGCTGCAACGGTACATTTAGTACAGTAGCCCTCAGTAGTTTTCTTCTGCTTTATCTTTTGTTCTTCTTTCTATATTTTCCCACCTTTTTGCTTAGAAATCGTACTCCAGTGAAACCATCTTTAGTTTTAGCTGTGCTAGTTATCCAAGATTTATGCTTGTATTTGTAATATTTATTATGCTTTTGTTTTAAGTAACTTTTATGTTAAATATTACATACTAAATTGGCTAGCTGTCCATGTCATGATAATTCCTGATCTACTAATTTTAGTACTTATTTAATACTGAACCATTGGGTTATTTAAAAAAAAAAGTTTGTAAAAAAGTTTATTTAAAAAAAAGAAGTATGTACAAGTCCAAAAATTGAAACAAACTTAAGATTATAGGATATTCTTCAACTTAAGCTTAATAGGACTTTCATTATTTTATATACACTTCACTAAGAATATTTTATAACAATGAAATGTAGCTTTTTCATTGTCCTCTTCTAAAGGACATTGCTTCAGATAATTACAGGTGATTATTATCGATGGCTGTTTTGGGTGGGTCAGTTACATATGTGAGCTCATTTAAGTAATACCTGCAAAAAGACGATATTATGTTAAATAAATACTTTATCACCATGAATATAATATTGGTTTAAATCATGCATACCAGTCTTGCGCTTCTTTACAGTTTACGTTGTAGTCCCAGTCACAGACCCTGTACTGTTGGTTGAACGATGTGTCATTGGCACATATATAAGGGATCCTTCTCCCGTCTTCATCGCACATGTGGAATATCTGGCAATGGTGTTCGGTATCAGCATAGAAACCGACAGCACGGTCATTGCAGTCAAAAGTGAAAGTCAAATTTGGGAAATCCTCCCATCTTTTAGCCTGTAGAATTCAGTTATTAATTTAATTTATTGTTATTTATAAATGAATCCTTACCCTATGATGAGCAACTGGTTTTGATAAAACATAAGCCATTGCTGAAAAAAATATGAAAGTTATAGTTCAAATGAAACAAGTGTTAAATTAAATTTTACTTTACCAAGGCATGATATTATTAATACACCTTCCCTCAACATAATAAGCAGTTTTTAGACAATCTGAAAATTAAACAAAAAAGTTTACGTACAATCTTACAAACAGATGGGAAACATTAAGAGAAGCTAACATACTTTCTTCTGTACCTATCGATATTTATTTAAGTTTCTAGCTCAATCTCTTTTTCTCAGTGTTTTTGTCCCACTCTTCCCTTTCTTAAACCTTATCTACCATTTCTTCTTCTCTACTGCTGCTCATTCTCTAAATTTCTAGCTTTATTTACAAGTCGCTGGTTCACTAACTCTCTCTATTTGTCTCACCAGCTCTATCATTCTTTCTTTTCTACCACTCACTCGTTCTTTAACTTTCTATCTCCATTTACTAGTCATTCACTCACTCTGTCTTTTTCTCTATCTACCTTCTATTTTTTCCTAGCGGGTAGGGAAGGGTGAACATCCCCTGCGTACAATTTGATCAGCTCAGAGGATGTCACTGGTAATGGTTCCTCTAATCTTCTCTACCATTCTTCTTCATAAGCAAATTAAGGACTTAATTAATAAATTGTGGAAAGTAAATATTAAGCTTCTTTATTTTACTATAAATTATAATTCACTGGATCTAGTACTATTATTCTTCTTCTAATTTGACTGTAGATTATAAAACGCCACGTGCTTCACTGTACATTATGGCAAATAAATTTTTGAGTTGGAATATTTATTATATTTTTTAAATTGTATAAACTTTGGTGCATGCTAGCTTTGAAGGTAATGTGCCAAACTTTTATTACAATCTTCTCTTCTTAATATTGTTTTAATCTTTGAAATATTTTTAACAAGCCTTAGCATTATAGTGAATGATCTCAGCAGTTATTTAGAAACAACTTTTTTATTTTTTGACCAGTGAAATATATAATTATATCTTTATTGTTGTTTACTTATTCCACATTATCCTGAGTATTAGGGTACTTTGACCTCTTTTAAATTATTGATTAATGCTTAAGTAAAGTAATTCCTATCTTAAGGAGGGCTTAACTTCCTTCTACCTGTTGGGTGACACGGGCGAGGAGTCAAACCACTTTACAGTACATTTTTCATGCTATTTTCAATTAAAAAATCATTGGCTAAGCTAGGATTCGACCTCAGGACTGCTAGCTTGGCAAAAAGAAGCCAGTCCAATCAGTCATCTGCTGCGGTCCCTCTGCAGCTAAAGCTTGGTGCTTTGTACACCATCATGGTGAATATTAAATGTGGAAAAGTCCTACATATTTTGTGTCATTTTCTAAGTTTGTAAGCACATATCAAAACAATCATTTTTCGTGAAATTTTGGTAAATTTGCTGAGAATGGTGAAATAAAAAAAAAACACGCATCAATCTGACCAAACCACAAGTCTAGGCAGACCAAAATGGCTAGAAATCTGCAGAATTTAGTTTAGAACAATTTTCTTTTGAACTTTAGAAAATTTTAAATGCCAAAATGCATGAAACTGACCAAATCAGCAAGGATAGGTAATTTATTTTTTAGTTGCTCCCAAATAGGAAAAACGTTGTGTAGTAACTTATCTTCAGCCTCATTTTACCGATAAATGTTTAAGTAAAGTAATTCCTGTCTTACAGGAGGGCTTAACGTCCAACTACCCGTGGTTGTCATGGACGAGGGGTCAAACTACTTTACAATACATATTTTGTGCTATTTTCAAAGTTTGTAAGTACACATCCAAAATGCATTGACCGAAAAAACGAGGAAGGAAAGGTAAATCATGATGGTTAGACGCACCAATTTCCATTACCAAGCAGACCTCACCATAATGTTTTATAATTTTTATTTATCATAAAATTTTTTGTTGATAAACCTTCACACAATCGTTTATCAAAAAGAATCTGCGCAGACTAAACCAGCAAGGATGCCAGAACAAAATGGCCGGAAATCTACAGAATTTCGTTTAGATTGTTTTTGAACTTTACAAAATATTAAATTAATTTTCATAGAATATTATTTGGCCATTGTATTATTGTACCATTCCTAACCTCTCCAAAACGTTTTCATAAATTATGTAAAACATATCTCTGACGTCTACATGATGGACAGCTCGTCATGTTAAACAATTTTCGGTGACGGTATATCTAAAGTGCCGTAAACCGGTTTTATCTCAATTTGTTCAAAAGTTACTATAATTTCAAAAGATACGATTTGTTTAGTGTTTATTTAAGAAAAACACGTTTCTTTACATAAAATCTGAATTTTCTCCACTTTTTACAACTTTTAACCACATTTTTAGAATTGACACCGAATTTCCTTTTACGTTAGTGAACTTTGTTTTAAAATTTGCTAGCACGTAAAAAACGTGTTTTTCTTAAATAAACAGTCAAAGAAATAGCATCTTTTGAAGGGTTTGAGATAAACCTTAAGGTTTACGGCATTCTACACCACTACTTAGATGTTCTTAACCGAAATTTTTTTAAATACTACGTTTAACACTACCCTGTATATTCTAGGAATATATTTTTTATTTATTCACAATAGGAAAAGGTAAAAGGCTGTAGTAATCTCTGTTGTCTTAATTTCTAGACATACGGTTTCTACAACTTTCATTATTGAGTCGTTTCATAAAAGAAGTAGAAATTGAATAGAAAAAGAACGTGTTAATTTCCTCCACCTGTCCCTTGAATAATAATTATTGTACAGATTCGTTAATCATTGGCATAAGAATTACAAAACTGTCACGTCAAGCAATCCTGAAGAAGAAATTCGTGTCAAGAAGAAGGTGGCAATTTATAACATTGATTGCAGCAATCTCGAACCCTGTCAAAGAATATTGATTTCAAAGATTTTCATAAGAGATAAGTCAAATGAAGTTTGATTTGATCCATTTTATCATTTACAAATTGGCTGCATACTGAAATTCAGTAGAAATGGTCAAATTTTCTTAGCGACGGATTTATTTATGAAACGAATTGCACTCAGATAAAAAACAGATTAGATACGTTGTGCAAAAATAAGTCCTTTGAAAGTTCTAATTTGCATGTCTGAAACCGAATTTCGGCCCTATCTGTACCGTTTTCGGTTGTACAAGCTCCAGAGCTATCTCAAACCGAGAGTGGTCGGAATCTGCAGAATCTTCGAATCTAGTTGACAATGAGAATTTTCCATCCGTGACAAATGGTGTTACGTAAAAACATTTCGACATTCCGATGCGGCTTCTACAAGTGAGATGCGCGGGTTGCACAATGGAATCGCTTTTAGGATTTATAGCAGGTGACTTTCGAATTCCACCTGTGCCGAGGAACAGGGAAAATATGTCGTTGTTTTCAACCGTCTAGAGAGAATTTACACCCCCGGTCACAATTTCCAAGTGCTTACACCATCTGCTGAATATGCTGATCCTCGGCTAATTTATACACTTCGCATTAATGCGCATAGACCGTCGAAGGACCGAAGTCTACCGGGTTCGGCGTTAGGAAAGAAAGGACGGGCATCCGTCGTGTCTCTTCTTCATGTTAATGTTTCTGTACTTGTGATGCAAGCGGGCTTAACAAGAATCGACCTTTGCTCTGCTTACACAAGAGACCAGACTATTTTCAAATACCCTAGATTGGTAGCGCCAACTTAGTTTTAAATAAAAATATTAAATATAAGAAGTTCTCTCTAAAAAAGGAATAATGGTTGAAAGATAAGATCATTCGTGGTGACTTGATAATAATTGCGAACGAAAAGACTAAAAAGGCTAACAAGAAAAGTAGTAAAATCGCAGTTAGGACAAGAATTATGAAGTCAAAAACCATTCCATTATTTTTCCCTGGACCTTGATATTATATTTTATTTATTTATCGTAATTTGATGTGAGGGTTGTACTGATAAAATTTTACTCTTGAAGAAACTTACTGGCTTGACTGGTTGATTTTCAATCCAAAACGTCTTCCTCCACAGCCACACCCCAAGTCATTTTAAAATTAAAATTATGCTAAATAAAATCGTTTATATCTTCAATCATGATATTGTTCGTCCAAGGAGAAACAAACATAATCTCAACTTATTATTGTTACAATAATAAAATATCATAAACGTCAATATTGAAACCAACAGTTTCGACACAGACGTGGAACTTCAAAACAATTTTTGAACGGCGTCGGATCAATTTGTCCCGGGTTATTACAATGAACTAGGAATCAGGAATGTCAAGCAGCTGACCTTTCAGATTATTAATCGCCTCACGCTTACCTACTCCCTTTTATTTTTATTTGAACTTTCCACCCGCACTTTCTAGGCGCCTCCAACCAAGACGAATTATTCAATAATTTATTTAACGATTTAAAATCAATTCGATGGATTTAAGTTGACGGACGGTTAAGTGCTTACGGACGACGCGATAACAAGCCGACAAACAACTTGGCATATATGTTTTTATTATACGTATATATTTATACAAACACATATCTATTTTTTGTAGTACACGTGTAAAAATAATTATTATAAATAATTGTTTTAAGAAATGTACGTTTGTAAATGCATTATAATTGTGGTTATTGCCATGTATCTCCGTGAGTGTTTACATGTCCGTTTTGAAGGGAAAATTTACAGATATAGAAAGAAAAGTAGATAGATGGATATATAAATAGATAGACGGCTAGATAGAGAGATACAGGGATAGATAAGTATGTAGATAGATAATAGAAGCATCGAGATCGATAATAGATGCATATAGATAGTTAGATGGATACATAGATAAAGAAATAGATGCAGAGAGATAGAGAAGTATAGAGAGGAATCGAGATCGATAAATAGATTACATGGATTTATAAAGAGGCATAGCTAGATTAGTTATATAAATAGATAGAGAGATCGATAGATAGACAGAGGGAAGATAAAGAGATAGATAGGTAAATAGATCGATAGATAAAGGAGTAGACAAAGAGGTANGAGGGAGGGAGAGAGAGAGAGAGAGTGAGAGAGAGGGAGAGAGAGAATGATGAGAGTGTCATTTTTTGGATAGATACATAAATGGTATGAGTGCGAGAGAGTGTAATAGAATGTGGTGTGTGTGTGTGTGTGGAGAGAGAGTGAGAG